CTTCTTTAAGAGGGATACATGGAATACATGATGGACTTTGGACTGAGGAGGGAGTTTGAGTCAGTACACCACTTCACCAACCTTGGATAAAACCTCATAGGGGCCAAAAAACATGTAAGCAAGCTTTAAGCAGGACCTTACAGCAAGGGGTGATATGTCGGTATGGCTGCAACTTTAAGTGAACCAAATCTCCTACTTCAAAACTCCTCTCGGTCCTCTTTTGATCAGCAACGTATTTCGTGCATTGTTGTGCCTTAGCCAGATTGTCTTGGAGAAGCTTAAGAATCACTGCCTGCTGCTGCACCATTTCTTGAGCTGCTGGGATGACAGTGTCAGCGAAAGGCCCCAAGGGAAAGGGAAGGGGTTTCATTCCATGTAATGCTTCGAAGGGAGACATCCTTATGCTGGAATGAGAAGAAGTATTGTACCAATATTCAGCTAAGGGAATCCACTGACTCTAAGTGGCGGGTTTATCTCCACAAAAACATCTGAGGTAAGCTTCTATACACTGATTCACCCGTTCGGTTTGTCCGTCTGTCTGAGGGTGATAAGCTGAGTTTGAGTTTAATCCCTAACAGTTCGAACAACTTCCACCAGAAGAAGCTAGTAAATATCCGGTCGCGATCCGTGACTATGTCATTCGGCAGCCCGTGCAACCTAAAAATCTCTCTCATGAAGGTCTCAGCCACCTTTGTTACAGTGAGGGGAGATTCTAGGGCGATGAAATGGCTGTATTTGGTCAGTCAATCCACCACCACCAAGATGGTATCCATTTTCTGAGATATAGGCAACTTCACTATAAGGTCCATTGATAGACTTTTCCAGGCTTGTTGTGGAATTGGCAGCGGTTGTAAAAGGCCCGGATAGTGAACATGTTCATCCTTACTACGTTGGCAGGTCTCACATGCCTTGATGAATTCCTCCACTTCCTGCTTCATTTTCGGCCAATAGAACAAGGATCTCAACCTTTGCAATGTCACGTTCTAACCTGAGTACCCCCCTAGTGGTGATGAGTGAAAAGCTTCAATCAATGGACCCCTAATAGCAGCTCCAGACCCCACATACAACCTTCCCCGCTTCCTGAGTAGGCCTTGGACATATTGGAAGTCAGAGTTCTCATTAGGATCCAATGCCAATGAGGTAATCTGTTGTTGTGCAAACTCATCATTTTAGTAGCTATCAAATATCTGGGTAACCCATACTGGTTGTATTGCCGTAATGGCACAAAGTTTGGTTCCACCTTGGGGGCTTCCTTCATTCTCACTGTGTTCCCTTCGGGAAAAAGCATCAGCTGCAGTATTTTCCTTTCCCTTTATGTACTGTATTTCAAAGTCGTATCCCATCAGTTTGGTAAGCCATCTATGTTGGATGTTGTTGGTGACCCTCTGTTCCAGCAAATATTTGAGGGACTGGTGATCCGTCTTGATGATGAAGTGAACTCCCACCAAATAATGCCTCCATTTAGTGACCGCTAATACCAAATCTATAAGCTCTTTTTCGTAAATGGATAGCCCTTGATTATGAGGACAGAAAGCCTTGCTGAGGAAGGCAATGGGTTGTCCCCCTTGCATCAGTACCGCACCCATACCCACATCACTTGCATCCGTTTCTACCACAAAAGGAGCACTGAAATCAGGCATCTTAAGAACCGGAGCTGTGGTTAATGTCTCTTTTAGTTTTTGAAATGCTTGTTGTGATTCCTCAGTCCAGCAGAAAGCATGCTTCCTTAACAAATTAGTCAGAGGCTTGCATATGATACCGTAATTCCTGATGAAGCACCTGTAGTATCCTGTAAGTCCCAAGAACCCTCGAAGGGCTTTAACTGAAGTAGGAGTTGGCCATTTCAGAATGCTAGTCACCTTCTGGCTATTCAAACTGACCCCATCTTGAGAAATAGTATGTCCTAGGTAGTTAACGGAGGGTTGGCCAAAGACACACTTGCTCAACTTGGCAAAAAGCTGATGGTTGTGTAGAACCTCCAATACTAATTCGACATGCTTCAAATGCTCATCAAAACTAGAACTGAAAATGAGGATATCGTCAAAGAAAACTAGGAGGAATATCCTCAAATAGGGAGTAAAGATTTGGTTCATAAGGGCCTGAAATGTTGCCGGCGCATTCGTCAACCCGAACGGCATAACCAGGTACTCGAAATGACCGTGATGCGTCTGAAAGGCTGTCTTTGGTACGTCTTCATCCCTTACCCGAATCTGGTGGTAACCCGATCTCAAGTCTAACTTGGTAAAAATGCTAGCTCCTCCTAGTTCATCCAACAGCTTGTTAATGATCGGAATGAGGAATTTATCTTTAACTGTCATCTCATTTAGCCTTCTAAAGTCAACACATAGATGCAGTGTTCCATCCGGCTTCCTGGTTAACACCACTGGCAAAGCGTACGGACTGTTGCTATGCCTTGCTATTCCCTGCTTCAGCATCTCGTCAACTTGTTGTTCTATCTCGCTCTTGAAGGCATGAGGACACTTGTATGGGGGAATTTTGAAGGGCTGAGCACCCACCTTTAACACAATTTGGTGGTCAACTTGCCTCCACGGTGGCAACAATTTCGGTGTATCAAACACAGATTTATATTTGTTAAGGAGCTGAGTGAACTGCTCTGGAACTGAAAGGCTGCTGGCTTCCTTCTCAACATCATGCATTGCCAGTAGTTGCATGACAACACCCTTCTCCTTTTGTCTTGGTCGAGTTCCCGGCATTCCCTGTCTCGAACCAACTGCATACTTGAAGCACTTCCAATACCGTAAAGGATATATTGTCTTCCAAATTTACTTAGCCGAATCTGCATTTCCAGAAAATTAAAGGTAATGGGGCTGTAGTGAGTCATCCAGTTAACCCCCAATATTATGTCGTAACCCCCGAGCTTCATGATCTTCAGATCGTAATTGAACTTTAAATTTCCAATGTCCCATCTCAACTTGGGGCAAATTAAATACCCAGACACCTTGCTGTCGTTTCCCACGGCGACGGTGTATAGTTCAGACTCTACGTAATGCAACCGCAAGTTCATCACTACATTAAGATCGATAAAACTATCGGTGCTGCCTGTATCAATAAGGATCCTCATCATTCGGCCCCCAATCTTCCCCTCAACTTTAACAGTTTGTTTTATAGGATTCACAGAGAGAACATTTAGAGACCTTTAATCCAGTGTCAAGCCATTCAAATCAATACCATCATCTACTTGCAATTCGGGCACATTATCAGAGTCCATACTAACCGGATCATCATCATCAACAATCAACACATTAAACTGTCGGAATTTATACTTATGACCAGGCAAAAATTTCTCAGCACATTTATAGCACAAACCATTCTGGGTCCTATACTGATACTCTTGAGGACTCAAGCGTTTGTCATAATCAGTACTGGCACTTTTCCTAACAGTAGGCTTAACATGTTCAACAATTTTAGTTTGGCTTTCTGATACCTGGTTATCAGAGAGCTTAACATTTCTGAGGGTGACCTTCAGGTTGCGCTCCTGCTGTAAGGCAGTGTTATAAACAACATTCAAATTGGGATGAGAAAACATCCCCACCATAGGCTTGAGCTCTTCTTTGAGTCCGCTTATAAAGCTTGAGATGAAGTATGCCTCTGACAATCTTGGGTCTTTGCACAGCATCCGAGACCTCAGTTCTTCAAAACGTTCCTGGTAATCTCTTACACTCCCTTGTTATGATAGCTTGTTGAATTCTTCCACTTCGTCTTCTCCCCAAATCGTTTGACCAACTCATTGCTAAACTCAACCCAACTCATGTGGGGTTTTAACAGTTTCATTGCCTCAAACCAAGAGTCTGTCTTTCCTTCTAAATACAATTCGATCTGTTCAACCTTCCATTGCTCTGGAACTTGATTTAACAAGAAAAACCTCCAACACTTTCTAAGCCAGTCATGGGGATTGCTATTACCGTCAAACATAGGAAGGTCGATTCTAGGTGGGTTGAAAAGATGATGCCTGAATACTCTCTCACGCGCCGAAGTCGTAAAATCGGAGTCAAGAACAGCCCGACAAGAACTCGCCGGAGTGAGTGTCGCTGGGATTGCTGTGGGCGGGAGATTCCCGAACCGCATTGGGGTTTTGTTCCTTGCCGATAGTGGTGGTTGAATTTGAGTTTGAGCCATGGAAGTAATGAGAGACTTGACCCTGTCCAGCTAGCTTTTTGAGGCTGCTCCATCCATTGCCGCCTTCAATTTCGAATCCATAACACTTTGGAACTCTACTAATTTACCGTCGATATGAGAGTTAAGCCCAGCAGTCACCTCTGAAAATTTGGCCTCCTGCTTCCGCATTTGTTCCTCCAATAGCTTAATCGAACGAGTTCCATCTGCCATGGTGGCCACGCCGAGAAAATCTCCGGCTCTGATTACAAACTTGTCATATACTGGCGAAAGATGGCCGGATTTTAGAGAGAAAAATTGATTAAAAAAAACTAAAATAAGCAAGGTCAAGTTCTTGTCTGATTAACCCCAACGTTTTGCTGCCACGTTATATTTCACGAATGTCTCACAGTACAAGACAAGATTCCGTCTAATCTATTATAGCTAGTATTGTACTGATATTTTAACTATATTTACAGATAATTACTAAGGAACTCCCCTAATAGAAAATAACTTAGATAAATTATACTACTGAAATCCAAAACTTAATCAAAATTGCACTGGAACCTTGAGCCATGACACTTTCTTGTAGTTTTACCAACCCAATTGTTTTCATATCTGCTGTGTTGGAGTCCTCTTATAGGTTGCAGAAGGATTCTTCCCCAACCTTCAACTTCAAAACAGCCCAAACAAGCCCAATCAAGGAGATATGCTGACCCTCACAGGGGCCCCACGTTTACACACAGTCACACACTCACACACACAACACCGTGGGGTGTGTGAATGAGCTCAGCTGAGCGAGAACTTCAACATTTTCTTTTCTTTTTTTTTTCCCCCACATTTCCAAGGGTGTGGCTTTATCCGTCTTCTTCCCCATTTGAAGAAGAATGTCAATGGTCTCCATTCCCAAGTTCCCAGACGCAGCTGCTTTGATATCTCTGCAGAATCGAACTAACAATTCACTCCAAGTCAACCCCATATCTATTCTATCATCATCAGGTTCGAGAAAACCGGCCGGATTCCTTACTTCTACTTCAGTCAGCATCAAGCGAAAGCCTGATTCTCCTTCCCTTAAACTCTCAACGATGGCATCCGTAGGTATGGTTCAAACTTCAAACCCACCTTTTACGAATGATAAAAAAAAAAAAAATTGTCTCTTTTATTTCCAAAGTTCTGTGTTATTTGAATTCTGGGTTGTGCTTATCTTTTTTGGAATTGTTGACTTTTGGTAAAAAGTTTCGAACTTTATGCTTTGTTTATGTGTGCTCAGTAAGTGGACTTTAGAGAGGTTTTTTAAGCCTAACTCATTACTTGTTGTCTCTGAGGTGATCATTGTCTAATTAAGTAGGTGAAGCTTGTAGTGAAATATGATTTATCATTTATCCAAAGTTTGAATTTTGAATGATTTTGGAAATCTTGTATGGTGATTCTCTCAGTATCATCAGACATGTTCTGAGGGCAATGGAAAGGCTGATTGCATTGGAAAATTTTAGTATAGATCATGCAAATTAGTATGATTATGGAAATCTCATATGGCGATTCTATCGTATGCTTCACTGGCTTGAGAATGTCTTCTTCCATGATGTACTGAAAGCTTGCCTAATTTATGAAAGCTCTTTACATATTACTAAATTGATGACATTTAAGTAATGGCTCTGCTTGATTTTTTCTTGTTTTAAGGTGCACCAAGTGAAGTAGTTGATGGTCCATCTTCTGGAAAAGTTGGAGCCAGTGATATGATGATTGTTGGACCAGGGGTTTTAGGTCGCTTAGTGGCTGAAAAATGGCGAGAGGTACACTTTGGCGAGCATTGATGTGTATCTTTGAATGGTTGGATTGGTGTAATTGAACAAGATGTTGATTGCAGGATCATCCAGGATGTCAAATAGTTGGTCGAACTGTTACTTCAGATCACCATCCTGAATTGGCTGAATTGGGCATCAGACCATTCCTCAAGGAGACAAAAATATCTGAAAAATTTCCATTTGTTATATTCTGTGCTCCTCCATCAAGGACTAACGACTATTCTGGTGATGTCAGGTAGCCTTGAGATTGTAATTTTAATGCATATTTCAAATTTCATTTGGTACATTAGATGTTGGCTGGTAACTACATGGAAAACTGAACTATCTGATTTGTGAGAATGTAGGCATAGGTAGTGTCAATCAATATGTAGTGCTCCACATTCTTTTGTGTGTCTTTCCGTGCTTTTGTTCGAAAATGTCCGAGTTTACTCCTATACCCTATTGATTGCTTTTATCTCTCCTTGATTGCAAATCAATAAACAGGGAAGCCATATCTAACTGGAACGGTGATGGAGCATTTCTGTTTACTTCGAGCTCTGCTCCCTATGACTGCTATGACAATGGACCATGTGATGAGGTTATACATGAGCTACAACATTTTGTGCTTGATTTTATATTGGTCGAGGGAAACCATTCAATTTGAGTGTGAGGAGAAGGAATATGTTTAGTAGCAAAAAAAAAAAAAAAAATAGTATCCAAAACGTTGTTTCTTTTTTATGGTTTGGGTGATAAAGTCGTGACACTGTTCATTAACATGGCTATGTAGGATTCCCCAGTAGTTCCAATTGGAAGAAGTCCTAGGACAGATGTTCTTCTCAATGCTGAGAAAGTTGTGCTGGATGCTGGTGGGTGTGTTGTTAGATTGGCCGGACTCTACATATCCTTTTTGAAATCTGTTGTGCCTGTCTTTCAAACTTTTTTATAATGAAATGGGGAGCTTTTTGTTCAACTCATGATGCGTGAACCATCAATATCCTTAACTTGACAATTTATACAAAGAAGACAGAGGTGCACACATTTATTGGTTACGGAAAGGGACTGTCGATGCTCGTCCAGATCACATCCTTAATCTTATACATTATGAGGTGATCAACAGATGTTGACGTGTGAAGTACAGAGTCCTTGGCTATGCCTGTTGATTCCTCAAATGATTCTGATTTTACAGTTCTTTTTTGCATGGCCGTCTTTAGATTCTGTTCCTTTTAGCCTTTTGTTTTCCAAGGTAGGCTGATTTCTAATTAGTTTACTGTTTATGCATTTTGTGTAGGATGCAGCTTCACTATCAGTTACTATCATGAAGAAGAGACTTCGTGGTCGTATCTTTCTGGGTTGCGACAATCATCCAGTATCCAGGTATCTATTAAACAACAGCATGATTCCTGCTTTTATTTCTTGAATTTGACTTGGAACCTGAGACCCGCAAGTTTCTTGTCTCCCTTCTAAATTAATCCTGCAATTTCTGACTGCAGACAGGAAGTGATGGACTTGGTTGACAAGAGTGGAAAGTTCAGTGAAAAATTTGGGGCTTTCACTGGTATATTTGTCAAGCATTTCAAACCGCATGTTTGCCAACCATTTCAAACTGCATTTTCACATTTTCCATTTTTTCTCCTTTTATTTGCATTTGGCAGGTACTAGTGATCCTCTAGGAAAGAGATTGAACAATTCAAAAACTCGTGAAGAGTTAGGATGGGAGCCAAAATACCCCAGCTTTGCCCAGTTCCTTGGGGTTTCCTGATGGAAACCAGCTTCAGTTATCATTCAGGTGACAGACAAGAAATTGATTGATCCAGGATTTGGCTTTTTTAAGTACAGTATTTCAAGATTCCAGCATCTGTATAGGGAGGGATATATAGAGAGATATATCTTTGTACAACAAATATCACTATACCTGGCTGCACACACAGTGCACCTCAGAAACTGCTGATTCTTTGGAATTTGATGGTCGTTCTGTAGACACATTGCTAAAACTTTCGATACCATCAAGCATGTGCAAAACTTCTCAATCTAAAGCTCCAGATATTGTTTAGGGTTTGAAATTGACAGTTTTCCGGTTAAATGTGTACATCAGTAGTCCTATAAGGTGTTCAGACTGTAAGATGCCAAAGCATTGCCGTAGTTGATTGTATACCTATCATAGACAGCAAGACAACTTGGGATTCTATTTGTAAAATCAAGAAGCACCAGCTTCACAGCCATTTAGATAAAAAGAACATTGGTTTGTGGTCAAAGGAAAATGATTAGCAATCTCTACATCTTACTCACATTGAAGTATTGAACTAATCAGCTAAGCTTAGGCAGACTTTTTATGCTCAAAGCAAAGTGAATCACTAAGAAACTTAGTAGGAAAAAGAACAAATGTAGTAGACAAAGAGACCAACCGGAGATAAAAGCGTTCGGGAAATCATGGCCTGAAAGCTGATTGTATACAACTTCAATACAAATCATGGCCTTTGATTTTACCAGGCCTAGGATACTCATGGTAACCATTAAATACTTGATGATTATTTTGATTGACTTGGCCAATCTATTACCTTATCGAAAGGTTTTCTATAAAGTTGAATTGAAGTGCATTCACTGTCACAGTATGTGAAGCCCTTTGCCTTCTTTGCTTGATATGAACCATGAAGTTCAACATTGTTATGCGGTGAATAAAGTTGATCAAAGTCGGAATGTTCCTCAAGGAAATCTCTTGAATTTTAACTGGATCTTTGAGCATTTTGACAAAGTTGCAAAGTTGTTGTCTCCCTTGTAATTAAAGAATACTCCAGCATGAAGTTGATAGTAGGGGGGGAAGTAAGTTTGCAGTGAAAATTTCAGTGCCTTCATGGATATTCCAAGCATTTCGAACTGCATTCTCATAGTTTCCTTGACAGGGACAAGTGATCAATTAGGACAGATATTTGACAATTCAAATACTCGTGCCGGATTAGGTTGGAAGCTGAAATATCAAGGCATTGACCACTTGATACCTTTTGATGAAACCAAATCATGCAGGTCTTGCAGACAGGATATTGATTTAGGATTTTAAGTACAGTATTTCAGGACTAAAGCATCTGTGTAAGTGGCTCTAGTGAGATGGATCTTTGTGTTCCGATAACACTATACACCTCAAAAGGTTACAGAAAAGTGTAGAGATACACATGAGAGCTGAAGCTTTACACATACAGGCAATTCCGGAACTGGATAATATCATGTTTTACTGTTGTTTCCTCAAGTAAAGGAACACAACTGATAAAGCTTTCAATGTTATTCATCATTGGCATGGGAAAAGCTGCATACATTTTCTTAATAAATTCTACTGTAATAATAAGCATCAGCGGGAGATCCTTCAAAAGTTTCCCCATGTCTGCAGCTTGGCAAAACCATGGCGTGGACTAAGGTTAACAGCAGAAATCTTAACGGGAAACTCACCTATCAGCCCGCGGCGAAAGACATCAACAACTTTTCCTCCTCTATACCTTGCGGCTAGGCCTTTTAGAGAAACTAACTTGTCGCGTGGAATGCCTTCGTCCTGATTATTCATCCACCACTTCACCCAAACTTGCCTCTCTGAAATTCCGGCCATCTCTAATGCTTCTAAGAGACTTTCCTCCTACGAATAACAATTAATTGTGAATATCACACAATACTTAGAGCTGAGTATACACTGAGGAAGACAAAATAATTTTTTATCGCGACGAGGACTCAACAAACCACATCAGAAGTACAGCCAGGCTCACACTGCTGCGGATTTTATCACAATGAAGTCCAGACAAAGAAATTATGGGATGATAAAAAGATTACTTGGTTACATGTTAGCTAAATGAGCTTTTGCCAGCAATTTATACACATTACTCTGGTGCATCTGTTTCACTCTTGTTCAAAGAATTAGCCAAAGTACACACAGCCGAAAAGACTTCACCCAAACTAACATATACGATAAACATACTTTTATGTTCTTGGATTAGGCGGTAAAAATTTTCTGCAGTGTTAAGCATGAAAAACACAAACATTCTACTGCACATGAAGAGGAAGACAAGATGATTTAGTACTTACAGTTAGAGGCACACCATCAACGAGCCAGCAGTAAAATAAACCCATCAAGTTCACAAGCACACTGACTTCTGGTCTGAGAAACAACAATTTGACATCTATAATTCCAAACTTCTCCGAATCCAGGTAACCAATTGCCTCTTCAAGACAGTTGATCTCGATGGTGTCAAACCTGGAATTTTCTTCCACATACTTAATTATTGAGGCTGCTTTTATAGCCATCTCTTCATGCTTACATCTATAGATTTTCCGCCATCCCTGAAATGAACAGAACAAATGAACAATTTTAAGATGACAGCAGTTGCAAAATAATTGAAAAAAAAAAAGGGCCTTTCTACCTCGAAACTGGGGCCTAACTGTTGATTAACCTGATGGGATTGGCTGTCATGAGCAGAAGAATCCTCATGATCAGAAACAATTTCAGGCCATCTCTTCCTGTATAGAGCCTTCCATATACAATCAGACTCACATATCTCTCGCCAAAACCTTGAGGAACTGCTCAGTTTACAAACGTCTGCTACCTTAAAAACGGGGAAAACAGAGAATCCCAAGAATCAATCTTTTTTAAAAAGGAAAGAATCATTCATCATTCCAAGAAAAAGCCCAACAAAAAAAATATTGAGTTTCAATACCTGGAGGGATGAAGCTATCTTGAGGACTATGTCATTAGGAAGTGAATTTAGTAGACAAATCTTAGTAGTACTTTTCAGTTTTTTACCCATGATCTTTCTGATATGAGAGAATGAATGCAAGAAATGGAGGAAAGTTAATGGATGCAAATGAAGTCAAGGATTAATTAATAGTTGTTACAACAGGATACGGGCAAATCTTTGAATGGCCTATAGCAATTTAGACAAGTCAAGCAGACTTTATCAAATTTCAAAGTCGTCTTCTACATCTCAGACTTCTCAGTCAAAATTAGTGATATATTTAAACATGAGTCCAAATAATAAATAAATCAATATCCAAGTCTCAGACAGCCACATGCGTGTATAAGTAAATTGATTTCATGTCAAAAATCATGCAGCTTTCCAAGTTCCACCTTTTAGCCCTTTTTTTGTTTCCAGGAAAAGACTGGAACAAAACAAAGTACTTAGATGAACACTTTCATGCAACCTCATCTGTTTGACAATAACTAAAACAAGTTTAGCTTACAAGAAACAAATAAAGGTTGTTGAAGCTAGCGGTTACTAACCCGACTTCACAGTTAATAATGCTATAAGGCACCCTAGAGTTTTAGAGAAAACGTACAAAGAACCCGACCATTTTTTTTTTGTCAGTACTTACAAGTAATACTATTTTAATTTTTATTATTCAATTATTTCCCCCCTTTGTTCTTCGGTTTAGAACAGTGGTTCAGGACTTCAAGCATCAATCTGGTGATGAGAGTCCATATTGTGTAGTATCGGGAGCATAGTATATCCTCTCTTATTTTTTGCATTTATTGTTCTTATTGTATTTTTCTTCATTTTTTTTATATTTTGTATTTTTAGTCCATGTCACATTTTTTTTTATCTCCTCTCATAAAATGTCTCTAATTTTCAAATGAGCACATCTCATAATTCCTGAAAATTAGAAAACGAATTATATATGAATATTGATATTCTTGATACTTTCTTCGTTTCTGTCCGGAGTATTTTTATTATTTTTATTTTTCGAAAAAAATTCAATATTGATTTTATCGAATAGATCTCGTCGAAAACTATAAATTTCATGTACAATTCGTTTTCTAATTCTTTACGGATTGAGCGTATATGAAATACAAGAATATCAATTTAAAATAAGTTGGTTATCAATGTTTTTAAACTACATATCTATCTTATTTCTGCCCAATACAAGAATATCAATTAGTTTTCTTATTTCTGCCCAACCGGTCCATCTTGACACCAATTTTATGGTTGAAGACACATAAAGAAAGTCATATATGAATGTCGAGTGGTCGATTTTTTTTTTACAATTGGTCAATATTTTTTAGTACTAAAATTTTCATATATATATATATATATATATACATACCATATATACATATAGATACACATATACATATACAACTATGAACAAAAGTTCATAGTTCTGAAGCAAAACGTCTACAATTCTAAATCTGTGGGTTCAAAATTCAAAAGATCTTGCCTTACATGATTTTTTTAGGAATGTTCAATAAGATTGGATTAGATTGAAAATCTTACAGGCGTAGAAAATAATTTCTCTAACTAGAAGATGAGAACGTGAGTGAACAATTAATTACTGATAAGATAAATGCGATAGACTTCACTTACTTACAAAAGGTTGAACAGCGACGTGGTCCACATAATGGCTATCACTGGCAATAACAACGCTTTTGAAGGTCTAAATATAAGCCCATATGTAGTTACCTCAAAATCAATTGGTGATAAGGGGAGTAGCACATATGGTTATATATTGGTTTCAAGAGTCTCCATCTATCTATATGGGACAAGGTTATATTCTCAACAAACGCAATATCGGAAAATCATTGCAGAGATGGTAGATCCAGACGTCTATAGAAAGTGGAACGAGAGAATGAGAGACCACAGACACAAATTCAGGGGGTTTTTACTGGACAATCAAGTAGTCATAAGATGTAACTAAACAAAAGCTAGAAATAGCAATGTAAAAGAGTAGCTTCTCCAAATCATAAGGAACAAGTGGAATGCTAGTACAGGGGATGACATTGATAGACATTTTTTCATTCTGCATCAAATATTGAGGGAAAAAAAAACAGAAATCATAAAACGGCCGGACTTAGGAAAAAGACAAATCCCATGAAACTGAGCCAACAAATTAGCAACAAGCATGCTAGGGTAAGATGGGAACGGACAACACAAATTTAAACAACAATTAATAGAGCAGAGACTTAACAAGTCACGGTACAATAGTTTCATTAATAGACTTTAAAAGATCTCGATGAATTGCAATACGTATACAACACAAACTAGGATTGTAGAAGAGCAACCCACCGTAAACCAAGTAAATGTCCCATAAACACAATTAGTGAAATAATATGCACTATGTTTTAGTACAAGAATAATATTTGAAAAAATAGGATAAAAATTATCTCAATTTTGTAAAATGACATATATTTTAAAATATATAATGCTATAAGGCCCTAGAGTTTAGAGAAATTGTACAAAGAACCTCACTAATTGTTAATATTTATAATTAATACTCCCTCCGTCTCAAAATTATTGTCCACTTTGAGATTTCACTTTTAGTATAATTTGAACTAGAAAACTAGACAATAATTATAGGACGGACTATGTTAAGTTTATGATTCAATTTTATTATTATTATTTTTGCATTTTATTTTTTTAATTATTGGCTTAGAACAGTGTTTCAGGACTTTTAACCATGAGTCTCCAGATGATGCTTTGCTGCCTGATACATATTTTGGAGACAAATCGTAAACCGATCAATGTATTTTTCCAGGGAGTCTGGATTCGATTCGCTTTTGAGAGAGTAAACAACTCTTTTTTAGCCTTTCGTTATTACGTGAAGGGGCTCACAAGCACCCCTAACGACCTACTTGGCCTTCATCCAACATTATGCTTTAGTATCTTTCCACAGTACAACTTACATTGTTAGTCATCATTGGCGTGTGGAGAAGCTCGATACATTTTTATACATTTATAATCCACATAAGCATCAAGTGGAAGATACTGTCAAAAGTTTCAGCATGTCTGCAGTTTGGCAAAACCAGGGTATGGACTAAGGTTAACAGCAGAAACAATAACGGTAATCTCATTCTCGCCTTTCACCACGCTTCGGCGCATGATGTCAACAACTTTTCCTCCTCTATAACTTGCGGCTAGGTCTTTTAGAGAAACTAACTTCTCGCGTGGAATGCCTTCGGCCTGATTGTACACCCACCATTTCGCCCATACTTGCCTCTCTGAAATTCCGGATATCTCTAATGCATCCAAGAGAGATTCCTCCTACGAATTAACAATGGTGAACATTGAGCAAGCCAAAAATGGCAAGTGAAGAAAAGCACAGGTGAGATCACTCTTCAAAATTTGGACCAGATAGTATATCGGAAGTTCAGACTGATCACAATGCTGTGGATTCCATCACAATGAAGTCAAGAGAAAGAGAGATTATGGGATGATAAAAAGATGATTGCTCAGTTCCATTTTAGCAAACATGAATATTTTGGTCAAAGGCTAAAATCAGCGATTTATACCAAACTCTCTTTGGTATATATATATATCTGCTTCATCCAAACCAATCTGAGAACTGAAATATACCTTTTTCTTCTTGGGAGAGTATATTCGCATGAGAATTTAGATCATGCAAAAAAATTATTTCTGCATTTTTAACTTAAGCATTGATGAAAGATTGTGAATTCTACTTCAAATTAACAGCAAGACAAGCCATATATAATACCAGTAAGTATCACTGATAACTGTGGTTAGGCGGTGATTTAGTACTTACAGTTTCAGGCATGACATCATACAGCCAGCAGTAAAACAAACCCACCGAGTTTACAAGCACACTGACTCCTGCTCTGAGAAACAGCAATTCGACATCTATAATTCCAAACTTCTCCCAATCCATGTAACCAGCTGCTTCGTTAATGAAGTTGAGTTCTATGGAGTCCGGAGGCCACACATTTTCTTCCACATAATTAATTATAGAGGCTGCTTTTGTTGCCATCTCTTCATGCTTATACCTATAGATCTTTCTCCACTCCTAAAACAAATAAAGAACCACTAAATATGAATTTGGAGAGTGAGAAATGCAGTAGATGAAGTGATCAAATGAGCATATAGGTTTGCAAACAACTTTAAAAAATGCCAGCAGTAGCGAAATTATGGGGGTATAAAAGGTGTTCCTACCTCGACACTGGGTTCTAACTGTTGATTAGCCTGACGAGATTGGCTCTCATGAACAGAAGAATCCTTATGATCCGAACCAATTTCAGCAGGCCATCTCTTCCTGTATAGAGCTTTCCATATACAATCAGACCCACATATCACCCGCCAAAACCTTGAGGAACTGCTCAGTTTACAAACGCCTGCAACCTTCAAAAAGGAAGACAATGAATCCCCGGAATCAATACTGTTTAACAATTTCAGTAACCAATCTTTTCAGAAAGGAAATCATAAAAAGCCAACACAAAATTTAAGTTTCCATACCTGGAGAGATGAAGCTATCTTGAGGGCTGTGTCATTAGGAAGTGAATTCAGTAGACAAATCTCAGTAATTTCCAGTTTTTGATCCATGATCTTCCTGGTGAATACTGATGGCCTATCTTGATGAAAAAAATGCAAGGAACGGGGAAAAATATATGCAAATGAAATCAAGGAATAAGTGTTGAAAGTGTCAAACACTTTCTTGAAACTGCCTGGCAGTTTTGACAAAGTCAAGCAGATTTTTCAATGTCTGTCCTCTAAATTTCAAACTTAGTCAAATCGGTGATAGATTTAAGCATGAACTGTTGGTTCCTTCTGAGAAACAAGGTCTTCCAAACTTACATTCACCAATGATTTTCTTAGTGAATTGTTACAGATGGTGCAAATCTCAGATTACATTAAGATCAGGGGAATCTGGGAGCCAAAACAGAGCAAGAACCCAAGTATGACAATGGCATGAGCATATGCTTCCATTTAATTATCAAGTTTTAATACAACAGATAGACAAAGAGAGATACATATGAGAGTTTTACATAAAGAAAGAAGAGTACATCACAACTGGGGAACATTTCCCCTTCTCCAAGGAACTGTTCACTCAAGTCTATACCTATGCCCTTATTGTTTCTTCTTGGGCAAAGCTTCAGTATCTGTGTCTGTACATACAACAAATGTGAATGTATGATCCCTTACAACACTTTCTATGTTCCATTTCCATATCACCTTCAATACCATGTTTTATTTAGCAGAATGATATCATCTTGCAATAATTTTAGTCAAACTGCGTGCATGTACATGTGATAGATAATCCAAGGAGCCAGTTGCCTGTCTTCAAGATCGTCCAATAATCAGGAGCAGGTGCCCAGAAATTGTCACTACCGGGGAACATCTTCCTTCCCCAACAGGATATTGTACTTGCTCAACATAGACACACAGAAAAGATGCTGCCGCAAGATCTAGCACGGCAAGAACCAATTCCCTTATCTAAGCTATAAATAAAGCATGAGTAGGAAATCCATCAAAGATTTCCGCTTTCTGCAATTTGGCAGGACCAGGGCACGCATTCAGGCTTGGCAGCAGAAATCTTAACTCGTAATACCTCATGAATTGCCCCACGCTGAAGCACACCAAGAACTTCATTTTCTTTAGATGAAGCCAGGTCTTCTAAAGAAACAGTGCGAGAAAGCAATTCATCACGAAGTCGAAAGCCATAGAACAAACGGCCAAGTTTCCACCATTTGACGCATACTTGCCTCTCCGAAACCTTGCACTTTCTTAATGCTTCTGTAAGAGATTCAGCCTAGAAACAATAACAAATGTTGTCAGAAGATTGCTTTAGCTGATCCTATGTCAATCTGTACCTATTATAGACAATAAAGACTTCATATCATTGCGACTCTGCTTGCGAAATCAGAAGTACAACGCGCTGGGTATAAATAGTAATCAGGTTCACACCACAGGCTTTTTAGCAATACAAACTGGATATTGTTAAGAAAAGTGATCATAAATTACCAGATTATTCCTTGAATTATCAGCCTCCGTTCATATTGAAATAATCAACTAATCTTGGAGTTTTTGTGCTTTAACACTTAGACGAGTATTGACAAACTTAACTTGATCATAACATGTAGTACATGGTGAAAACCTGATTTGTTAACCCAGAAGATAAATCTTATAGGAAACTGCACTATACCAATAAGAATTAAAGATAACCGAGCCCAGTTTGAGCCAGTACTTACAGGCATCTCAAGAATGGTGATGCAGTAGTGCAAGCCAATCAAATTGAGAAGCACGTTGGCATCTGTTCTGAGAAAGTTTATTTGGACGTCTTCAAATTCAAAAAACATTGAGGACATGTCTTGGACTGCTTTTAAATGATATCCAATCTCTATGGAATCAAAGGTCAAACATTGGTCCACAAAATCAAATATAAGTGCTGCTTTTCCTGCCATCTCTTTGTGCCTTTTTACATACATTGCCTTCCACCCCTAAAGCAAAGAAAATTACTATCAATTTAGTAGAAGAAAAAACAACAAATGCAGAGGAGAAAGAGACCAACTGGGAAACAAAAGCATAAATTCTCACCCTCATTCTTAGCTACTTACAAACCTACTCGAACAAAAGACCCGTTAGCACATAAAACCAATTCCAAAACTAAAGTCCTTCAGGATCAAAATAGATGCTTTGACTAAAAACAAGAATTTTATAGCCAGGCTTAACCTTTTGCCAGAATTGCTTTTCCAGTTAGACTAAAAGAAACATAAAACCAAGTAACCAACCAGTGGGCTGATCAAATGATTTAAATTGCATAACAAAACATTCCACCCTTCTAATCTTAGTTCAATTGAATAACTTAAATCCAGAAAAAAGCAATCAATAACAAAATCACCATTTAAAAGAACAAAAATCAATGGAGCAAAGATTGAGTCCAACCGGAAGACGAGAATGGCTCCCATGAGCTGAAGAAGCCGAATCCCAATTGATTGCCACCCACCTCTCTCTGCATAAATCCTCCCATATAAAATCAGACCCACATAACTCTCGCCAAAACCTTGAACAACTGCCCAGTGAACAAACATCTGACGCCTTTATAAAAACAGCATGACAAAACAAAAACCCAGGATTAAAAAACAAAAAAAATCAATCTTTTTGGATACCCAACACGCAAAACGAAATGAATCATACAATTCCATTAGAAATGAAACCCAGAAAACAAAACTGAAAAATTTCAGTACCTCGAGGTGTAAAGCAACCTTCAGGGCTAAATCATCAGGAAGTGAATTGATCATACTTCTAAATTCTAACTAAAAACCTTAATGGAGATTGCTGACAGAAATGTTGATGAGAAAAATGGGGAAATTGATCTTTTCTTTCTTCGATCAATCGAATCAACAATAGAAAGGAGTTTCTTGTTTAGAGACGCAAAGAGCCATGATCAAACTCGAGAAGATTGCTGCAATCCGGGTCATTCACTTTTTCTTTTGCTACGTGGCAAATAGATTTTCAATAGTAAATTGTGAATTAGCCCCTCAATCTAACCAAAAACTTAAATTCATCATTTTACTATCAACTGTAACATTTAATTGTTTCAATAGTTTCTCACCGTATACATGGTAAATATGTTAGCTCATATATCGTGACATAAAATTTGTTTTTTTAATTCTCTTGTTCTTTTACTTATTTTCTTAAGGGGAGGATCGACGTATTTGTTCACAAGTACTATTGTGTATATGCAGAATTTCTAACACTATAATGTCAATTATGTAACTATACTTAATGATAAGAATTAAATTTCCTGAAAATAAATCATCATTTTGATCTTACAACCTCTCAATTTTAAAATAATTTTAGTTACGACTTGATTGACTGAACTAAGTAAGTAGTTAATAATCGTTTACTTCATTCACATACTCTGCAGTGCTCTATATATAAGTGATTGTCTAGAATACAGAGCGGTCATATGTTTGTGAAAATATCATTTAATTTAGGAGTAATATTTTTATCCATTAAAATTGTCATTATTCAAATGTTTATTAAGGTTATTGAACGACCTCAAAAGACAAGTTGGTTCAGGTTAGATTCTAAGAAAATTAGAATTTTGAGATGGTAAATTATTACTACAATTGATGATGTTCGGTAAGTTTGCAATATACACATAACTAAAGGATAACTTTGAAATTTATTCCATCTTAAATGAAAATGAAAGTCAACACTATTCTATCAAGCATTCAAGCCCACACCTCCTCCACTAATCAAAAAAGGAATGAGATTTTTTAAGGGGGGAAAGATGATGTTAGCTTATCCATTCCACGGAATTAATACCCCAAAAATAAATAAATAAAACTGTTAAAGAAATTCAAAAGAAAAAGTACAATGCTTCCTAGTCAACTTCTCTTTGTTTTGGAGTCGGAGATTGGAATCACTTTATACTACTCTTGTCCCAAAAAATGAATGTCTAATTTGGATCGTAACTTATGGTATAATTTGTAATAAAAACAAAAATTCAAACTATATCATAATAATTTCGGGACAAAATAAACACTTAACTTTAATCTTTGTTGTTAAGAGTGAAAATCTTTGTTGTTAACAATTATTTTGGCATCACCACTTATTCAGAGGGATTGGACCCGGGATTGTGATGCCAAGACTAATGTGTTGCCGCAATTATATGGTTTCTTGACCATAAACTTTGTGCAAACATCATGGAGGTCAACCTCAAATGTTAACTGCCCATCGTTTGGCTAAGTCTCAAATCAATCGCACCCGAAACGGACAAAAGGTATTGATCACCGTTAAAGATGGCAAGACATCCTCTTCTTATACGTATTGGTCATTTTCCAGGTTCCTTAATGAGTACTAGAAAGTTTAATTCCAGAACAAAAAACAAACTTGTTTGTGGTCTATGTTGCAGCAATTTGGAGTTGTGGCTTTCATTTCAAAATTGCACAGTGCCAAATGACCCCATTATTAAAGAGAGTTGGGTTGAATGAATAACAACAAAAAACCTGAAGATGAACCTTCATGTGCTCAGAAAATAACAAAAGAGTACTATTTCTGAGAACCCAATTTCTTGGAACAAATAATAATACATCAAACTTTTGCTACCACTATAGACATGTAACATCCATATGAAAGTAAAACGCACTGAGGCTTAAAATATCTGGTTCTAGTAGTTAAGAAGACTGAGGAATTGCAGATGGTATTAGCTCCTGAGGATCGTCCTTCCTCAAACCCTTACACATGGTGCAGATTCTTGTTGGATTTCGCTTGTTATGCGGCTCAGATGAGTACATTTTGATACACAAAATGTCACCGGCGATACCCCTTTCGAGCATTCTTAGGATTTTGGCACCTTCAACTGAGGTGAAATCATATAAAGGGACGCGACGGGCATGTAACACGTCTGGAGGTTTGAACCGATGTAACCAGTTTCCGGCCTCCCACCATTGGATGTATACCAATCGGTCTTGGATGTTGCAGGTATTCAATGCCTCTGTCATGGAACCCACCTGAATGAAAATTGAGATTGGAACAGGCAGGAACCTGATTAGACAGTGGTTCCATACAAATACATTAAGCAAGCAAACATCACTAGTGAAAACATTGCATCAACTACGTGTCACATCAATTACAAATGCAATATCAATTTCACCGTCTCATTTTAACAGTTCACTCTATTAAACTAAGAGTAGAGCAAACTTAGTACAACGTTTTAAGGTGACAGTTACTTGCATCTTGAAAATATCTCATAGAAGCTATTACCAATCCTTCCCAAATTACTGAATTAGGCCTACCGTCGGCAAATCTAGAAGGTGAACTGAAACTCTTTTTCTCCCGAATGTCCACATCAATGCAAAAGAGGTAACAAAACACAAGAATGGTCAATTTTAAGTCCACAAATTTCCACCACTACTACTTGCTACCATCATTCTTCAACTTTTTCATCATCGATGTTGGGAAAAAAGAAGGGGTAACTCAATAGCACACAACTGCCCACAAAGGAAAGTTTCACTCTTTCAAAACACAGTAGAGTTAAAGCAACAGAAACCTAAGAGATTTGTCTCAAATACTTTTGGTCAGCAGTCCAAAGATCTTATACACTAACTAGTCATTTTTATTGTAATTTGCCTACTCGGGATTCTTAATTAATACCTGGAACCTTAAGGAATGTTCAAGATAGAAACTTTACCAAAACTATACGCAAACAACAATAGCAAAAAAGGTATACCAGACCACATGATGTTGATTCGATAACAAGCAAAACATTGACATGATAGGATACGTATACGGTATCCACTATTCCATTTTGTACAAAGAAGTCGACACGTTCTACTAAAATGACGTATAAGGATAGAAGAGTTACTTGGACGCCAAGCTCCTTAATGCAGTAGTGCAGACCAACAAAGTTGAGAAGCACGTTGATGCCTGATTTGAGAAAGAACATCTGTACATCTTTGAACCCAAATTGCATTCTTTTCATATCTTCAAGAGCTTTGTGGTACATATTGACGTCAATTTCTGAGCAGGAAAGGGATTTCCTCACGACAGCTGCCTTTTCCGCCATTAGGTTATGCTTCTTGACATACAATCCTCTCCATCCCTGCAGTTATTTCAGAGATCTTATGTACTTTAGAACCAGAGAATTTTGAGTTGCAGGGGAAAAAAACAGGGGAACCCATGAAATTTCATATTCAAAACACTGATGAAATCTCACTCCATTAACAAAACTTTTGGCATCTTTCTTTGAGAATCTGATCCATAGAACTAAACGTAATATCTAAACATCAAGTTCTAACATCATCCTCATTGGGTCTTTTTCTCAAATAATCTAAGGACACATTCTTGTGAGTGAAAAAAAAACATATTAAAAACCTTAGCTTGAGATGAAAACAAAACAGGGGTCAGAACAGAGTATTGCATTAAAAAAAAATACCTACTCTCAGGAGCCAGTTTGATGAAGAAAATATGATCAAAGAAAGCAACATACCTTCAAAGATGGCATCTTTGGCTGATCATGATCATGGATTTCAGCCTCAATTTCATCTTCCAAAACAATCCCAGGCCATCTCAGTTGGCAGAGATGCTTCCAGAGACACTCAGAAGTAGAAATCTCCCGCCAAAACTTGGAGCAACTTCCCAATGAACACACATCCGACACCTTCCCAAAAAAAAAAAAAAAAACCAGAACAACTTAAGTACAGAACAGTAAAATTAACAAACGAAACAATCATTAAACGAAAAACCCACCTCAAGAAATTTCATAATGCTGAGTGCAACATCATCGGGAAGGGAATCTTGAGCAAGGATCAATTGTCGCTTCATAATTCAGCCCAGCAAAACACACACAAAACTATTAGCCTCTTTTTTTTTTCTTTAATAGTATCTTACTTTCTTCAACTTTCTAGTAGAGTCTTGTAAGTAATGGAGGAAATAAAATTGGAATGAAAATGTGGGGGGTGATGGGATTGGAATTTAAAGAGATGAGAGATTGGACTTTATGGGTCAACAAAATTTGTTAAGATATGGGGGCCTTGTTGCTTTTATGGACATAGGATTCTGGTTTAAAGTTTAAACCTTTGCCCATCAAATGAATTGAAATATTGAATGACAAATTGTATAACAAAAAAAAAAAAAAACAAAAAAAAAACTCTCTCCATTCACAAATAGACCTCATTGAAAGAAAAACTAAATATTTCAAAATAGATGTCGTTCTAACAAATTTTATCAAATTTTTCTTATAGTACTATCTTTAAATTAGAAACTGTAACGATATTTAATGTAGAATTTTATTAGAACTAGATGTTATTGGGACTACAAATATTAAGAATAAATGAGAGTATTATAGTATATTAACAAGATAATTTATTACCTCCTTAAATTTTGTGAAATCTTTCTAACGACATTTATTTGTGAATGGAGGTAATAATAAATAATGAATGATAGAGTATGTGATCGTGATTCGTGAAGTGTTTGTTTTTGCTTGTAGTATTTGGCAATTTAATAGAGGAGTGTGACCAATAACAACCTTCTTTTAGGCTATACTCTCTCCCACGTTGCTCCTTTTCGCAATTTTGCCGATTTCTTGATCAATCTTTTTTTCAAGGTAAGATGTAGTAATTTTTATTTCTATAGTCTAATTGACAGGGAAAAAAAAAAACAAAAGGAATGTCACCTAGTAATACTCTTCAGATCAGTGTTCCTTTACTAGTACATGTCTTGTTTTCCTAATCAATCTTTATAGTATTCTTCTGAGTAATGATGGGTTAACAAGATGTTTAAGCAATAATTCAACAATCGTTGATTCTAAATTACTTTATTTTTATAAATTTAATACTCTGTCCATCCTAAAATTATTATCTAATTTAAAATTTTACTTTTAAAACAATTGAACTGAAAATGAAAATTCAAGTTGGACAGTAATTTCGAAACAGAAGGAGTATTGTTTATTTTATACTACTTCTTTCCTAAAAAAATAGTTAACTCTCAAACATCAATGTAGATTTTTTTTTTTTTTTGAAACAGAGAGAGTATTTAGCTAAGAACGATTAAATTTAATTCAAGATTAATTATTATTAATTCGTGCTCAACTCGTATCGAATTGGTGTCAATAGGATTCAAGTGAACTAGTTATCCACAAAAAAATTCCTGAAAATGCCAATGGACCTTTCACTTCAGATAAAAGCGTGAAACGTTTCGAACTTTTGTCTCCTTGAAGGAAGGAACTAGTAGGTGTTTTATCATTTATGCATCACATTTTTTAATTTTTTCGGATAAAACTTTTTTTTTTTGTTCTCCTTGAAACCTCTAGATACACGTGGCTTGTTGTGGGAACACACGTGTCATCTCTCCAGATGACTCGTCATCTTTCTGACAGGTGTCATCTTGATGAAAGTCCACGTGTGTTTAATAGTCAAACGAAAACAACCTTAAATTCCACCATTTCAGACCACCACAGCACTATTAGCTAAAAAAATTTAATCTTAAATTTATCAAAAAGAAAATGGAAGGTGGTCCCACACAAGCGGAGATTCCCGGCGAGCCAACGCACACCGGAACGGCGGTGCTGGAAACCGCCACCGCCACCATCCAAGGCTTCGGTCCGGTGAACAAAATCCACCAACACCTCTGCGCGTTCCATTTCTACGCCGACGACATGACCCGACAGGTGGAGGCCCACCACTTCTGCGGCCACCAGAACGAGGAATTCCGGCAATGCCTGATCTACGACAAGCCGGAGAAGGACGGAAAACTCATCGGACTCGAATACATAATCTCCGAGCGGCTCTTCCTCACGCTACCCGACAACGAGAAGCCTTTCTGGCACAGCCACGAGTACGAGGTTAAATCCGGGATTTTGTTCATGCCCGGAGTTCCCGGGATCGTCCAACGTCAGGATCTAGAAAAAGTGGCGAAAACGTACGGGAAGACGATCCATTTCTGGCAGGTGGATAAAGGGGATAGCTTGCCGTTGGGGATTCCTCAGGTGATGATGGCGTTGACCCGGGACGGTCAGCTCCGGCCGGGTCTGGCTCAGGATGTGGAGAACCGGTACGGGATTTCGTTCGAGAAGGAGAGGGAGAACCGGGTTCATATGACCGGGCCGGATCACGGGTTGCACCCGCTGGCCAACGCGAAATGCCAGGGGCTGAGGACGGTGCTCCGGGAGGTGGATTGCCAGCCGGCCGATTCCATGCCCCGGGTTTTTACGTAAATAAAGAAAATTTTAAAAGTAAAAAAGAAAAAAAAAGGTTTGCTTAATTTTGTAGTGAATAATTATAAATAATGTACATGTGTTATGAAAGTTTGACTAGGTACTCAACGTTGTTTTATTTCTTTCGTTTATGAAATAATTGTATCTTTGTTTATCTTCCAAGAGTAAATATAATAATACAAATAGTATCATAATTTTATGTTAATTGTGTTTTTGTCCATCTAAAATTTCATAGTTGATAAGCTTTTGTAATCAATCATTTGATGAGTAATCAAAGCATTCCAAGTATTGAGTATTTGTGTCAAAAGGTTTCTTTTGGATCTTCTATATACAATTTTTTTTAGAAAGGACCTGCATATTAATTAATTTAGAGTTTTTAAATTATTATACTGTGTTTTTGTATATGTTAAATTATACGTCTAAAATTTCATTTCTACCTGATTTTAATCAAAATACATTGCTCAAAAGACGAAATTAATTGACGTAATAATATAATGATTTTTTGTGCTTCCGTTGGAAGAGTCTCTGATTTTTGATTGGTCGTGAGTAACTCACAATCTGTGCGGATCTCTAAATTATACATATCTAAAATTTTATTTCTACCGACTTTAATCAAAATACATGACTCAAAAGACGAAATTAATTGACGTAATAATATAATGATTTTTTGTGCTTCCGTTGGAAGAGTATCTGATCTTTGATTGGTTGTGAGTAACCCACCATCTGTGCAGATTTTCACTCTTTGCAAGCCCAAGGAAGATGCATCAAGCGATGTATTCAGATAAGTCATAGTTTCCGTTTGAAAAGTTGATAGTGACGATATGTTGATGGATTTGAGTTGCATCAGTAATCCAAGTTATCTTTCAGGCACCTACTGCTTGTCTTGTATTTGGATGAAAGGAGTCATCAAACTCAATGAAAGTCTGTATAAAAGTATTTGCTTGAGGGGATTGTTGAGGGTTGACTTGTTGTGCTTGTCTTGTATTTGGATGAAAGGAGCCATCAAACTCAATGAAAGCCTGTATAAAAGAATTTGCTTGAGGGGATTGTTGAGGGTTGACTTGTTGTGCTTGTCTTGTATTTGGATGAAAGGAGCCATCAAACTCAATGAAAGCCTGTATAAAAGAATTTGTTTCAAAGGATTGTTGAGGGGTGATTTGTTGTGATGCAGCAGCATTGGTGTGGTTATGACGTAACATATCCTTTTTGAGTTGCCCATATTTCGCTTGCACCAATCTCCAAGGGTAGACAGGATCAGTGGCTTGAGATCTCCAAATTCTGTCATTCCCTTCTACCCAAATTCGCCAAAAGATCAACAAAAATAAGTCCAAATCCTCTTCTGAGGGAGAGGATTGCATCCATTGGACATACTAGTTAAGAAATGAGGTGGTATTGCCCCGTAAAATTGACTGAAATTTGGAGTAAGCAAAATTCCAAATTGCTTGTGAAATTGGGCATTGGGAGGAGATGTAAATCATCCTCAATCTGGGTGAAACATCTAGGGCAGCTAGAATCAATCTGTATCTGGCGTTTTTGTAGACCAGCTTTGGAGGGAAGGGCATTTGAGATGGCTTTCCAAAATAGCATTTTGTGCTTCGGCTGAACTTTGGAATTCCATAATCTTTTCCAAGTTCGTTCCTTCTGATCCTGTGTATTAGTATTATGTGGTTGGTCTTGAACTCTGGCAGTCAAAGCAGTGTGATACCCTGACTATATTGTGTACTTCCCATGAGAAGTGTTTGTCCAGATCAGGGTGTCCTGCTGTGCATTCCTTGCCGGATCAATAAAAATGCCTGTTATGTATGGGATTATATGATTCGGGAAGATGGTTCTCAGAAAGGGTAATTTCCACTGGCCATTGCCTCGGAAGAGATCCCTTATTTTGAGATTGGAGTGAGTGGCTAGAAAAGAATTTTGTTGGATAGGATTTGGATGATTTGGAATCTAGTCCTCAGCAATACCAATGGTTCTGCCTGAAATAACTTTCTATTTGGTGTTATTCTGCAGGAGCTGAGCTCCCCAGAAAACACTCTTATATCCCTATGTAGCATTGGTTGGGGGTTGGAGTTGAGGGAAATTAAAGGAACTGCAGTGTTTGGCTCTGTATACTCTAGAGATGAGAGAATCTGGTTGTGTTAGGATTTTCCAAGCATGCTTTGTCAACAGAGCTTAGTTAAACTCCTTGGTCGCTTTCAGAACCTCCTTGGAAAACAGACTAGCTGATTTTCTGCCAAGATCGCCAGTGAATGCCTTTCGATTAAGAATCACCCTTCCAGATGAAGCTACCAATGATGCTATCTGCTTTGCGTAGCGTGGAGGCTGGAAGCTTAAAAACTCCCATTGGATATATTAGCATTGCAGATATTGTTGATTTTGCTAAAGTCACTCGTCCAGCGGAAGACAAGTGTTTTGTTTTTTAGGTTGCAAATTTGTTGAGAAGTCTGGCCGCGAATTCTTTGAAGATATCCTTCTTTTTTTCTTTGAAGTCCAGGGATAATCCTAGATATTTAATCTGAAAAGTGCCTTCTAGAATCCTGGTAGTAGTATGTATAAGGTCTCTTATGACAGCAGAAGTGTTAGGACTCAGTAAGATGGATGACTTTTGATAGTTGATCTTCTGGCCAGAATATGTAGCATAGATGTCAATCAATCCTGTTAATGCTTGAAACGCTGATTCTTTGGCTTCAATAAAGAATAAATTGTCATCAGCGTACATGAGGTGACTGATTCTCGGGGCATTTCGACTGATCTTTATACCAAGGCCTGGAAACTGTTTGATCTCTTCTCTGATTGATGATGACAGAACTTGCTGACATAGTATGAAAAGATATGGTGACAACGGGAACCCTTGACGTATTCCTATTTGTGGAGCAAAGAATGGAAGACTGTCACCATTGAATTGGATAGAATATGTGACAGAGGTGACACAAAACATGATTAGACGTGTTATGTTCTCTGGAAATCCAGAATTTTTCAGAACCGCTTCTAGGAAAGGCCATGAAACTCTATCATAAGCCTTGCTCATGTCCTGTTTAATAGCTGCCAGCCCTAGATCTCCATTTTTTTCTTGATGCATTCAATTACTTCATGAGCAAGAAGGATATTTTCGCTGATATTTATCCTAGGAACGAAGCCATTTTGATGTTCATCAATCAAAAGAGTGATGCAAGATTCAAACCTGTTGGTAATCATCTTTGTGTTAATCTTTTACTTGATATTGCACAAGCTTATTGGTCTGAAATCATTGGGTGACACCGGGTTTGGGATCTTGGGAATAAGTATCAGATTGGTTTGGTTCCACTCAATTGGGAAGTGCTATTGGTTGATAGCATCAATGATGGTAGATTCCGCATCTTGAGCAATGATGTGTTTATAGGTCTTGTAAAATCCGGTTGGCATGCCATCAGGACTTGGGGCTTTCCATGGAGCCATTTGGCTTAAAGCTTCCCGTATTTCAGCTTTAGTGGAGGGTTGATCAATCATGGTCTTTTGTTGAGATGTAAGAACTTCTTTAACATTCTAAAAAAGATGTTGCATGAAAAGGGACTGTTGAAGATCAGATGGGTAGTTTGGATTGTTGGTGTAAATCCCTTCAAAATGTTGCTGCAAGAGGGTTGCTATGCTTTCAGAATCTTATAGCCATTGTCCCTTTTTTGTACTTAACTCAGTAATCCAATTGTTTCCCCTTCTTCTTGTGGCCCATTTATGGAAGAAACAAGTGTTTCTATCCCCCTGAAGAGGCCAGACTAATTTGGATCTTTGTTGCCAGTAAGCTTGTTGGAGCTGCAGTGTTTCCTCTAGTTCCTTTCTAGCTATTGCTAATTGTGAAAAAAGGTGTTGATCCTGGGGGTTGGATTCTCACTACATTTGCAAAGAAGTCATTCGCAGATTAAGCTTATGAACTAATTTCTCTAGGTTACCAAATCTGTCACTGCTCCAGTTATGGAGACTGGTAAGACTTGTTTGCAATTGGCATGACATCTTTTCTTGTTTGTTGGGAATCTGTAAAGTACCTTGTGTCCAAGCTGTTTGTACTAGTTGCTTCGATTGGGGACAATGTGACCAAAATTGTTCAAATCTCCTTGTCTTTTTGGTTCTCTGTTTTTTTTTCTTTGATTTGGACAAGTATAGGAGCATGTTCCGAAACCAAAATTGGAAGATTACGAATGATTGCCTTGTTAAAGCATGTTAGCCATTGCCTGTTGACAAATGCTCTGTCCAGCATTTCAAAAATGGCATCCCCATTTTGCCTTTTGTTTGTCCAAGTGTACCAGCATCCAGTATGTGGAAGTTCTTCCAAATCATCATTTGATAAAAATTGTTGAATTGGTCTTGTTTCATGATCTCTTACTAGTCGTCCCTTTCTTGTCTTCTTGACTAGTGACTTGATTAAAGTCTCCTAAAAACGACCATAGGATAGTTGAAATGGCTAAGGTTGACATTAAGTTGGTTCCAAAATTCGACTCTTCCTTGATGCGAAGGAAGGCCATACAAGAGAACCCCTAACCATTCAACTCTAGAAGGTTCGCAGACCTTTACTACTATTACATTGCTGGTATGCTGAACTATAGAAAGCTGCACACCATTCTGCCAAAATAGAGCCACACCACCAATAAGACCGACAGTATCAACTACAAAAGAATTCTTTAAGCTAGAAGTCTGTTGTCGTACAGCCACACTAGTACTATTAGCCCTAGTTTCCATTAAGAACAAAATAGACGGTTTATAATGTTTACATAAACTATTAATAGCATGTTTTATAGAGGCATTGTTGATGCCCCTACAATTCCAGGACAGTATACTCATTCTGGTGAAGGCAGTTGATGTGGTTCAACCACCGCAAGACACTCCAGCTTTCCATCAATCATCCTATTCATTTCTTCTGTTGCCTGGTTCCTGAGTTGACTCTGTGGTTCTGTGTAAGGGTTCTGCTTCTTCTGTGGCCTGTCCTCCTCTTCCTGTGACCTTCAGATGAAAGTATATAATCCATTTCAACTGCCATGCGCCATGGACCAGCATTGGGGGCGTTGGTCTTGTTGGCAACCTTCTTTAAATTCCTAGAACCTCGCATCCTGGCACGCTGACATTTCCTGGTGGTATACCGCAGGAGGACATTCTTCTTGTGTAGAGTTCCTGCATCTGTATCAGAGGTACATTTTCTGACCTTCATCATGTGGGAGTCAACAGTAGTGTCTGAATCAGCATCACTCTCATCTTCCAGAAGTGGTGCCGACATTTTCCAACCTGAAACTTTGTTTTTGCAGGGCTATTCATGTTTGGAGGCACGCTCTGCTGATCTGGGATGCTTCCTTGGTGTTGAGTAGTACTCATGAGTCTCCTGGAAAGAATCTACAATATGGTTGTCGCTGGAGGGAGACTGGGGAATAGCTATACTAGATGAAGACTGAGATACAGGGGAAGCTACTTCCTTTCTGCCTAAAACTGAATCAGACAGTACAATATCAAAAACAAAATTGGGAGACACATTTACATCAGCATAAGGGGGATAATCCGGGACATTGGGGATAAAGTTACTTGGTACATAATCCATGTTGTCTAAAGCATCTTCTGGTGGTGGAACATCTGGGATTAAGTAAAAGGAATCCGACATCTCTAATGCAGAGGATTCTCCTTGGAAAAAACCTTGATAACCATTTCTAGCAAATTGCGAATTAAGAGTATGAAAAGTACCTTCAGATGGCAAATCAGATTCAACGACATCTTCCGTCGCCATGGCAGCTGGAGCTGCAAACCTTTCCTTCGCATAAATGCTATTGTCTCTAAAGCCATTCTGTGTTGCATAAGATCTTGGTGTGGTGTAATCATCACTCAGATAATCATCTGGATGAAATCCCCCTGAACTATAGCCATCTCCATTGTCAGGGTTGCCATTGTTGTGGTGATCATCATCATTTTTATTGTGATCATTAGCGTCATCATCATCATTGTCATCATCATCTTCTGGAATATCAGCTGGATGCCACGCCGATGGTTCTGGTTCATCCAACTCGGTGATCTGAAAACCATCATGAATGAAATGTTCAGGAACAGAGCTATAGTAATCACGCATGTGAAGATACTTATCATCCCTAATTCTGGAACATCTCTTCTTTTTATGTCCATGTGCTCTCATCGATTCTGAAAACATGGGTGTAGTGGCATCAATCAACAAAGGCGAGTTATTCTTGACCGCCTTCTCAAGGAAATATTGATCCAGAAATTGATTCAACTCTGCTTCATCCATCATATAGCAGCGATTCAGTGGATGACCCAATTGGCCACATCGTTGGCAAAACTTATGAACCGCCTCATATTTGCATCTAATCTTGCCCAGTTTGCCATTGCGTTTTGTGAAACCTTGGGGTCAGAGGATTTCCAGGTTCCACCAAACCTTTGTTCTAATGTAGGTGGCTTTTCAGAGAGAAACACAGTCCTCCTTGAGCAGTGCTACCTCTCCAACTCTTTTGGCAAGATCTCTGGCTGCTTGGTAGTTAAGAGAAGTGATGGGCGCCCGATGCATGCGCACCCAGAGACTAAGCTTAGTGACACTTGGGCTCCAAAAACTTATTAATTTATGGAGTTATTAATTTATTGATAAATTAATATATTATTAATTTAAAGAATTTTTTCAATCTTATAAGTAATAAAATACAAGAATTGAATACTTTTTGTATCTAGAAAAGTCTGTTATAGCCCTAACCATAACATTATAAATTTTTTAATGGAACAAAAACATGATAATTACAAACATAAACATAAATAATAAATCAAAATCTAAGTTAATCTTCAAATATAATTTATTATTTTAGGTATTTATGAATTTATAAAATTGTTGAAACTTATATTTACATAAGAGATTCTTGAAAAATTATTATCTTATAAATTAATCAAATTTTTTAATTTTTTATACTGGTCCCGAGTTGGGACCAAAAAAAAATATTACTTAATGGAGGTTATTAATTTGTAGAGAATTAATTTAGGGAGGTTTTACTGTATATATACAATGAAATTAATTTTTAGGAACTGAGTAAATTAATTTGTTTGTTAAATTGACAGGCTCTAGATATTACGAACTCGAAATGTGAAAAACGATGAAGTGGAAATCTTACATTAGAGATAATTAGGAACAAAAGTTGTCTTTTTTGGGATATTAATATTGGAGACAAACATAAGTAGTACCTTTTGACTAACGGGCGTTTGGATAATAATAACAAATGCATGATCCAAAACTATGAAACGCGTATGTGTCTTCTCTTACAAAATTAAACATAACTATAGAATTTGGCCTATTTAATAGAGATTATACTTGCTAACAATGATTGAAAAGCTAATGTCGGATTTACATTGTGATTTATGACTTTAACTTTTCCTCTAACAAACAAATGTATGCCACGCTACTATCTTTCTTCATTCACTAATGAAAGTTGTTTTGTTGTGCAAAATGACAAATTACAAAAGGAAAAGAAAAAAAACTTTTGTCTCATCGATCTGTTGAATTAAAAGATAGGATGATCAAATTAATTATTTTTATAAGAGGGAAGCATTATTTAGTAAAAGTTATAAAACGGCTAGTAATTTAGAATAATTAAAATGAGGGGAGTGACTAATCAAATGCCTACTCATCAATATATATGGCTTGCTTCCAAAAGTTAGTTGATAGCTTTCGTTTTTTCTCCGAACTAGTACATCAATAAATTTCTGGACCACTTGTTCGGGCCTAAATGGAGTGTAAGAGATTACTTGTTGCCAGCTAAAGCCCAGTCATACCAAGCAATCAATGGATTTCACGTCATAAGACACCCATACCTTTAAGGAGCCCATATTAAGGACCACCGAATTCTACTATTTTTCCATGTGGATTAAACTTTAATGGTGGCTTCATCAGGGGGCTTATGGTCATGGGGCATCTATCTATATAATTCATTTTCATTATTATTTTCAGTACTACCACTACACGTATAAACATTGAAAACCATTTACTCCTGAAATTTTATGTGATCATCCTCGCTCCATGTCTCTCCAAAAAAAAATATGGTTTGCACAGCAGAAATGCACTCTTGAAATTAACCATCTTATGTAAATTTCCTGTTACCAACGATGACAATGATAATAAATTCATTCAGTAGAATAAGTTTGTATAAGAACGTAACAAACCTTAATGACATCAGATTTTGATGAATAGAAATTGTAATATTGCTATTCTTTACGTTAATATTTAATACACCGTCAAAATAAGAACTACTCCTTCTATCCTAAAATTATTATTCTATTTGAGTCTTCATTTATGGTATAATTTTTGTACTGAAAATAAAAATCTAAACTGGACAATCATTTCGAGACAGAAAGAATACTATTTTCATGTCTTGTTAGTGGTTACTATTCGAACAACTATAACAATGATATGAAGTGTTCTTTTCGTCTTATTAAATAATTTATTTGTTGAACAAAAACAATAAGATTAACTGATAAACTGAATTGGGTTTGGGAGGAGTATTATACGGTTAGCTGGACTCCCAAGTACCAGAATATATACCAATTATGCTAAAACCATACTTGAAATATTTCTTGTGAACTTGAGTGGTGGCTGAAAAGCTGATTTCGGTCAAATATGAGGGATTATTTTGATAATTGCTAAAATATTGAAAGATTGCTACAGTTCACATTTCAGCCAGGATTTTTCAGAGTGAAGCTCCACAAATATCCACCAATCAATTGGATTCTCCCAGGATAACTGCCATTGCCACTTAAACCCAAATGGCATCTTCAACCTCAAAATTTTTCATCAATTTTTTGTAATTACTGGTATGAAATGCCTCTTCCATCATCACAAGCAATTTTGGTGAATTCAAGTTTTCTTCAACTGAAAGGAAAATGTCCATCTCTGCTGTCTCTAATGGGATCAAACTGCCATTACCAAAAACACAATGGCATCAAAGAATTCTTTCAGCTCAATTTCTTACTCATTTTCAGGTGAGCTCTGCACCTTATCCTCCTTCTTTACATTTGAAGAGATCCTTTAATTTTAGTAAGGAAAGATTTAGGCTTGTAAAGGCTTCTGCTGCTCCAGTTGTTGAAGCTCCCAAAACTTCATTCAGAAACAAAAAACCCGCTGATATCAATGTATTAGTTGTGGGTTCAACGGGTTACATTGGGAATTTTGTTGTTAAAGAGTTAGTGAAAAGAGGGTTCAATGTCATTGCTGTTGCTAGGGAAAAAAGTGGAATTAGAGGCAGAAATGATAAAGATAAGACCTTGGAAATGTTGAATGGTGCAAATGTGTGCTTTTCTGATGTGACTGAACTGGATGCTTTGGAAAAGAGTTTGGCAAATTTAGGGGTTCCAATTGATGTTGTGGTGTCTTGCCTTGCTAGTAGAAATGGTGGGGTGAAGGATTCATGGAAGATTGATTATGATGCTACAAAGAATAGTCTTGTTGCTGGGAGGAAATTTGGGGCTTCCCATTTTGTGTTGCTATCTGCAATCTGTGTGCAAAAACCCCTTCTTGAATTTCAAAGAGCAAAGTTGAAATTTGAGGCTGAGTTAGTAGAAGAAGCTGAAAAGGATGAGGAATTTACTTACAGCATTGTTAGGCCAACAGCATTTTTCAAGAGTCTTGGAGGACAGGTTGAGTTGGTGAAAGATGGGAAGCCATATGTGATGTTTGGGGATGGGAAATTGTGTGCTTGTAAGCCAATTAGTGAGCCTGATTTAGCATCATTTATTGCAGATTGTGTATTGAGTGAGAACAAAATCAATCAATTTTTACCCATTGGAGGACCTGGAAAGGCCTTAACACCATTGGAGCAAGGGGAAATGTTGTTCAAACTATTGGGAAAGGAGCCTAAGTTTCTGAAAGTTCCTATTGAAATAATGGACTTTGCCATTGGAGTTCTTGACTTCTTAGTGAAAATATTCCCTTCACTGGAAGATGCAGCTGAGTTCGGGAAGATTGGTCGGTATTATGCGGCCGAAAGCATGCTTGTATGGGAGCCTGAAACTGGAGAGTACAATGCTGATAAAACACCTAGTTATGGAACTGATACATTGGAAGATTTCTTCAAGAAAGTCCTCACAGAAGGAATGGAAGGTCAGGAATTAGGGGAGCAAACAATTTTCTAGGATGCTCAAACATTATTGTTGGTGTAAAGTTTGTAATTCAAAACTGACAATTTTTAACAGAAAATTTTGAAGGAATCCAATATATTTTTCTGTTCTTTCCTTGTTTTCTTGATCCATTATTGGTAAATTTGGTGCTACCTTTGATATGATCTGGGTCCTCTATCTCACAATGCCTTTCCTTTGGCAGTTCTGTCATAAATATTATAAGAGTTCTAGTTCAGAATTGCTGGTGAGATTCGAACTCTCGACTTTTAAGATGAGTCCTTAGACTCAACCTAAACGTTTCCCAGTTAACAAATGCAATTAGAACCTGAATCTTCAATGGTTAATGCGAGTATTCCTGCAATTTACAACATTCAAACACAGTTGGATGGTCCAGTTCCAGTTGCTACATGAGCCTAAATAACAGAAACTCTGCACCAGAAACACATTTTTTGGGGACAGAGTAGAAACTAAGATGTCCTCTGAAAGACAAACAAACTGTGACAAATTCTATTCTTGCCTTTTGGTGTTCCTGTGTCAGGGTCAAGTGGCAAACGCAAATCTCTGATAACTTTGCACTCAACAGAAGAATATTACTCTAAATAATGACAAATTGAACTCAAATCTCCAATGATTAATGCGACTGATTAAGTACATTTACATTCAAACACAGTTGAAGCATCCATTGTCAATTACACACACCCACCCACCCACACACACACACAACAACAACAACACTTACAATGAATGTTACATATACAGAACAGAAGCGATTCGCGACGAAAATGAGAAGACCGTCCCTGATTCTGGCGAATTCATTTCAGTCACTTGGGGATCTTCTTGGAGAGGGAATAAATGGAGAGCAAAACAAGCAATGCCAAAACCACAGAGGCAAACAATGAGAATGCCAGTGAAGTCACAACGTGTTTGCAGAACACATCATAAGTGTTGCAGACCTTTCCCCATTTCACATGAGAATCGCCCTTGTAACCAATGTATCCAACTGCACCTCCTGTTCCTGTTGCTGAAGCTACTATTCCCAACAATAGCTGCAAAAAATAAATTTAAAAAAAATCAACACAAAATTCATCTTTCCTGTTTAGTTCAAATTGAGAGGTTTTGTTGATACACACGGGAATGCATGATTCTGTAACGGTTATTGACTTGAACCTAACTACAGGGTTCAAATCAAACAACCCTTTAACAGAATCATGTGGACTGCACGTATTACATAGATTGTCACATCTTTTGAGTAAATTACATTATAACGGCAAATGAAATCTGATGAAAAAACCTTATTGTAATATAGTTACTAGATGGAAAAGAGTTCAATAAATGTGTAGGTGTATTGAAAAATGGACAAAACGCAATTTTAGTCTCTAAATTATGGGGTTCATAACTTTTGGTCATCATTAATTTTTTACTGATAATATTAGTCACCACCTTTTCGTTTATTCAACAGTTTTAACCAATTTAATGGTCCGCTCTTTTTTTAATTTTATTTTTTTATTTTTTATCAATTTTTTACTGAACAAGGACCCGAAATGTATTTTGAAACAATAAAATCAGTCCCCAAATATCTTTTTTTTCAATAATTTTAGTCACTTTAACAGAATTTTTAAAAATTTAATGTCCAATTCAATTTTCCTTTAAGTCTTTATTTTTTATTGATTACTTAATAAATTATGAGTCCTACAAGTTTTTTATCAGATTTTTTTTTTAAAAAAAATTAAAAGAATAATAAAAGTATTTCTGACCAACTTCCTAAAACCTAATACACTGCTCCTGAACGTCTCACCATCACCTCCTCGCCGACAAAGTAACCCAGAAAAAGAGCCTCATTCTTGATCGTTTTCGTTGTCCATTTTTTTTTTTTGAATTTATTTCTCGGGGAGCACAATATTTGGGATTTAGGAAATTGGTCAGAAATATTTTCATTATTCGTTTAATTTATTTTTTTCAAAAAAAAAAAACATTCTCATCAAAGACTTGTGAGACCCACAATCCATTAATTAATCAATAAAAATAAAGATTTAAAGGAAAATTGAATTCGACGATTAAATTTTTGAAAGTTTTGTTAAAATGTCTAAAATTGTTGAAAGAAAAAAGATATTCGGAGACTAATTTTATTGATTGAAAATACATTGCGGGTCTCAATTTATAAAAAATTAATAAAAAATAAAAAACTTAACGGAAAAAAGAATTGACCGTTAGTTGACCGTTAAATTGAATAAAACTGTTGAATAAATAAAAAGATGGTGACTAATTTTATCAGTAAAAAATTAATAGTGACCAAAAGTTATGGGCCAATAGTTCAGGGAAGTACATTTTATCCTTGAAAAATTAACTTACCACATCAAAGATCACAAAATGTGAGATGAACTTTGTGGAGAAAGTAGGTTTTAGAAGGGCAAAAATTGAAAGGAGCGAAGTGACGAGGCCGTAGAAACCAGCTACTGAAAGCGCTGAGATCAAGTATCTGCATTACCATCAAATCAAACAAAAGTAGATTAATCACCACCCCATAAATGTCTCAGTTAAATTTTTTTTTTTTCCATTGAAAATCATGCCGGAAAAAAGTTGCTGAACGTTCACGCACATTTTTAATAATTACTGTGATGGTCCAAGTATTTAATCTTAATAATGTCAAACCACCTTTACAAGATTATAATCTTTTTATAATAACAAAATATCAGAACCAAGAAAATAAATAAAGAATAATAAATCAATCCGGCCGTTTAACTAATGGGCAGGGGGTGAGACAAAATTGGGTAAAGCAGGGGAATTTTTTTTCCTCAGAAATTTCCCACCAGGAATCGAGTCGTGTCCTGGTGGTTAAGGCGTGATACTTTTAATCGCGAGTTTGTGAGTTCGATTCTTACTGCGGACGCAGGAAACAGGCAACTGAAAAAGAAAACAAATAGTTGACTAGCCGTCAGTTTAAGCAGGCAGGAGGCCTGTCACCTGTCATTATCGGTCACGAAAAACTGGACACGTTGAGCAAAAGGTGCATGCGAGTAAAATCTTCTCCTAGTAGTATCATCTCCTTCTCCAGTAGTCTTTACCGGTCTACTTCTTTGTAATAGTCTAGGTAGCTTCAAATCATCAATAGGTACGACCTAAAAAAAATTTCCCACTAACAAATTATTACTTCCTTTTCTGTCTCTCTCTCTCTCTTTTTTTTTTCCTTTGTCAAGCTGAAGGCTTTGGAGCTACTGATGGGGTTGACTTGGACCACTTGGTTTTTTATATAGTTTACCACTGTATATAGTTTTATTTAGACAGTTACTTTCGTAATACCCATTTTTACCAATAAGTGTCTAATTTTGTGCCAATGAGTTTTCAGCATTTATGTCCTCCCGTCCTAAAAATTGAAATAAAAGTGAGAATCTAAGTTAGATAATAATTTTAAACAGATAGAATATTATTTTAAATTCTTGTCACATTCAGTGTACTCAAGAAAAAACAAACGTGGCTCAAGTTTTGACAAAACATTATCCTAAGTCCTAACCCTTTTTACTTTTCTATTTTTCATTTTCAAACATAATATCCATGCAAATTTATTTTGGAATCATTATCAAGGACCAAAAGAAACAATTGCTGAGCTTCGTGTTCGTATTGTGGTTATTAGCATTATCTAATGTGGACTGCTAAGATACAAGCCAATGGAAGAGGCCAACATTTGTTCTCTACTCGTGAGGACTCTGGTACACAGTAAAGAAGAGCTCTGCATTGACTTTTTTTTTTTTTTTTTCCGAAAGAGATATCTTGAATTGATAACGTATTGAAAAATATTTTGACTCCGCCATTGACACTGTTACAAAGTTTCTTCACAAGTTTTCAGTAAATTATAAAAAAAAGTGTAGTTACAAAAAATTTATCACTTAATAAAGATTATTTGACTCAAATTCGAATTAACTGTGTGCGTACATTATTAACCATTCTGATTGAAGAGTAGGTACTACTATCGAAGATTGGTCTATTTCAGTTAAAATACTTGACGTAACAAAATTTTGAACCCGTTATTGTGCTTAAATAATTTTTCTTTTTTTTTTTTAAGAAAAAAGAACTATATGAATAAGCGAGAAACTCCAGGAAAGAAAACAATGACTTCTCATACTGTTCGTCGTGATCATAAATTCAAAATCATCCATAATAGTTTGCTTTTGTTGATACGGGATTGGCCTTTTGTTAAATCATGTCCTAAAGCAGCACTCCAAATGCCAAAATATATTAATTTGTGCCAACGTCAACTGATTGGAACGTACCCCCGGCTTTCTTTTTGTCTAAAGACCGTCTTTATGGACTAATTATAGTGTACATCCATTCCTCATCAAATTTAAATAATAATTCTCATACTTCAGAGCCTAAATTAAGTTTTAAAAAATCCAAGAAAATAAAGCCTAGCACTACCCCATCCCCTAAATAAATAAAATGAAGTAGGTTACTAGTAGAAAACCATGTCAAGCATTCAAATACACAGGAAATTCACAGCTAAGAGAAATAAACCAATTAATGAATAAAGAAATTTCAGAACTTCAGGAAGAGCTAAGAAATATGCAAAAACTGGTTTATGAAATGGAGTACCAAAAAGGGCAAAAAAAAAAACGTAAAATTAATTTAAAGATATATGCATGCAGACATACTTCAAGTTTCCAAACATGCAGAAAATGAAACCAACGTATAAAAATACAAAAACATAATAAACACACTAAATTGTGATTTTTTTTATTATTACTTTTTTTTGGGGGGAAGAAACTTACATGAGAGCCGGCGAGTTAGTAAATTTAGCCGCCACCGGCACCGGAAAAGGCACAACCTGAACCGGAATAAGCTTCGTTTGCTTGCTAGTCCCCAAAACCACGACGGCAACCACCGATGCAGCAAACAGCAAAACCCTCAAAACCACATCAACCACTGGGAAGTAGTCCTTTGGTGTGGCGGCGCCCGGAGCCGCCTCGGTCGCGGCCAACGCTTTAGTCTCCGGTGGTGGTTCCGATGCTTCTCCGGCCTTTTCCGTCACCGCCGGTTCTTCAGCTGCCTCCTTTGGCTCTTCTACTACTACTGGTTCGGCACTTGGTGGTACCTCCGGCTCGGTGGAAGCCATGGCTCTCTAGGGTTTTTTTTTTTTTAGACTATTTTTTACTAAAAAAAATTTGAGCTTAGTGTAATTATTGGAAGGTGAGTAAATGAACAGAGATTTTTATGATGAAGAAGGGGACGAGTTATGTAGGAAGACAAAGATTTATAAAAGGTCCAAAATGAAGGAAAAAAATTATGGATGGGGTTTGGTTGGAATTCCCAACACGCTAAAGTGAAGTGATATGGATTTGGATAACAAGTTTTGAAAATTATATGTATCAATGATTTTTCTTTACATGTATGTTTGTCCAGCTAATTTATTCACATTTGTTTAGGATGATGATGGTGTGGACACTTTGATGATTAGGATTTTATAGGAATAATAAAGTTGTCATTGGTTGTTTCAACTTTAAAGACAAAAACTTTAACTTTGGCTAAACACATATATGATTAAGTAAGTGACTAGTTTTTGCTTACCAACCATTAGTCATATAAAGCATGATCAATTTCTTACAAGTTGTAGGAATCTTTTTGCATGATTAATCTCTATGATTGGTTTTGATCTTTTGTGGATTATTAATTATTTACAACAGGTACAGAAAACTATCAAGTATTCTAAACGAATACATGTTAATTAAATTCAGAGTAATTTTCATTCGATTCGAATCCTTCTCTTAATCTCAAAAAGGGTAAAAATCTTTCAAACACAATTTATCAACGTAGAAACACCTGTTTCGTAGGTGTTAAGGATCTAGTACATGAAAATTTGGGATTGGAAGAATATTCTTGTAAAAGTGAGAATGGTCTTCAACGTGTTTAATTTGACTAGATTCATTCTTATCAAGGTTAATTAGATGCCTAAATTCTAATTGATTAATTATTCTACCTTTTCGATCGAGATACCTATCATTTAACGTAGGAATCAATCTTTACTATGAAAATGATGTTGTATATGTGTTTAGCTTATACAAATGTCTCTCAATTATATGTGTCTTTATGGGTCTTCTATCTATTGTGCTGTTCTACCAAGTAGCCAACATGGTGGTGGCCATTAATGTTCATGCTTATTTTCACATCACAGTTTATATTGGCCTTAAAATCCCCAATTAAACCCTTTGTTTTTAAATAGATACTCTCTAATTCTAACAAATGAATGCTCAATATTTTCGATCATGCATGCATGTTGATGACATCTAGTTAGTGGAAAAGCTTATTATTAGCAGAAGACTAACTACTTTATAATGATCAGTTATTAATAAATGGAGGAAGTAGATATGAATGTGGATGCCGCAATGATGTAATTAGCTTGAACATTTAGCTTGAACAAGAAGATCAAGACTTCGATTTGCTTATCTAAAGGTACTATAAGTACAGATGTGTCCAAATGTTTGGTGAGCGGATTAAGGATAATTAATTAGTTAGTGATCTTTTTAATAATTCATCTTGTATTAGTTTTATCAAACAAACTAATGCAGATTATTTTACGTTAAATAGCGCTTAAGAAAAGCAAAAGTGTTAGTCAACTTATGCTGATCACAGAGTATGATTTGCTTCTCTAGTATACAGTTGTTGATAAATTTAGGGCAACTATTTTCCATCTTCAAGCTCAAGGTAAAATTACACATATTTACAGTATATTCAACAGGGGGACGGGGGTACCGTAAACTTGAATAAAAACAAAGAAAAGAAAAAGGAACAAACTTAAGTACTTAAACATTCTTTTATTATTGAACTCCCCCCATCTCAGAAAAATAGTCCACGTTGAAATTTGAGTTTTGTACTGTTTTTAGTACAAATTTGAAAACTCAATATGGACTTTTTTTTTTTTGGGACGAAGGTAGTATATGCAATGGTAAAGGATGACAAAGTTTAGGGTGTGTTCGAATTTCATATAATATTTTGGTTGAATTTTGGAACATAAAATTTGTGCTAAATTCACATCAGCAATTTCAAGTAAATTGACTATATATTTGTTGCTAGTGACTGAAAAGTATCTGCTCACCTAAATGCATGTCATCCATAGTTGTTTTTCCACCAAAATGGCAACCAAACTGAAGCACGGAATATATTGTTCATTCTTAGAAGAAACCATCACCAATTTCTTTTGTTTAGTTTCAATTTCTCCATCAATCTTCTTTTTTTTAAACCCTATCCTCATTAAAATTAGACTTTATTAGTTGACTTTGTTTATTTTGACTAATGTCACACGTAGGGTGTCCAAAGTATAACAATAGCAATAAGTAAAAGCCAAATCAATTGGTAGAATAAACATAAATTTTCGCGCATATATATATATATATATTTGGATATCGTTATTGTTAGAAATAAATTACGAGTTGAATAAATTTTAGTTTATTTATAAGTTTACTGGAGATGCTATTAGTTACTTAATTGAAGTACTTGGCATCAAATGAAAAAGAAGAAAAAAAACATTGACAAAATATATTTCTCTTATCACCAAATCTAGATAATATACAAGATCATTCATTTTTATTTCTTTTTAATATATTTTTCTGGACATGATCAGAGTCACATAGACATAAAGGTTCGAAGAAAAGTATTCGGTTGGTGCAACCAATTAAACGACATTTGGTCCACATTTTTTTTTTTCGAGTATAAGGAAGAGGTAACCACATACAACATCAAATTGTTATATTTTATGGCTAAAAACACTGATAAAATTATGATCTAGTCACACTCGCACATCTGCCATTGGATCATATTATCTCAGTCTCAAAAAAATAGCTCGCATTAAATTTTGAGTTTTGTACTGCTTTTAGTATAAATTTGAATACTCAATATGGTCTTTTTTTTTCTTTTTTTTTTTTGGACGAAGGGAGTATATGCCAATTTGAGCATCCTACTTAATCTGCATTTGTATGATCTTGAAAAATCCTGACAGAATTGATACGTGATGTTTATGTTTAAAGAAAAAGAAAAAAGAAAATTTGTGTTTTAGAGGCGTTTGATTGATGTAAGCTTTTCATCTTCTTATGTTTTGATTATCATCAATGGTCACTTTTCATTAATTATTGTAAACCGAGATGATAATTAGTTGATTGTAGGATAAACTTGCTCGAAGAGCATGAATCTTTTATTTTCTTTTTCTTTTTTTTTTTTATAATATTTTGGTTATTATTGTGAACTTGATATCCCTTCTATAAGGACTCAAAGTTCCTTAATTCCACCACATCATGTAAGACACATTCTTGCGTAAAAAATTACCAGTTAATTTACTGTTGGTATATAAATTTACTGAGAAATTCGATATAAAAAATAGTCCAATTTCATTGAATTATTCTTATTGAGAAAAAATTGAAATTGTTCAAATTATCGTAGTGTATGTGTTTCAACCTAGGACAATAGGCATTATTTTTAATCAAGTTCTACTATTGGGCCTGTATTTTAGCCCATTCATCTAATCTATTTAGACCCAGGTAGATTTGATACTTCTAATAGGCCTGAATTGTTTGTTGTTCTCTTTATGTCTGAGCTCTCCAGCCTAATTCGTGGTGGGTTTTTTTTTTTTTTTTTGGCTATATAAGTTGATAATTTTAGCCCTTTGAAAGATCACATTATTTTGTAATAACCTAAATAAATAATAATTTTACTAACATTTTTATTACAATCTCCGTTCCATTTTAATAATACAGATTAAAGTACGATGGCCGAGTATTTGTATATAAGAGTTTATCATGTGCTAGATGTGAGGATTGGTCATTAGTTCCTTTTAACTCATCTCTTGTTATACTCTCTCCGTCCCATAATTATACTAAAAATGAAATCTCTAACTGGATAATAATTTTGGGACAAGAGAGTATTCAATTTTGTTTTGAGCTTTGACGCAAACGCAAAGTAAACCCTTTTGTGATAAATGAAGATTGGTTCCATGATGTAAATTAAACACCCATGGCCCATGCTAGTTTATTAAAAAGATAGAACACCTTCTAAGCTACCTCAGTCATATAAGGTCTTGTCCTAATTAATAAGTGAAAACTACGTAACCCATATCATATGCATTCATTTTTCTAATACTCAAAACGATAACATCAAACTAAGGGGTATGTAAAGATAAAAGGGTCGAGTTAGATGAGATCAATGAGAATGTAAAATGATAGGATAACGTAGAGAGATTACGATTTCAATTGCATCTACTTTAATACACCGATTTTATTCATTTACTTCGACCTCTCTCTCTTTTTTTTCTCTTTTCCTCAATCAAAAAAAAAATCAAGAAAGACTTGGATTAAACAGCTAATGACACACCGAGTGTGGTTGTGAATCGTCATTAACTTAATTGTAGACTTAGGATTCTAACTAATGCACCTAAATTAGTAAGTTGTTTCTAATCACATCGAAGCTCATCAGTTAATTAATACAAGTTAGGAATAGAGTGGCAACTCCCAATTCGATAATTAGTTAATGCCATCTTGATCATGGCCTTTTCCTAATTCATTCATATTAATCTAATAATTGAATCTGTTCCTAACATCTCTCTTAGCAAATCATAATTGAATCGTATTCGGTTTCATGAAACAGTAACGCTAGAATATGTACAAAATAATTATTGTTTTTTTTTAAAAAAAAAAAAGCAGTTAAACTCCTTTGGTATTTTTCATAATGTCAAGATACCATATTTTTTATATCATTTCACTGTTTATATTATTTTTTCATATAAATTAATCTAAAGCACTTAAGTTAATTAATATAAAAATTTGTCGTGCCTCTCACATCATCTTAATGAATTAGGGATCATGTTCTGTCACAACTCATCATTGAAATTTGAAGTGTTTCGAAGTCAGATGTACGAAATTGGGAAAATGAAATCGATTTGGGGAAAATCCCATAATATTCTTTTTTGAGTAGTTTCATATTTGGCCACGAAAAATCCCTAAAAGGGGAAAGAAAAAGAAAAGTAGGGAATGATATTGTCTCTAAAATAGCAAAATGATGGACGGTGCACTTTAGTTTTTAACAATTAAAGCATATTAGCCCCATAATTATCTCTCTTAATTAATATTGTATTTTTTTAAAAAGAAACCATGAAATAATAATAAACAAAATGATCATATATGTTCACTCAATTCATCAACAAAATTTATTTATCTACTGATTTTTTCAAATTCGAAACCTATTTAATTAAGAGAAGACAAATTCATTACCACGTGACCTATAATATCGTCTTTCTATTTGTAAAGTAACATTGTACCCTATTAATGTATACTCTATAGTCTATCCTAGTTGGTGCACCATTTGAATCAATTAAACTGTCAACAATATCTTTTTTTTTTTATGTGAAGTCAAAATAGCCAAAACGAGAAGGAAAAAGAACTCGAAAAGGCCTCTAGAAATATCCCTCTTTTGTTTCTATCTTCTTCCTCCATCCATGTGAACAGTTTGACATGTTGTTATTGAATTGACCATACTTCTGTTTGTTTTTTTGATTTGTGGCCTCTTATCAGACACAGCGCATTTCTAAACTTCAGGGAATAGATTAATTCATTCAATCATTCAACGGGTACCATTTGCAGTTTTGTGCGTTTGCTCTAACTGCATTCACACCATCATCCACTCTCCCGTTTCTTCTCGATCCACTCCGTCTCAAAATAATCGTTTTATTTATATATACTTCAAATGACGTATTTGAGAAAATAACGTGTTTAGATCGAACAGTATAAGAAAGTGATTAGTTAATTTTCATAACCACGAGTTAGATACAATTAAAGACTCTTAATAATTTGAAAAATTCGTTTCAGCAAATTGTTTTTCTTTTCTTTTTACAGGAAATTCTTTGTTTTTCAAATATGCATTCTTCTTTTGATAGTGAAAAGAGAGGAGGGGATGCTGGTCAATTTGGCTGCCATGCATATCCTACTCGACAAAAACTGGTCTGATCCTAGCCGGAATTTTATTTTGTTTTTATATTTTAGTATATTATAGTACTTGATGTCTAAATATATTGCCGGAACTTTAATTCTTTCACTGTTTCACATCTAATATACATCAAACTTTTAATAATTTATTAATGTTTCACACCCAATTAGCTAGCCGTCTTATATATTCTTCTTCTTCTTCTTTTTTCTCTTCCGTTAATTGTTCATTGACTGGGATTCAAAATTTGAGTCGGTTCTGTTGATTTCTCACTACAAGGGGCATTAATAAATATGGCAATTTTAAGATATTTAAGTTGTTTGTTTAAAAAAAAAAATCCAGATAAAACCAAAATTGTTTATTCCTTTTCTAAGAATAGTACATAGTTAGACATGGAGAATAGTACTGCCTCCGTTCCAAAAGAAGTATCGTTTTAATAAAATGAAGAAATTCTAAAATAAGTGTCGTTCACATTTCAATGCACTTTTTGTCTGAAATTTCCAAAACTACCCTTAAAAGAATTAATATTATTAGTGAACAATTGTTTTAGTGGGTTAGTTAAGGATATTGAAGTAATTTTACTACTTTATTTAAGTCTTTCTTAAACTATATGCAAATTGTAAAACGACACTTATTTTAGAATGGAAGGATAACATATTTTGACATAAAAATTCTTCCAGAGAATGCTTACTTTACCTTTTTCCATAGTTCATTCAAAGGTTCTTTTTTGACAAGACCTTCAGACCCTTCACATTGTCTTTTTACAAAGTGGTAAATCAAAGCCAAAATTTCGCACCATCTCTTCTTCCTAAATTGTTCTATATATTCTCGCTCTGTTCTATTTTAATAAGTCTTTTTTATTTTAAATTAAAATAATATTTCGGACTTGTACTATTCTAAATTTTAGCCTCCTCTTTTGTGACAAAAAATAAAACAACATTATGATGATATATCACGACTGATAAAATGGATTTCTTTTTTCGAATTATTATTCATACACAAACTCGAATTTGAGACCTCGTAATATTCAAGAAACCTACGCACCCGAATTAATGCAACAGCAACCTCCTCCTTATGAACAGGAAACCTACACATGACGTATTAATGACACCTAAACCCTAAAACAAATCAATAGTTTTCCAAGAAGAAATCTGTGATTTTGTAACGTTTGATGATGAGATTTGTTTTACTTGAACTATAGAAGTTCATGGTTCCACCTCAAAACTAATTGGTAATGAGTGGGCGGCCTTTGACACTCATAAACAAGTGACAGATCATTTACAACACTGATATGAGATTCTTTGTCCCAACATGAACTTTACTCTGACTTCATAACATAGAAAAATCAAATAACACTCGATTCAATTCTTCATTTGTACACAAACACACACAAAAAACATATTTAAGATAAATTAGTACTAGTTTTCTATATTCTTTTTTCATTACTCCTAGACGTGATTCCTTGAACATTTTTGGTGCATGGGAACATTAAAGAAATGGTCAACTTGGGCGTAGAAAAAGAACAGGTTGGCAAAAGATATCATCTCAATATAATAAGTCAATCCATATCTCCACATTAATGTGAACATTTTAATTTCCTTTTTTCTCAAATAAAAACAAATGTGAACTAATATTTTAATTTCACCATCTCGGCTGGCATATTCACAGATCAATTTTCCTGTCCTCCCGGAGATTCGAGTAAATGACAATTGCACCCCTCGTACGCGCATCTTTGTTTCTATGAATGACTATATATATTCGGTTAATAATTAATTATGGTTCAGTCCATAGTTTTTGTCATTTAACAAAAACAATAATTCGAATAGAAATTTTTGTAACCATTGGTTCCTTAACTGAAATAGTCAGTCGAGATTTAAAATTCGCTTTTTCTTAAGTGTTTTTGTAAACATAAAAATTTACTACATTTTGTTAATTAATTTGTACTGCTCTACTTAAGACCTTTTACTTGTTGATCATAACTCATAAGTAGTCATCAATGCTCAAATTCTCATTTAAGCCCTTGTTATATATATAGACAACTCCATGACCGATCAATAACCAATACATTAGGTGATTAACACGAGTGAGCAATAGAAAAAGGTTAACGAATGATTTCATGGTTTTTGGTTTTATTATGTTATGATATAAACAACCAAACTTGTTATGTCATTCTTTACCAACCCTTTTTGCTTTAGTAGGTCATTTATAAAGACACATATTTACAATGGATTTTTTCGGTTGGGATCCCATTACGGCATAGCTTTACTTAACCATTGCCATTTCTAACTACATAAGAAAAATGATGAATGATTATATCCTTATTATGCCTACCGCACACACACACATATATATATATGATGGTAATATTGATCACTTTTTGGTCATTCAATTTCAAGAATTTATCTATCATATCTTTAACGTGTTATGAAATGTGTGTCTGTATGTTTTCGCATGAATAATTTGATCAGTTTAACTAATAGAGACTGTGTAAAAATATACGGTTACAAGTATCGTAAAAGAAATTATATATGTGGTCATTTTCTTTTCTTTCTTTTTTCCCCCCTCCCATCAAGTTTCTCCCAAAATCATTAGCCTCAAAGGAATTGATCAACTCATTTTTACTACCCAAAGCCCAGAACACATGTACATACCACTTCACCTTTTTTTTTCAAGTCTCGAGAATTTGACCTTAAGGGTAAAGATGTCAACAAATTATTGGTGATCTTGACAAAAGATTGAAAATAATTTCAAACATAATTTTGCTGACTGTTCCATACGTCCACATTTCTTCAACTACCCATACGATCCCTCACGCACACACACATATCTAATTCTCAATTATGCATTAAGTTCTTCTTCTCTATATAAACCGACCATATACTCTACAAAAACAAGCAAAATCACCGCCCTCTATTCTCTTCAATCCTACAAAAATTTAAAAAGAGGAAAAGGGCTACAAACCCTTCTTTTTATATTTGATTTCTTTTGTAACTGAAATTAAATACATAGAGATTGAAATGGATTTATCAAGCAATAGCAATGGAGGGTTGGAGCAAGGAAGGGCTAATAATAACAACAAAGAAGTGGTGGAAGTTGCAAACAAATCAAGTTTGAGGGGTTCGGATTTGATGTTGAGGTTCTTGGCTTTTGCCACCACTTTGGTGGCCGCCATAGTTCTCGGCACCGATAAACAGACCAAGCTGGTGTCCATGCAGGTGGTTCCCACCCTCCCGCCGCTCAGTATTCCGGTCACCGCCAAGTGGCATTACTTATCTGCCTTTGTGTAAGTCCCATCCATATATATCTTTACAATACTAACTAGCATTCATATCTTTTTGTTCATGTTCCTTAGATGTTTCATTTGTTCGTTCGGAATTCAAACTCCTGATCATCTCTAAGATAAACGTATTAATTAAACCAGTCACTTGGCACAAAATCATTTTTTTTTTTTTTGGTAGATGAGAATTTGTTTTTTTCTCTATTTTTTGTCACATTATTGAAGTGAAATAATTAAATTGATCATCGCTAAAAGATTGTGTTTTTAAGGATATTGAAGTTGTAGGTTATTAGCTATAAATACAGTTATTACGTGATTTTATTAATAAAACGCCATTGATACCATTAAAGCCTATAGTTTTGAATTGGCTTTTTAAGTGTTCATAAAGAGGAGATCAAGTTAATTAAGTGTTTAGTTTACTGCTAACTAAATAGACTTTTTTGGCTTGGATTTCTACATGCATGTGGGATAGTAAAACTTAATTTTGACTAATCTCCACCCATTTTTCTTACCCCTTTATGAAAATAACTAGTCTGAAATGACCTAAAGAAAGAGACTTTAGTACTATCACTTTCTCGACATAATTGAAGGATAATTGAAGGATAACTCACAACTAACAACGAACACATAAATCATACTCCCTCCGTCCCATAATTATTGTCCGATTTGGATTTTCATTTCTAATTTAAATTGTACTAGAAGTGAAATCTCAAACTGAACAATAATTTTGGAACAGATGGAGTAATTGACAACGAACACACAATGTTTTTTTCGGTCTTATTTATAAGATTAGTTTGATTTAATAAATATATCACCCGTAATGTAACCATAAGAAAAATTTTTCAAAAATTCCCAAAGTACGCAATTTTACGTACTGAAAGTTGTCCTATAACCTTATAGATGGTAGTAACTTAAATTGCTAATAAAAAAAATAACAGAATAATCATCTCGACACGGGAAGATTACTTAGTATTTATATCGGATAGGTCTGAAAATTTGAGTCTAACTTAGACCAAGAAATGACCATAAATGATGACAAAGAAGGCTTGAATTTGTTCAAATAAAAAATTTAAGCACCGTATAAAAACTGGCAATGGAGCTGGGGATGGGGTGTCGACTTGTTAATTATCTGTTCATATAACGTGTCAAACCTCATATGTCATTAATACTAACAAACAAACAACGGGTCCACGTATTTAACTCTTCGAGTTCCAAAACAATAATATACGTATTCTTTTTTCTTAGAATTAAAAAAAATTGTTTGTGCCCCTCCGTCCCATAATTATTGTCCAGTTTGAATTTTCATTTCTAGTTTAAATTGTATTAAAAATGAATTTCAAATTGGATAATAATTTTGGGACATGGAGTAATATTTTCGATGATAATGATAGATACGACTCATAAATAATTTGATAAATACGATTGTTTTTATGAAATTTTGAGCGAAAGTGATATTATGAGTTTCAAGCTGTGATAACTCTGTCTCAATATATAATTTAAGCGGATTTCATTTCGGGCTGTGTCAAGAAAATAAAATTGCCTTAACTATGTCGACAAAATTAGAAAACTACTTTTCTTTTATTAATAAAGTTAAAAGTTACCAGAATGTAAGAATTTATTGTAAGAACCTTTTGTTTCCCCTTTGTCTTTGGTATGATTTACCCCCATCGTTACAAGAGCAATCTGAGGATGAAGTGATTAATACTACTGTATATGTATAAGTCATGATTTGTCGACATATACGTGTTCAAGCAAATTCATGTTTCGTGATTTAAAAACGTGGTCCATTAATTATATATCCTTAAAAAAAATAGTACACAAAATCAATAAATTATTGATAGCCTTTGTAATTTCCGTCGCAAGGTCATCAATTCGGATCTAACCGATTAACACAGCAGAGAGCTGACAAAGTCTTGAAAACATAGGTCCCAATTTTAGGTGTTTTCAGTTGGTTCATATGCATTCAATGTAAGGCGTAGGCCCTTTCCTTTGCTTACTTTTGGTAGGTGCAAATCTTAGTTTCAATTTTATGGATATGGTTTTATGGTTGGATCTTCATAGAACTTATGAAAATGAAATAAAAATTGAAAGCAAAGACATGGTGTCAACAGCTACTGCCAATTATACCGTGACTGAATCATGATGTTATACAGATAATATATTTTTATCGTGATATAGTTTCTATTTAATTACTTGTAATAGTAAAGACCTCTTAATTTTACTATTCATAAATTTCTTTATTTGATCATCGTTATGATTAGTGACGGAAACAGTGAATTCATAATCTAAATGTATTGATAAAATGGTCATGAATTTCAGGTACTTTGTGGTGGCAAATGCAATAGCATGTGCATATGCAGCATTGTCATTACTACTGGTGTTGGCAAGTAGGGGTAAGAAGAAAGGCCTCACAATGTTAATCATCACAATGGACCTATTGATGGTGGCGCTTCTGTTTTCGAGTGGCGGAGCCGCCTTGGCCGTCGGCCTAATAGGGTACCAAGGCAACTCACATGTCCAGTGGAACAAAGTGTGCAATGTGTTCGGTAAGTTCTGCCACCAAGTCGCCGGCGCCATCGTCGTTTCCTTGCTTGGTTCGGCGGTGTTTCTCTTGTTGGTTTTGCTAGCCACTTTGAACCTCCACAAGAAGCATCACTAGAAGGTCTTATAGTGGTTATAATACTTACTAGAGTTCTTTCTCTTTTTTTTTCATACCCTATTTTTTTGGGGTTTTCGTGAAGTACGATGAAAAATTTGATTTTATTCGTGTTGGTTGATTTGTGATAGTGCGTTTGTTGATTTGGTTATTGCTTTTGTACTCCAACAAAATGTAGAAAAATTGTAGTATAGTAAAACATCTTCAATTAATAATGTCTTTGTTGTTTACCCTCAAGTATAGTTACCAATCTACATTATTTGAAGCATAGATATAGTAGTTACTGAATACCTTGTTATTGGTGTCTTTCAAATGGCTTGAATATAAAATATTTTCTAAGACGGGGATATAAATGTATAATCAGCCCTCAAAAAACCAAGTATTTGAGTCGGTAGCATTTGCAAAATTTGTCTTTCATATGGGCAAGAAAAACCAAATTTTATCAACGCATCCGCCACTTGATTTTAGTTCCGGCGACACATACTACTCTAACATGCCACCTGAGATTTAATAAATCTCAGGTCCTACTGTACATATTACCTATTCACACTATCTAAAGTTTCATTGGATAGGAATTGTACCGCTTCCAAACTATCCAACTCCAAAATAACGGTGCGGAACCTAAGTCCCAGGCAATCTGGAGTCCATAAATAGTGCATTTTAAGAGTTTGCGAATCAAATAAAAGAAGAAGAAGAAGAAGAAGGCGTTTTTCTTTCAGTCTAGATCGGACACTGAAACTAGGCCAATTTTGCGGCTGTAAGAAAACAAGCCCAATTATCTTAATGGATCATAAAGGCTTAGGGCCCTTGTATTTTCAATCTCGGTTTAAGGTAGAATGATATCATTATTGTTAATATTTGATTTCTCAAAAAAAAGAAAAAAAAACTTTATTTGTGTATTTTTTGGGAAAAAACAAACTCACTATGTTATGGATTATTTTTTGTAAGACGGAGAGAACGCAAAGTAAAAAATTTAGGTTATGGCATTGCTCACTTATGGCTATGAAATTTGGTAGATTAGTTTTCGAATTTTCATACGAAGGGCAAAGTTATAATATCATTTGAAATGATCCGCCAATTCTACAATCAACTATGTAAAATTTATTTTTTATGAAAAAATGTTGTAATTGCAATATGTTTTGTCAAAATGTCTTAAGAGAAGACATTTTCCTACCTAAGTAATATTTTGATTTTTTTTTTCCACAATTACAAGAAGTAAAAAAAGAAAAAAAGTCAATCTTTTGGGTGGGTCCAAGATTTAGCGACGTGGCAAATCACTATTCGCTGTCTCTAAGTTGTTACTTTTTACTCGTACAATCCCACTTGATGCAAAATTTCGCAGTCGGTTAACCAATTAGCCAAAAAAAATCCCATGGAATCATCTAAATTCTTCACAGGCTCAAGCATAATCGAGACCGTCCATCAGCGATCATCATCCTTAATCGTGAAGATCCACAGTGATCCAACGGTGGGAAGGTTTTCGATCGTATCCAACGTAAATACAGTTGCATGCATGTGATCATTCACCACGTCGAAAACAAATATATTCCCTCCAATTTGGTTCTGTTATTTCTGCGCCAAAAATCCTAACAGATTTCCTGCCAAAAATTTAAAAAAAAATTCACAGACACGCACTCATGTATATAAATATTGACGTTTGACAGTACCAAATGAAACTGAAATTCAGAATCGAATTTGTGATTGAGATTGAATTTGAGAATGAATTGCGAAAAATTGAAGCGCCCAAAAGAGGAGAGGGAAGAAGAAGAAGAGGAGGAGATCGGGAAGCTTTTGCTGGGAATCATGGAGGGCTATAAGGATTCAGTGATTCCAGCTTTATCTGATTTGAAACCCACCGATGGATTGAAGATTTGTGAAATGGGTTCCATTAATTTGGGGAAAAAACCAAGATTTGAAGCTCCTGAGACAGAATTTTCCCAGAAAGGAGACAACAAATTGACCCAAAATTTTGCTGTTCTTCAATCTAGTGTGCCTTCTCTAATCCCCAATCCTAAGGTTTGATTCATCCCTTTTCATAATTTATAATTTATTTTGATTTTGTTTGATTTGGGGCTAAAAAAAAAAAATTGATTCTTTGCAGCCCACAAAGGTGAAGATTGTGACAGAGACAATTACTTACATTAAGAGTTTAGAGACAGAGGTCAAGAGATTGGAGAAGCTGAAGAGATCCGTTGTGTCACAGAAGCCTGGATTATCTGGTTGTTCTACATATTTTCAGAAGCCCTCTGTTTCAGCTACTATTATCAATGACACTGCATTTTTTGGGATTCAATTGCCTGCCAAAAAGGGTTCACTCTGCAAGGTTTTTGAGGTTTTCCAGAAGTATCAAGCTGAGGTTTTTGAGGTGACTGTATTGGTGAATGATCAAAGGGTTTTAACTATAACTGGCACATTCACAGTTGGGAGTGATGGGTATGAGGCTGTGGAAAAGATAAAGGAAGAAATTTTAGGCCTTAGGATTTAGATATTTGCTTAGTACTACTAAATACATTATTCAGAGTAGATCACTCATCAGGAAATGGGGAAATTATGAAATAATTTGTTGTGTTTGGATAGTCCTTGATTACAGGTTATTATAAGAACAAGATGAATTTGGTCATTCATCCGGATGAAGATGAAGTTTTGATTGATTAATCATCTTGTACACTACATATTTGAGGAAATACTTGTTTAAGATGCTGTTTTGATCCCTTTTCCTTCTGTTATGACGTTGCTTTCTTGCCATTCTTGTTGAATCATATTCATGGTTCATATAGTATTTTATAGAGCAATTGTGCAACTAAATCATGAAAAAAGGGACAAAGGGATAATAAGCTCATTTTTGCTCTAGCTCTACAGCAAATCATGAAAACCTCTTTCATGGTGTTCAAATTAGCTTTTGATTTGTGCCTTCTCACATAGTTTTACTAGCTGCTCTACAGCTGCATTGATTTCTTTATCTGCATTTGCGCGAATCCTTTCGCCGAATTCTCTCGCTTTTCTTCTGTTCTCTAGTCCTTCATTTCCCATCACAACTTCTTTCACCACTCTGGCTATCTCCTCTGCATTCAGCAACCCTTTCTCGTCGCGAATGACTTCCTTCCCCGCCCCAATCTCGACTACAAGCCTTGCATTCAGAGGTTGATCGAGTTGCATTGGCATGGCGATAATAGGTACGCCGAAATATAAGCTCTCCATCATTGAACTCCATCCACAATGACTCACAAAACCACCAATACTAGAGTGAGTTAGGATTTTCACTTGTGGTGCCCATCCCTCAAAGACTAATCCTTTCCCTTTCACTCTGTCAAGATATCCAGCAGGTAATGATTCTTCTAAACTCTCTTTACTCCCAGCAGGAAACCGAATTGCCCAAATAAAGTTCACATTGCTACAATCCAAACCATTAGCAATCTGTTCTAATTCCTCCTTGGATAGAAAACATTCACTGCCAAAAGAAACAAACACAGTTGAAGCATGGGGCTTCTTGTTTAGCCATTGTTTAATCTTCAAACTCTCACTGTCATCATCTTCCACAGAGTCATGAACTAGTGAACCAACAGGAAATATATTTTTCTTTGTCAACAAAGATAGAAAATCGATGTAGTTCCCCTCCAGTTCTCTGCAACTTTTAATCAGGATGACATCAGAGGACTGATCAATGCAATCAAAGACGCGATCTTTATCCTTGCCATCGTTCAATGTGGATTCAGCTCGGCTCATCTTCTTTATCTCATATTCCCTGAGAAAAATCCTTGGAGATGGAAATTGAACGCCGCGGTGCTTGAACATCCTAAGGTAGAAAGCCGATGCTGTAGCCCCAGTTGTTTGGAAATGAACTGCTGGAATATTGTAGACTAAAGCAACCTGAGGCACCCATGATTGATAAATGTCATAAATGATGATATGAGGTTGAACAGAATCTATGATCCCGGAGAAAGATGAGCTTGCCATTTCCAAAGCTCGAATGAGCGTGGACATGAGATGCGCAGGCAGCCCATTTGTTGTATGCAGATGAGGGGGAAGCTCTGACAAAGATGGAAGATGCAGCTCCACAAAGTTTATTGGAAGATCAGAGGGAGTTTTTGGAAGTTTTGGCTTGATAGAATCCAGATTAACTGGAGTTGAACAGAAGAATACACTGAACTTTCTCAGGATCAGTACCTTAGCAAGCTCAAGGAAAGGAGAAATATGACCATGAGCCAACCATGGAACCATGATAACTCGAAACTCGGTTTCGTTAGACTCCATGGCCAGAGAGCCTTCAAATCAGAAGGATGATGAAGTTTACAGTAACAAAAGGGTTTTTCAAACCTTGAGACCAAGCAATAGTCCAAAAGAAAAGGCATTGTATGACTCGTTGTTCAACAGTTTCTGCAATTTTTTAAAAGAGACTTTTTGTCGTAGGAAAAACCTTGAAAGTGAAATGTGGCCAGCCTTGATCAACAATGGATTTTTCCTTCTTTCTGGTAAGATGTATGACCACTATTAAATGTAAATTAGTGGTCTTTTATTCCCTTCCGGACTAGGATTGAGCTTATATCTACATACGTTAAAATCCAAAAGAATTATGATAATTCATACAAAAGCTAGCAAACTCAATAGTATCAGTAAGTAGCGTCACATGTAGCGAATTCACAAATTAAGAGTTTCAACTGTGAAAAACAGCTTTTCCAAACTTCAGAATGCATCACAAGATTCTCAAATAACCAAAATTGCAATGAGGTTTTCGGTAGCCACTAGCACGATGGCAGCACGAGGGGAAAAAGAAAACATTCGCTAATCCATTGCATCTAAACCAAAAATCACATTGAGTTGATAATGCATAGTTAACTATCAGTTGGAGTGATTCACAGTCGACCACTTGTGTGTCTTCTGTCAGCCTTAGAATTGGTCAAGTTTATGGCCGTGTTCCTTCTGAAACGCTGAAAGTACAAGCACTTTTCGATCATCAAAAGCATTAGCTTATTGATCCACAGAATCCTAATGCAAAAGCTGAACACAACTAACTTCAGTTTTTTTAACTCAAAACGCCTTCATTTGTGTCCAAGTATTCCATATCTACACTCACTCCACCACCCATGCTTGATAAACCAGCAACCATGGCGGGTATACTATTCTTCAATGCAGAGGCCACAACCTATAAGAGAAGGGAAGCAAATATTTTATTCAAACTCCAAAATGATCATATATAATTTAACCCTATATGTGTATTGATAAGCCTGGAACCCTACCAAACTCTCAGAGAAAGAGTACAAACACATATTAAAGGTATGATCAATGAAATATCAGTTGAATCATCAAACCCTTCAACATCAAATTGACTATACATGTATATACAGATTGCCAGATGCAACTTACAACGAAAAAATTAAACCTAAGTCTAACTAAAGAGCTTACCTTTACATCTTCCTCTTTCTGGTGCTTAATAACCTGCAAAGGCCACTCTCTCACTAACTTTTGAAGTTGATCTATTATGCCTTGCCTCTTCCCATCAGGTAAAGTCTGGTTTCACATTAAACAGATGTAAGAAACATTAACAGAGATAATTATGCAATGGTAAGCAGTAGGATCATATCAACACCAAAACTCCCTATCCAAACCCTACATAAGTGTGTATGTCTACATGCGTTATTTACAATTTATCACAAAATCTCAACACAAGCGTTCTTTTTATTTCAAATTACATATAATTGATTGTGATAAAAATAAAAAAAATAAAAAAAATCTGGAAAAGTTTAGACCAAGATGAAAATCGATGAACCTGATTGAGTAGTTCAATGATCTCAGCAGCGTTCTCAGGCTTGTTCTCAAGCAGAAGACCCTAACAAGAAAAAGAGGAACAAATTGAAACTGTAAGAAGCTTGAGAATTTCAAAACTAGAAGATGTTGACATCAGCAAAATAAATACTCCTAGATAAAGAAAAAATAGGAACAAAGTCCAATCTTGTTGCTCCACCTGTTCTACATATTTAAGTAAATACCTTAGCACAGGCAAACCCACTCCTGAGAGTATGCTGCTTCTTGGTTTCCGATCTTAGTTTCTCAGCTATCCACAAAGCCTCGAGATCACCTGGAAAAGGATCAAAAGGAACAAGTATAGCTAAACACATTCAGAATCAATCAGTCATTTCAGATTTAATATCAACCCATAGATATTAACTACGTGATTGATTATAAAGTTATCAGTGTAATCTCATCCTAACACATCTGGTACAATAAATTAATTTAAAAGGACCAATCTACTCAAAAACTTTACCAGTAACGAAAAATATCTCAAGACAAAAGAAAGGCAGGAGTGGGACCTTTGTTTGCAGCAAAATCCATCCACGTGTCAATGGAAGTCTGCCGCAGGTTGATTCCAGCTTTGACAAATCTTTTCGCATATTTGGAGAGATATCCCCAATTATCAGTGTCATGACAAATTCTGCAAATATGAAATTTTTATAGAACAGTTGAGAATCCAACTACATACGCGCACACATTGGGAAAAGTACATGTAACAATGTGTTATGCAAGGCTTATGGAAACACAACAGGCCTACAATGTCAACCCTAGGAATTTAAATGATTTGATACAACAAAGCTATTTTCAGATTTTCTCTCTACTGCCGTTCCTTTGATTAATGTGGTCGAGAGGCAGATAAAAATTCCAAAATAACAGAATTCTGACAAATTGGCAAAAGCCTATACAATCACACATAACCAAAGAGTATACAGAACTTAAGATGCATACAATAAAGGAAGGCCCTTCAGAGAACAACAAAACAAATGGGCAACATGGCAGAATGATGATTCCATATTATCAAGATGCATAGAACAACAGGAAAAGGTAGAGCAACGGATTATTAAACTATACCGGAACACAATATCAGCTGTCCCAGCTTGCAGAGGTAGATTGTTTTTCTTCAGAAGTTCCATAACATCTCTCATGAGTTTTACATCCTTATGCTGTTCAGCATGTAGCTGCAGTGATACAAAGTCATTTAATAAAATAGAACCTACAGCAGAATAACGTCAAGAGACAACGAATACAACAAAAATCGTAACCCACCAGTAATTTATGGGCTGATCCTACTGTAGGAGTTAAGCCAAATAGATTATGCTTCCATAATGCCTTCTTACCTGCAAGTCAGCAAAATGTCTTAGGATATAAATGGGTATTCAATTGTCTTTGGATGTCAACTGGAAGTCCTAATGTATATTTAATTGTCAGAAATTATGCCGTGCATTTCTTGTTTATATAGACAGACAGTGCACGCAGCATCTACAAGTAACCAAAAATTTATTGCAAGCGACCCTATTATCCCCTAACCCTTGTTCCCTCAACAATGCCAAACAAAGGAAAGGACACATACCATAATCAATGGCCCCTGCACGCACACATGCTTTCACAACTTCCTCGCATAGGGCACAGTTGAAGTTATCATGTATCCGAAGATTCGACAGTCTCTGCAAATGACCACAAACTAGTAAGTATTATCGAAATAACAAGGTATTGAGAAAAAGAGACATTGGTTAACCAAAAGGCACGGCCACTTACAAATATCCGAAGCCTCTGCAGGATATTAAACAGAAGCTCAATATCTTCACGAGTGGCACTCTTTTGAACAAGTGACCACAACCACGAATTGGGAGGTGCAGTTTTTAGTTCAGCTACGGATTTCAGCATGTTATCGTATAAATCCTTCACAGACTCTGCATTTCAAACACCAGGGGATTCACTAAGCTTCATCTCAACACAAAATTCAAAGAAACAAAAACTTCTCAAACAAAAAATAGAGAAAAAGAAACAATCACCAGTGGGAGCAGTTTCAACTGCATTCGGTCCTGACGAATATAGTCGCCTTTGCACTAGAAACCACTCTGGATGTCGCCCAGTATTATCCCAATAAGTTGGCTCCAATTGCTGGCTATTCCCACATAAAACACCTACAGAGTGTACAATTTCCCATATCTTCATTAGCCGAAAACAAACAAGTCAACCCAGATACTCATTTATACATTCATTTCATTTCACAGAATAATCTCCGTCCAACCAGAGATTATTCAAACAAGGACTAACAACAAAAAAGAAACCATTTTTACAAAAACTGTAATTGTTCTTCCACAATTATAACGATCATATTCACACACACACACACAAAAACACATAGAAAAATACCAATTATTAACAACAACTAAACTGTAAAGTGAAGATATTTCACATTTCAACTCATCGAAAAAAAAAAATGCATTCAATTTTCTTCACCTGAGGGAAGAGTGGTGTGAAGAGAACGGCATGATTCGAACCGAGCTGAGTTGAGAAGGACCGGAGACTGGATTGCCAGTGCCCTAGCGAGCCGGCGAGTTGATGAAAGGACGCTCATTTTTTTTTTCCCGATGTCGGAAAGAGACGGCGGTGAGATGGATTTGAGTCTCGGAACAGCAACTCTTTTTGTTTATTGGCTGAATGACGACGTCGTTTGGATGCCGTTTTCGCCTATACGAAAAACCTCGAGGGTTTAAGCAAAAATGTCACGCTCTTAAGGAAGTTTTTTTTGTGAAGTTGGCTGAATATTTCTTTTATTATATGTGTGATCCTATGAATTGTGGATTGAGCTTTGAGAGGTTTGGATTCATTGAGTTTTATGGTTAGTGATAGTCCTTTTCTGTGAATGTATACTATATAGGGTGTTGTGTTTTATGATTTTGTTTTCATGATTTAAAATAACATTTTTTATTCAATTCTAGTTATTTACTACTTCCGTCCCAAAAAAAAATAATTCACATTGAAATTTGAGATGTACTAAAATGGATTAATTTTTTTTAGGACGGATGGAGTAATTTTTATCAATTCAATTTTTATGTTTTTTCGAGAAGACAGATAAATGCAGCTCCTGTCCAGACAGTACAAATTTCATAACTTAACATGAACTTTTCTTAGGGGAAAGGTAGTGTGGACTTGTTTAGAATGTCATACTAACTTCCAAGCACAACCAGTGAACAATGTCCATACTTTGGGAAGCTTCATATTACATTAGGCGATACAGAGAAGTGTACGTACACAATAAAACAATGTACTTCAATCAAGTCAATCAAGTGTGAGTTTACAAAATAGCAATAATCTTTAGTTTTTCATTTCCAGTCCACTATAAATACTTAATACATATAGCCATATGAGGAGGAAGAATAAGCCTTAAAAATATATGTTTCCAAAGCTCCAATTGCTAAGGTCATTCAATCTGATCAATGCAGGATGATACTTCTTTTCAGGTTTGAATCCCAAGTTTGATTGAAGATGATAATGACAACAAAAAAAATGTCAGCCTCTCCTTGTTAACGAATCACGGTTTGTCTGCAGCTCATGCTTTTTTCTGGTGCACCCTCCAGTGAATTTCTTTTCTCCATTTGGATGCCTAACCAAATTGGATGTATTCATTGAGGAAGAACAGGAGGCGCGATCATACGAGTATTGTAGGACTGACAATGAAAACATTTCTGTCCGATTATATGGAAAAAAACTTCAGTTGTGTCGTTGCAGTCATTACACAAAATCCACACCTGCAATAAGAAGTACAAGAAGTGAACTTCTGAGAAGACTGACGAAAAGTGAAGATAAAAGCATGATAGTGATCTATGTTCACTACGACGTCACAAGATGACTCAGAGCACCATAGTGATATATGATCTATTTAGCTTATCTCACATAGTGCCATAAAAGCTAAGTTGTCGTATTTTTATGTGTTAGGCAGGCTGTAGTGTAGCCTGTAGGTGATGCATTAGGGAAGAAGCATACTTTCTCCTAGCTTCTCTGCCATTTCCCATCAAAAGAGGCAGTAGGTGAATAGATACATTATAACAGATGGCAATGAATTACCTTCTTATTTCTATAATCCTCTGGCATGACTGTTTCTTCAATCTGAAACCATAAAGACAAAAATGTTATGAACAAAAAGGCGTCTTAAGAGTAAAACAACAGCCAGTTAACAGAAAACCAACCTCCTCATCTAATCTCTTCCATATTTTGGACATGTCAATTATTGATCTGGAGCATATTGGACAACAATACCTGACATTTTTTTATTTTCAAAAAAAATGACGTTAATCAAAGTCGCTCATCAGTTTTCTGAACCTGTAAATGACAGTAGCGTGAAGCTTTGAAGGGAAGATTTGATTTACTTGTCACGCTTGACCATCTCATGGTAGCACTCGCAGTGCATGGTGTGCCCGCATTTCATAACTGTTGTGTCTTTCAAAGAGTCGAACAAGTACTGGAAGTTTGGTTAACAGCAGCGTTAGAACAGGTTAGAACTGGATAAGGTAATTCAATATCTAAGCTGCTATGATGAGAAAGAAATGTACTATGCTAACCTCATAGCATATGGGACAATGATGCCTCATTGAATTCTCTACACACAAATGATTGTCAAGAAGATTCACCGAATAGCAAGATCCTGAAAAGTTAGCAACAACAATGTTTTACATTAGCGCCCAATAGCCGATCGGTTGCTGCAAAAAATTACATCTAATGGAAACAAGTGATAAGCAGCAACAGAATAATAAGTATCGATGTTGTGTTGGTTTTCAGCCATCAACAAAACATCTCCAGAACCGAAAAAAGCAACTAATCAGCAAAGAGGTTGAAGCTGCTGGAGATCCAATCAAGTATAAACACCTACTTGTGCGTGTAAAAGTTAAATACAAAACAATAGCACAAAATGAGCAGCCACTGATGCTATTACTGAGTTGGGATTCATCCAAAAAGAATGGAGGGAGGGAGCTTGTAAACTCGAAAGCAAAGAACGCTTACATACCACATTTTTCGCAATGGAAATAGTTCTCTCTACCACCAACTCTGTATGAGAATGACAGTATTCCAATCAGAAAAGACTTGTAACTTTAAATATCAGCTGAACTGAAACAGAATACATCTAAGAGCTTAACAACCTGCAGATTCCGCAATCGTCACAATGAAAGTGTTCTTTATCAACCTGCATCAGAAAGGTAGCAATAAGGACTAGCAGAAATGAAACAGAAGCACGCGTTTTAGAATCTAATTTCTTCAAGCTTATTTTAAGTATAAAAAGGCTAACAAAAGAGAAAGTCCATTAGACATCAATGAAATTCTCTAAATTTGTGGTCGTCAGTGTAAATTGCAAAGTTCTGGTTAATGCCACTTACATCATCATCATAAAACTTGCACACTTCACAAAAGTACTCTCCCATCCTCACACCACAGTTGGTACAAACATGGGCAACCTGTGGAAATGGATAACATTAGCAAAGAAGTTGGACAAAGTGGCAACAGAAACAAGGGCATATGGACATATAAATAGAAGTCAAGAGACACCATACAGGCTGTTCTGTGTCACAAACTGAACATATAACCTGCCACAAAAACAGACAATCCTTAGTTTTCAAGAACTCGGAAGCAAATAAATGGTGCTTAAAAAAATACAACTGAGGGACAGAAGATTCAGCCTTGCGCTAAGCATACTTGTTTAACATCATATCTGACTAGTTCATGCCGGTCGAAGACATTCCTTAACATACTCTGATCATCAAAACAAACAGGGAAACTAGTGAGTATTCATCTATAAACACCTTTTTAACTGGTGCAGAGCACACTCTTTTAGATCAGATTATAAAGATACTGCCGAATATGTTAAATGACTCAAACTAGTAATAAAATGCAATCAAATTTGCAGTCAGCTGAAGAACAGGAAACAGAAATTTTCTGTCTGCATAATACCATGGATTCATTGTGACAATGACGACAATCAAAGACTTCGTTGCAACAGGGAGCTCTGATCTTGCATCTTCTCCTATAATGCTTGCACCTGTTGAACCCAAAATAGACAAAAACATTCTAGCTCAAAATACTACTAACGTTAAACGAATCTCAAACTCCAGGAACGAAATGGCAGTAAAGATCCTACTTATGTGTGTACAAAACAGATCAACACACCAAAAACAACTAAAAAACAGCACCAAAACATTACAAAGGTTCCAAATGTATCCCAAAATAGAACTAAACGACATGATTCATGTTATCCCACAGTTGACTGCAAAACAACCCTTAGACAAACAGTTAAAAATCAGACCTTTATGAACAAAGACGATCAATTTTGAAGAGAATACATTAAACAAAAGTGAAAATGGTCAAATACACAAAAAAAAAAAAAAAAACTAAAGACACATACAGACGAAAATGAACGTATAGAAATTATACCACAAAATCAGATTAAAAAAATACACAAAAAAATATAAAAACTTGTGTTTATTGTATGCTACAGATGAAGGATAAAGATTAAAGAGGATATACCCATAACCCATCTTCCCAAAATCAAGGCGATCACTGTTAGAACCCTCCATTTTATTCAAGCAATAATTTTACAATCAAAGCTCACCCCACAAAGATAGTATATCTGAAAGATAAAGAGGGCAGAGCTAAGAAGAACAGGAAGGGGAGGGAAGATGGGGATGCGCCCAAAACCAAAAGCCTTCTTAAAAATTGGCCATATTAGTATACATTTTATTTATCAAGTTGACAACAGACAAACCCATATAAAAAGGGTAAGAAAATCAATGGTCCTACTTATGCTATTTATGGAAAGATTCATTGGTACTAGTCAATTTTTTATTGGTTGTGTAGATCAAAAGAGTGAGACTGAAAAAAAAGATAAGGCTGTGATGATGGCATGGCACAGAATGGGGTGACAAAGGGACAAAGTGCCGTGTAATTGGCGAATAGGATTGCCAAAATTGAAAGCAAAAAACTCAAACAAAAAGCTGAGAAAAAGAAAAGCTTTGATATAAAAATTAAAAAAAAAAAAAACCATGGCCTTGAACCAGCCGTCATCTCTCTGGCTGGAATTGAATGAGCCCACGTGAGTTGATCCAATTTTGGAAGAGTTTTCAGGTTGGAGCAAACAAATATGTCTTCGCAGCCATTTGGGTTAGAGAAAAACAGCCTGAAGCTAAATGCTGTATGCCTGTATGGTCCATTTTTCCATATTGGTGAGAAATTAGACCTAAAAAAGTTTAAAAGAAAACTCCAAGATCAAATCTTTGATAGTCTCTTTTGCAAATAATGCTAGATACAGTTATGAATTATGAACACAAGATACAGATGATGGGAGCAAAATATTTTTGTTGAACTGTTGAAGGGTTGATTCCAGTTTGATTGTGGTTGAGTTTTTTAGGATTGAGATTTGGCGTGCTTCACTATACAACTGCTTTTATAATGCATTAAATCTTTCTGGTTTCCAAAGTTGTGGAGGAGCCAATCAAGTTGGGGGGATCGAATTCCATAGAAATTTAATTGGTTTTGGAATTTGTGCAACTGGAACTGCAACTGTCCCATGAGCTGACTATAGCATTCAGATGTAGTAGTAGTAGTAGTACTAAAATTGGCTCCCATGAAAGAACAAAATTTTAAATCAAAGAGTTGTGGTTTTATTAGTGGAAGGAAGGAAATTATCTTTTTCCTAAGCAAGGTTGGTATCGGAATTTCGATTTGGACATGGAATAAACTAAATTAGTACTAATTAGCCTTTCCATGAAAATAGTTACAATTCCGTAAAGAAATTAGTCGCTTGCAAGCACAATCATATACTTCTTCCGTCCCGAAATAATAATACAGTTTGTATTAAAAGTGAAATTCCAAACTGTATAATAAAAGTGAATCTTAAACTGTACAATAATTTCAGAACGAAGAAGTTAAAATAATACTCGTAAAAAACATTGCATATTTGATTAATTCAGCATGATATCATCGATTTGCATACGTCACTTTCCAGTAAACATCCTTAAGACATTCCAGAGCAAAAATTTCTGCACTCATTTGTGCAGTTTTGCACTTGGTGCTAATAGAAGAAGGAAAAAAAAAAAGAAAAAAAAAGCCCAATTTCATTTCATAAATACGGAAGAAATACTCGCTGTTTGTAATTTTGTATGTATAAGCAAGTCCAGACTCTCCAGAAGAATACCAAAAATCATAGAAGACGATCAATGCCACGTCCCAGGAAACAGTTTTAATCTCGAAATGTTAATACTCTCTCCGTCTAAAAAAAATAGTCCATATTGAATTTTGAATTTCGTACTATTTTAGTACAAAACTCAAAACTCAAAATAATGTAAACTATTTTTTTGGGACGGAGGTAATATTATTTTTACGAAATTTGAAACGATCAAGTTTTTATGCAAGGTTCATGTAATATTCTAATTTGGTTTGTATCCCAATGACATAAAAGTACTGTACATTTCATGAGTTTACATAAGCAAATACTTATGCGAGGATTTCTAGGATTGAATCCATTACTCTATTTTCCTATTCCGCCGCAACCAAACACTACACCAGCAAAGCAAATTGGAATCCGATTCCTGAATCTGATACTCCACTCAAGATGTCAATTTGTTTTTCTCCTCACACACGAGTTATGTTATTTTTGCAAGTTTTTTGTTTTCAAAATTTTTATTTAATAATTACTATAATCTGAATCTCTCTTATGATCACTTCTAACAAATTGAGTATCCACTAGGAATGTGCACCGGCCGGTTTGAACCCTTAAACCGAAACCAAACCAGAACATACGATTTGCAATAAAACTAAACCGAGTTGACCGCCAAGAATTTGAGACCAAACTAACCGGACTGGATTTTCACGGTTCGGTCCGCCCGATTTATACGGTTTTAAGGCAAGAAACTTTTATATTGGGCCAGTCAAATTAATATTATATCAAGTCCAATTCTATCAATTGAATGAAGACCAAACACCTTATAAAAAGTGAAAATAAATAGTTTTAAGGCAAGAAACTTTTATGTTGGGCCAGTCAAATTAATATTACATCAAGTCCAATTCTATCAATTGAATGAAGGCCCAACACCTTATAAAAGGTGAAAATAAAAAAATTGTTATAAGGGGTTTCAAAATTAGGACCTTCAGCATCCAAACCACCACACATTCCACTAAACCAGCGTGTGACTTGTGATATGGTTATGAAATTATATTTCATATATATTAATATATATATATAGAATAAATATTAAAAAAATAAATAGTCCTGCCCGGTCGAAACTACCGATTTTTTGGATGAAACTATGATCGGACCAGATTGCCTGATTTGAATTTTTTCTATGGGCAGTTCCGGCCAAACCATGCACACCCCTAATATCCACATATTAAATGGGAACCTCGGTTTAAACTTTTTACCCATAAAATCTTAGTTTAACAATATTGTAGCGTATTGTCAAAATCATGCTATCCCAATTAGTAGTTGTTACCAATGAATATTTATTCTTTTGCAGGGTGGTGATATGGCAGATAGGTGTTTTTTTTTAGTTTATTGGGATGAGATTTTTTTTTTTACCTTGGTCATAAAGAAAAAAATGAAAATACAAATATTGATGATTGTTCTAATACAATAATATATCTCTGTGACACTTTCTTGTAATATTCTTTTTGACGCAACCTAATTTTTTTATTAGCTATATAATTTGTGTTAATATATATATTATAATCACATATTTTTCATGTAGATAATTTTCATAGTCTTATTTTAATTTTATATCAATGCTTTATTTTTGATAAATTCTTTTTAACTATAAAAATTGAAATAAATAGGCCATAACCAGAAAAAAGTAAATCATCAGTTCTAATAATTATAAAATATATAAAGTTGAAAATGATTGTGAATATTATTTTTATTAACATAAATTATGCAATTAATAAAACGTAAATGGATTGTGTCGCACAGAATGTTACAAAAAAAGTTTCAAAAAATATTATTAACAGTGGCTGTAAAATTTGAAAGTCATTGACTGTGGATTTAAAGAACTCCCAAGTCAACGGAGAGTAATAATAGTAATGCTATCGAGAACCCTAGCTAACCAAACGCGCCACCTAAACCGTTTTCCATTGGCCCTTCTCAGTATACTACACTGTAATCCTTACTCAGCGGCAGTCCACCCTATCTCCCAATCCTCCATCCAGCCGCCCCATCAAGAATTTCAGTCCAGATTTCCCAGCCAATCGCAGAGGACTCTTGTCAGGTATGTCAAAAAATTGATCTTTTCTTTCTCCTCTTTTTTGTTTGTAGCCTGGGACCCTGGGTACTTGTTTCATTTATTGGATTTTTTGGGGTGAAAGATGAAAAAGATTCCCATCAAAAATGTTGTTTAGGGGAAAATATGAGATGGGTTTATGGTAAAAGTCGTGTTATGAATAGGGCTTGTTTGGAAAATTTGTATTTCTTTGGACATGAGTTGATAGTAGTATTTACTGGATAATTGTTAGGGTTGACGATGTTAATTATTGTTAGGAATGGAGAATGCGTCTTGCTGATTTGCTTTAGCTTCAGGGTTATGCGATAGGGCTGATTTTCTGATAATGTAATTTGCCTTCTTTTTTTTTTTTTTTTCTTACAATGTCAGATATAGTTCTGTGATGGCTGGAAAAGAAGCAAATGAAGCCAAGGGTTCCAAGGCTGGATCAAATCCCAGTAGTAAGGCTTTCTATTGTTGAGCTCTTTTTTTCAGTTAACGGTGTAAAGGTGTAGTTCTTTGTCTTGTTTACTGTGCCTTTGTTTGCATGTCTCAGAGGGGAAAAAGAAGGAAGTGAAAAAGGAGACTGGACTTGGTCTCACTTACAAGAAGGATGAGAATTTTGGAGAATGGTACTCTGAGGTAATCCTTTACCAACTGTGATGATAAGCAAATGGCATCCTATGAAGTTAGAAACTAATGACTGTATTTTGGTTTCCGTTGACATCTCTTTTTTGAATTAAATAAATTTATGGATTTGGATGAAAATTATTGGTTCAGAATATTGTTTTAGCATAGAATGGTGTATTGAGGGGGAAGATTACTTTTTTGAAGTATGCTTGGATATTTGGATTCTAAAGATTACCATATAATGTACATGGATTTTTGTTTGACAATCTCCTGAAAATTTGATCTTTTCTAGGTTGTCGTAAATGGCGAGATGATACAGTATTATGACATCTCTGGTTGCTATATACTACGTCCTTGGGCTATGTCCATATGGGAGAAAATGCATGTAAGTTAGAAATACATTTACAACTTTGATCAAAATACCACTAATTTTGTCTTATCTTGGTATCATTGATGCCTGTGGCAATCTCTTGCTTATTGCCACTGCTTTTATGCTCATCTTATGCGTATTAATTTTACTTGAAACTTTCAACATTTAGGACTTCTTCGATGCTGAAATTAAGAAAATGAAGATTCAGAACTGTTACTTCCCATTGTTTGTATCCCCCGGTGTTCTTGAAAAGGAGAAGGATCACATAGAGGGTTTTGCACCTGAGGTTAGCAGATTCCATGCTCTCAAGAGTTAACTTTTGCATTCTGTTCATCTTTGCTCTCAAGTTAACTATTGCAATTATATTCTGTTTACCTTTTCGCTTGGAGATAATTCGATACAGCTATTTCTGAATGAATTGTAGTTATTTGAACTGATTTTTTGAAAAGAAATATGCGATGAAGGCCGTGTGAGGTTCAAAGGGTAGATGCATACCTGTGCACCTGTGCCTGTTGTGCAAGCATAAAGCTGAGACCCTTTTTAAGTATTTCTTTTTTTCTCAGAATTTCACGAGTTAAAATAATATGTTTTTTAGTATTTCTAATCTTAGGACAATCTTCTGAAAATACCCTGCATAGCTATTATCTTTATGGTGAGCCAGGTGCTGCTTTTATGCCATGTTCCAAACTTTTATGCACTGTTTTTTCCGGCAATAATATTTTACAAATAAATAGAATTAGAAGCATTTTTCTTTGAATTATTTTCGTAAATATAGCAGATTTAAGGCTATCTTCAAAAAGAAAAAAAAAAAGCAGATTTAATGCTTCAAGGAACTGTCTTCATAAGTTTTTTTTTTATGAAGTCTGAATACAAGAACACAAATTGCTGTTACAAATCAAATTTATTGTTTTGTGCAAAGATATATTTGTATATGACCTTATGTACTGTTGCAAATAAATGCAAAAAAGTTGAGTTTACTGTAGATCAATTGCTTTGGTAAATGTTGATGACATTGCATTTGGGTTTCATGTTTTAATTCAGTTCATAAGTTCTTCAATATGCCATTTGGGGTTTTGGGGAGTTTTTGGCTTTTTGCATTTATTTGTGAAGGATTGATCCCTATGCAAAAAGGTTGAGTTTACTCTAGATCGACTACTTTGGTAAATGTTGATGACATTGCATTTGGGTCTCATGTTTTAATTCAGTTCATAAGTTCTTCAATATGCCATTTGGATCCCTAGTCTTATATCGTCAACTTTTATATAGGTAGCTTGGGTTACCAAATCAGGAGAAAGTGATTTGGAGGTTCCCATTGCCATTCGTCCAACCAGTGAAACTGTCATGTATCCTTATTACTCTAAGTGGATTAGGGGGCATCGTGATTTACCTCTGAGGCTGAACCAGTGGTGCAATGTTGTCAGATGGGAGTTCAGCAATCCTACTCCCTTTATCAGGTGCTTACATATGATTCCTTTTGTTCAGTTTATATATCATCCTTTCCCCGTTTTCTCCTTGATGAGGAGAAGGGAGTGAGGTCATTCTAATTACTTTTATGTTGAGGAGTTTCTGAACTTCTTTTTCCCAAAAGCCCTGTTTACTTAATGGACACTAAATTGTTTACTGCTTCTTTTGCTTCATTCCTTTTCTAGTTTCTTCCCTGCCTTAAAATTCTAATCTAGTGGGCTTGAATCTTTTTTTTTGTTTTTTGTTCGCAGGAGTCGTGAATTTCTTTGGCAAGAAGGCCATACTGCTTTTGCTACGAAGGAGGAAGCAGATAAAGAGGTGATTTTTCGTCTAGGGCTTGAAGACACCTCTACTTATTTTTATCAATTTGTTGAAATTTAATCTTCTTACTCGGTTAATTTGTTTTACTGAAATGTTAAATCAACAGAAGCAGAAAAATTTTGGATTCTAGATTTTTGTTGAGTTATGGAATACACCTTGGTCGTAATCGAGTTCTCTCTCTCTCTCTATGTGTGTGTCTGTGTGTGTGTGTGTGTGTGTGCTGCTGCTGTGTGCTTTTAAATATTAAATGTGCGTTGTTAAGTTACATCATCACTGGCAGTCTCCTGCTCTATATACTTGCAAATAAATATCTCAATTTATTGCATGGCTAATGTCTCCTGTTTTGGGTTATTGAAACCATTGGAAAGTGCATCTAATGCCTGCCTGTTCTGAAGTAATTCTGTTGTAGTGGGAAAATTCCTAGTAGCTATGCTCTTTTTGGAAGAAATATAATACCTGTTGAGCTTATTCCAATTTGGGATTACTTTATGTGGTAGGTGGAACCTTAGTTACTTATTTTTCTTAACAATAATATGTATTGGTCAGAAATAGTTCTGTAAGGTGAAGCTGTGGATTGCTGATGAAATTTTCGCTTGACTTTATGCATATATACACCAAAAAGTGATGATATTTTGCTGTAAATCTTGTATTCCAAATCTGTTCATGTGAAGCTATAGTCATTTGTAACATTTACAGGTTTACTGAAATATAAGAATCATGGGAATAAAAAAAAAAAAAACACAATCATGGGCATAAATTTGGGTGAGATGATAAGTGGTATTGAAACATTAAATTTGGGTTGGGGTTTATTATTCTGATGTTTATATGAGTCCGAACACTGCGATGTTTACAGATAAGATCCACTTTACCTAATATGACTCTAGTTCTGTATAAAATGTAAACCATGACTCTTGTTATCAGGTCCTTGAAATCTTGGAACTGTATCGGAGAATATATGAAGAATTTTTGGCCGTTCCTGTCATAAAGGGTAAGAAAAGTGAGCTTGAGAAATTTGCTGGTGGACTGTATACAACGACAGTTGAGGTACGTCCATCTTCATTAACATTGCTCATCCAACCTTTTGTTTTTGATGTCGACGGGCATCTTTGTTGTCAAACTTTTTATTTGTTTTCTTTTGACTAGGCTTTCATTCCAAATACGGGTCGGGGTGTTCAAGGTGCCACTTCCCATTGTTTGGGACAGAATTTTGCGAAAATGTTCGAAATCAACTTTGAAAATGAAAAAGGAGAAAAGTGTATGGTGTGGCAGAATTCATGGGCTTACACCACCAGAACGGTAAATGTCCTTTTTCCTGCTTCTAACCTTTGTGATGACACACTTCTCTTTTGGAAGTGCATTTTACATACTGTATAATTTTTTTTTTCTTTGTCTTATTTGCTCTTTGCTAGATTGGGGTGATGATAATGGTTCATGGGGATGATAAAGGGCTGGTGCTACCTCCTAAAGTTGCATCTGTACAAGTAGTTGTGGTTCCTGTGCCCTTCAAAGACGCTGACACTAAGGGTATTTTTGATGCGTGTACTTCTGTTGTGGAAACATTGAAAGAATCGGGTATTAGTGCTGAAGCAGACACCAGAGATAACTACTCTCCAGGCTGGAAATATTCCCACTGGGAAATGAAAGGGGTGCCCCTTAGGATTGAAATAGGACCAAGGGACCTTGCTAATAAGCAGGTGAGTGATCGGTGGAATTTTGCATAGTTTCCATTTTCACTAGCCTTTGGGAATTCTAAAGCATTATATATGCCTCAAGATTGAAAAAGAAGTGCCCAAAGACAAGTGGAAGGGATGAGGCGCATTCAAGTATCCTGATATTTAAATTAACCATTGTTTTTCTTCCCCTTCACTTAGGTGCGCATTGTTCGACGTGATAATTCAGCTAAAACTGACATCCCCATTGACGATTTAGTGGTAAAGGTTAGAGAAACACTGGATGCAATTCAACAGAATCTGTTCGATGCTGCAAAACAGAAGAAAGAGGCCTGCATGACGGTTGCAAAAACTTGGGAAGAGTTCATGGATGCATTGAATCAAAAGAAGTTAATTCTTGCTCCATGGTGTGACGAAGAGGTATGGATTTCTTTCTTGTGTATTCCTTATGTGTACGAGGATTGATGATGGCTATTGTTGCATTAATGAAAATATCATCCTTGATGATGTCCATTGTGGTATCGTTGGGTGCGCTTTTCTTTGATTATATACTCTTGATAAGTTCAACCCTGTTTACTTTGTCTAGTGTCTACAATATTATTTACGAGAGTGAATAGCTTTCATAGTGAGAGGAAGAATTCTTTATAGAGTTGGATGATATCATGAGCTTCTTGTTCATGGGTTCATCCTTCACACCAAGTAGAGAGACTAGAGAGGGTGCATGCTGCCTAATGACCTGTTGCTGCTTGTGTTATGAGAACTGTTTTTTTATTTTTGGGGGTTGGGGGGGGGGTTATTAAGAAAAATGATGTGTAATATGTTGGTTATCTTCATTTGGTTCGGTTTAGATTTAGCATTTGCAATTCATTGGTTTAACTGTTTTTTGGTTTTAGGATGTGGAGAAGTCAGTGAAAGAACGGACCCGGGGCGAAATGGGTGCTGTCAAAACCTTGTGCTCTCCATTTGACCAGCCAGAAATGCCCGAAGGTTTGTTTTTCCGTCATTTAACATTGTTATATATTAAGCTCCTTCTGTCCCGTCATAATATCAAGCCTTATGGGTTCCATGTATCATCCTCTCCTTTTCTCTATCCGTGTAGGTACTTTGTGCTTTGCCTCAGGTAAGCCAGCCAAGAAATGGACTTATTGGGGCCGGAGTTATTAGTTCATTGTGCCGGCGTCAGCCCTGGACCATGTGTTGGTGATCAAGTTAGCGGCAGAATCAAGACCTGGTTCTTTGCAGTTGCTAGAACTGGAGAATAGAAGGAAAAAGGATCATCGAACCAAAGATTTTTGATGTATCGTTATAAGTAGAAAGGAAGAAATTTGTGTATTGACAACAAATTACTTGTCTTTGATTGAGGAAGATATGGCTGTTTAAAGATCTAGAAATCAACAAAAAAAAATCTTTCTGCATCTTCTGATTTTGCTTATCATTCCCTTAACCAAAAAGTTACCTATTTTATCTGATTCCTCCTTTGATGCAGAAAGCATGAACTTCCTAGAAACAAAACAAAACTCCGGTTTTGGTCCTAATCTTAACCTCTAAACAGGGTGGAATTCTTGAAAATTGGAAATCTGGTTATAAAAGAATGTCAACTAGGAAGACAAGGGGATATGGGGTTGATTTTTTATGTATATCAATAAAAAATAAACTTTTATGTATCAATAAAAAATAAACCTAATGGCCCCCCAATTGCTCTAAATACATATTTTTATAGGCGGCAAAAGTACAAGTATTAAACATAGAAAAACGGCAGTCCCGATTTGAGGTATCATGCTTAAAGCCAAACACATTACTTTGGATTCCAGCCGGCAATTTTGCACCTTTGTGTTGTCTTTTTTGGGTGGTCTTTCAATTTGCTGAAAAGTTCTTCAACATTTTCAATGCAAACTCCAAAAGCTGAATGTGCCATTTGCTCCTCCAACCAAGGTTCATTATACAACAATCATTTATATATATATATATATATATATATATATAATTAAAAACCACTCCAAAAAGTGGTTAAACATACCATTTGATCATGTATTTGCAGCCATAAAATAAAAAAACGCTTGCTCCCCTATTGGCCGTTACAATTACTTTATACTATTTCTGTCTTAAAATATTAGTCTACATTGGAATTTAGAAATAGAGTGAGTTGAACGAAGATAAGTTACGTCTTATAACATATTGTTTCCTATGCAGATGCTTTGAAACTATCATCTACAAGATTGCACCGTTAGAAAATCGAAAAAATGTACTAGTAGTTCTTGAAAAACTCTTAAGAGTCATGTTAAGTGCGACTTTATTGAATCCTCATCTTAGGAAGAAATATGCATACTAGAAAGTAGAGAACATGGCATCTACATCGGCAAATTTTTAGGTGCATCCGAAACCACCATGGTCTCCCTCCTATTTTTTTCACATATAATTCTTATTCTATTTTTTTCTCAATTTTTTTTTATATTTTGCAAGTTTAGTCCTTGTTTCTTTTTTTTTCCTCTTCTCCACAAAATATCTATAATCTTTAAACGAATATATCTCCCAATTCGTGAAGAATTTGTGAACGAATTGCATATGAAATCTATAGTACTCGTTGAGATCTATCTAACAAGATCCATATCGAATATTTTTTCGAGCTTAAAAATGATTAAATTTCGATGGGCAGAATTGAGATAAATATCTAGTTAAAAAAATGCATAACCAACTTATTTTATATTGATATACTTATAAAATTTATATCTCTCAATCCGTAAATAATTAGATAAGAATTATACATGAAATTTTTAGTGTTCGACGAGATCTATCTGATAAGATCAATATCGAATTTTTTTCAAAAAATATAAATAATTAAAATACTCCGGATAGAAATGAGGAAAGTATTTGTGTTGGATAATCAGTACAAAGACGTTGGATAAGTACTAGGAAACTAATGGATAGCCGCTTCGATTTGGAGAATCAGTAAAATGATTGGGCAAGCAGTACAAACAGGTTGGATAATCAGTTTAAAAAAATACGGACAAGAATATTCAAAAAAATGGAAAAGGAAAAAAAAGTTGGAGAAACAGTACAAATCGTTTCTTGGATAATCGGTATGAGAACATTGGACAACTATTTTCCAACAAAAAAAAACGACTAGATAAACATTACAAGCCATCTAGATAATCAGTGAAAATAATTGGGTAAGCAGTATAAGCTGGTTGGATAATCAGTATAAGAAAATTGGACAAATTATTTTCATAAAAAATCAAGCAAAAAAAAAAAAGAAGAAGAAAGTCGGATAACCATCACCAAGAAGTTAGATAATCAGTACTAACATATATATTGGATATACATTTTCTCAAAAAAAAAGGAAAAAAAACCATTGGATAACCAATACAAAACGATTGGATAATCAGTGTAAACACATTGGACAAGCAGTAAAAGTAATTGGATAAGTAATACAAACTGGTTAGATAATCGGTATTAAAAAAATTAGACAATTATGTTTTAAAAAAAAAAGAAAAAAAAAAGGTTGGATAACGATTACCAAAAAGTTGGATAACCAGTATAACATATTAAATAAATATTTTATCAAAAGAAAAAGAAAAAAAATATTACACAAACATTACAAACCATGTTTGGATAACCAGTAAAAATAATTAGATAACCAATATAAAAGGGTTGGATAGTCAGTACAAAAAACTGGACTAGGATTTTATAAAAAGAAAAAGAAAAAATAATTGGATAAGCAGTACTAATCAGTTGGATAATCACTATGAACACGTTGGACAACTATTTTTCGAAAAAGAAAAAAAAAAGTATGTTGGATAAACAGTACCTAGCAGTTAGATAATCAATAGAAATATATTGGACAATTATTTTCATAAAAAATTAAATAAACAAATAGTTGGATAAGCAGTGCCAAGCATTTGGATAATCACTATAAACATATTGTACAACTATTTTCTCTAAGGAAAAAATAAGAAAAAAATATGATTGGACAAGTAGTACAAATCTGTTTGGAAATTAGTAAATATAATTGGATTAGTAATATAAAATAATTGGATAATTAGTAAAAAAAAATTGGACAAGGATTTTCATTAATAAAAAGTAAAAAAATGACTAGATAACCAATACCAAGCAGTTTGATAATCACCAGAAGACAACTATTTTCTAAAATAAAAATGAATGGATAAGCAGTACAAAAAATGGTTAATCTGCTCAAACCGATTGGATAATCAGTATGAACGCAATAGATAGGTGTTTCTTTTTTTTTAAGAAAAAACATATTCCTTCATTTCTACCCATAAAATTTAAATGCGTTTAAAGTTTGAAAAAAATATTCGATATGGATCTTGTTAAATAGATCACGTCGACTACTATAATTTTCATATATAATTCGTTTAAAAATTCTTCACGGATCATGAATTATGTGCAATAAGAATATCCATATAAAATAAGTTGGTTATCCATACTTTTAAACTAGATATCCATCTTATTTCTGCTCGTCAAAATTTAGTTATTTTTAAGCTCGAAAAAAATATTCGATATGGATCTTGTTGGATAGATCTCGATGAGTACTATGAATTTCATATATAATTTGTTTTCTAATTTTTCACGGATTGAGAGATATGCTCGTTTGAAAATTAGAGATATTTTATGAGGAGAGAAGAAAAAAAAAAGTAATAAGGACTAAACTTGTAAAACATAAGAAGTTTGAGAAAAAAGTACAATAAAGGCTAAAAATGCAAAAAATGGGAGAGGGTCTACCATGGTACCAGACGCACTCAAGATGGTCTCATTCACATCTTCTGCAATTTTATTTTTCTTTTTGTGTGTTTAAAGTATAAGTTAATCAAGGTTTGAATGTATCAATCAAGCAATAATGCATGCAAAAATTAGACTTTGTTAATAATTGGGAATTCGTTATTAATTTATAAAATTGCCAGCTACATTGTTTTACATTATGCTCTGTAATTTAAGGAAGATGACACCAAAATATGAACTTATTTTGGACCCTTCAATCACAACGTGAAAACCGGTCATTTCTACCAAAAATAGATTCAAACAAATCAAAAGGCCAGCTTTGTTTCTTCTCCTCCTTGACTTAAATAAAGCAGCCCAACAAATAAAAAAAAAATAAACAAAAGAGAAAAAATTCTCTTTTCTAAAAACTTTGTCTTATAATTTGTCTCTGTTTCATCAAAGAAACAGAGGAAAAACAGGTGAAAACAGAGGAAAAAACCCCCCACCAACCCATTCAATTCATTCTTTTGTTCTCTAAATTGATCATGGGTTGTGGGGAATCAAAGCATGCTGTTGCAACAACCAACACAATTAGCCAAACCAAGAGGTCAAGTTCTAAGAAGGGAAATGATGTTGAAGAGAAACCAACATCAAATGAACCTCTGTTGCAGGAAGAAAAGGCAAAAGGAGATGATGTGGATGTTGTTGTGAACGAAAAAGAAATTGAAAAGCCGTCAGAAAAAGCAGGGGAGAATGGGAAACAACAGAGTAATGATGTTGTTGTTGTTAATCAAGAAAAGGGTGTTTTAGAATCATCATCTTCTGCTGTTGCTGCTGTTGCAGAAGAAGAAACTGCAACAAAAGCAGAGGAAATTAAAGAAACTGCTGTTATTGTTGCTGAGGTTACAGAGGAAGTGTTAGGAAAGAAAGAGGAGTTGAAGGAAGAAAAGGAGGAAAGTAAAGAAGCCATTGAATCTGTTGTTGTTGTTCAAGAGAAGGAGAAAGAATCAACTGCAGAAGCCAAGAAAGGTAGATTTTTTCAGTCATCTTTGTCAAAAAAAATTCTTTCTTATGTTCAATTTATACATTAGGCATTGAAATCTTGAACAATTTCTTCTTGGTGTATTTAAAGGTTTGGTGTTTTTCTGTTCTTGCAGAAGAAGAAGCCATTGAGGGAAATGAAGCAACTCAAACAAAAGAAGGAGAATTAGCAGCACCAGAAACTACCTCTGCTGTAACAGAGGATTCAACCAAAACTGAAGAGGAAAAGGCTCCTGCTGCTAAAGAGGTATAAAGTTTTATGAAACTCAAAAAGAGTTAAATTTATTCTCTGTTCATCCCAAAATGATACGTTTAGTAGTTAGTAGTTAGATTCATACCTCTCATTCGTCCCAAATTGATTTTTTTGTTAGTGATAACTACGATTTAGATTAAAAGAATTTTTCCCGTCTCGAAATGATTGAAGGATTATTATTGTGTCACTTTTGTGAGTGTTCACTTGTTATTGCTCAAAATGGTGGAATTTTGGAAGTGATTGTTGATAGAATATGTATCATATGGTAACTTTTATGATGTGATTAGCATAGAATCAGTGATCGATTAGCGTAGCATCATCAACAATTATTATGGACTCTTTTCCAAAAGAACAAAAAAAAAAAAAGTATTATGGACTGATATTGTGTATATATTCATTCCTTAATCTTGTATATCTATCCCAAATATAAATACACAATCTTCTACCGTAAAGGAAATGGTCTAACGTAATTATTCTTTTAGTAATTTTAGGACATGACCATGAAAATTAGTATCTAACTATAATTCATACTCGAGATTTATTTTGGGACGGAGGGAATATCATTATTTTATTGGCATCTCCTGTTAACAACTTCTATGAATTTTACAGGAAAGTAGTACTCCTGCTACTACTGAATCATCGTCTACAGAGACTCCAAAGACAGATTGAAAAACTCATCATCAGCAAAAGGGACTGCTCATTCCTGGGAGTTGAATTTGATCTTCACAATTCACCAAGTTTGTCATACACATCCAAATCATGAATTCCATTTGATCAGTATTAGTATTTTTGTATTGCTTCTTACAAAAAAAAAAAAAAAAGGAGGAGCATTTTATTCAAGATGCTGTAATATTTCAAAGGATTTATGAAAACTCTCAACAATGTTGTTAGTTTCACATCATTTTTATCATCGGATTCGCTTCAAGGAAAAACAAGTCCGGCTTGTTCATGCTATTGTGTTTTGGTCAATTGTTAGTGATGGACAACTTTGGGGAAAAGAAAATACTCAAGAATTCTCTCTTTTAATTGATGGTTACACAATGTTTATCACACACGAGCAATTAGTGTATCAAACTATCATCAATAACTTAAGAAAAATGCATCAAGCTAATCACAAAAATACTTCTATTAATATGATCATCACATTTGGTGTCAATGGCATTAAGGAAGCTTCAATTCGTGTTTAGAAAACTACACCTTCCGTTCAGAAGGTCTCAAAATTATAGTCCAGTTTAATTTAACTAAAAATAAACATTCAAATTGGACAATAATTTCACGAGGAAAGGAGCACAAACCATCTGAAAAATGTGTACTTTTGCCATCACCATTATCACCGTCGACAACCAACACACAAAAAGAATACAACCCCTAAAATGAAATTTTTTTATAAATACCCAGAAAATAGGAAAAGTCATTAATAGCCCAAATATGAAATTACAAGATATAATTCAATTGTGTACGAAATGTCAAAGTTATATTTTTCGAACTAATATTAAGTCATTTCAGGCACTAGTCTCTTTCATTATACCAGAAAAAAAAAATTAAAATAAAATTGTGGAACTAATCAAAGTTTGAGGTAGTAGATTGGTGCAATCAAAAGTTTAATGAGTGTTTTTGAAATCATTATTTAAAAAAAAAAAAGTATTTTTTAAATCATAATAATAACATAATGGAGGGGGTATTCTTATAATTCTTTTTAATGTCTAATTTTTCCATTCTCCCCGAATCATGATCATCATCATCATCTATTGCCTACTCTGTATTGCATCTTGTAGAAAAGATTTAAAAAAAACAGAGATGGGATTGTGGACATTGCTGGAGGGCTGCCTGCTTCTTGCAAATGCATTGGCCATATTGAATGAAGATCGATTCCTATCCCAAAGACGTTGGAACTTCCATGAATTTTCAGGGGTCCGTAGGAATTCATTGAAAGGGCAGATTATTGGTCTCATTTATGCATCACAGTACTTAAGAGTTCTTCTTATACTCCTGAATTTGATCTGCATTGTTCTGAAATTGGTATCCGGATGATATCATTTCTGAAACAGTAAGTCTAACCCTGTTTCTATAATCATTGATGGATGTTTTTTGGTTTTGAAATTTTTGTAAAGATGTAAGATCTTGTTGGTTCCTGTTGGAAAAAGATAAAGAAGAAAGGTTACTTCTTTTATGATGTCAAGAATTAGATTTCAATTCATGTTTTAGCGTATTTAAAATTCATAAAGGCTTGTAATTTTGTTGTGGATTGAGTCAAGTAACAATCAGAATTGAAAGCTTTAGATGAAGCATTTGCTTTCTTATCCTTCACATTTGGCTCCTCGGATGCAGCTAACGAGATTGTTTACAACTCCACGTAACAGGACAATCATTTTGGGACGTAACAGAATAAAATTTAGTCTTTTGTTTTAGCTAGTCATAGTTTCATGTTCTTTTCAAGAAAGTCGGCAGATAAGTTTCTTGTACAAAGCCAAGACATTTTTTTTATGATTGGTAATTTAATTTGGTACGTATATTTGAAGCTGTAATGCCTTGTAGAATTGCATTTTTCCAGCTCTATTTCCTCTTTCGAAAATGGAAATGAATGTCTCATCTATGTCTCTCTTTCATTTATGTTGCCAACTTCTGGTATTGAGACGATTCACAATTTCATGAGCCAACAGTAGAATTTACTTCAGAGCTAATGAGAAAACCTGGTTCACAAGGTGAGACAAGCTACTGACAGAACAGATATTACTGGTTCCAGTTAGGTTTAATGAACAGCCTAACACGAAAAAAACTAGCTTCAGTATGCGCTGCAATGGCGAAAGCGGGGCTCAAAAGAGAATGATTAAACAAATGAATAATTGATATTATTAACATGCATAAATGCATCAACTTCCTTGAGTACTAAGCTTTCCCCTTCCAAACTAAAAGACTTGGAATGACTATGTACAATATTTTACAGTGGCACTTCCTTCCAGACAATGCCAGTGGGAGGATCTTTGGCCGTCCTATAAATTCTTCAGAACGACCCTAGAGAAAATGCCGAAGATAGAAAGACCAAATGCCTAGTCCATGGCAGAGTTTTTATTTACATCACATCAACTTGATCGCCAGATTCTGAGTTCTTTCTCAGAATCTTAGTGGAAGGAATCCGGGAGAATACAAGGTTCCCTTCAAGATCAGCAGTCCTATATGCAGCAGTTTTTGGATCCATTATTATTTTGCACGAGCTTTCTGCTCCTGGGCATCCCATTTGGACACCATAATACACCAAGTGGTCGAGAATGCTGTTCCCAGGCACTCCCCTGCAAAAGTTTTGGCATTTCAGTTTCAGATAATTGCACTAAGATTGGCTAGGATATGCATAAGTTCAGGCATTGTCTACAGTACTTTTTCCTACTCGACATAAAAGCTGAGGAAGCTGGCACAGTGAAGTTAAGAGCTGTGCTTGTCAAAAGATAAAAAGGAGATAGAACAAAACACAATAGTAATCAATGCTTTTCAAAAAGGAAACACTTGAAAAGAACTTGCAACAGCCAAATCTGAAGATTTTCTACTTGGATCTCCCAGTATGAATTTCAAACTGATGATAATACGATCAATGAAGAAACAGAAAAGGCAAGTCCGAAAATATATTCACTGTAGATCGCAGAAGAGAGATTTACCTGCTACAATCAGGGTCTTCACCGGATCCATCACAAACCCTCTCAACTGTATAGACTAAACTTCCAAACCCAAGGTTATAAAGCCAGATCTGCAGTTTAAAGCACACCTTCATTAGAGACAAGCAAGAGCCTCTTTACAAAGGAAGGCACATCTTTAATTGTTACAAAATAGTCTACCTAATTGTAATTCATATTACACTCAATTACCTCTCGGGGGAAGTGGCGATATGTCTTCTGAGGAAAATGTTGGTAGTAAGGAGGCAAATGAGGGACAATATCATGCTCATGCGTAATCCGGAATGTATACGGAACCATTTGACTATAGTAGGAAGCAAAAGCTGCATTGCCAATACGAGGTTGTCCAAATGTCACAACCTGGACGTCCTTTGCTCCAGTATTGACCTAGAAATAAGCACAAAATCATTCATCATAAATATCACAAATCTCATACAGAAAACAACTTAAAAGACTTCAGGGTAAAGCATAAAGTGCAATACAATCTCCTATGACTTCGTTTTGAAATCCAACAGTAAACCAAATATACTGTAACACAGGTTGAGACCAAATCTCTCATGCACGACAAGAATCATACACTGACAAATGTGAACAACAGACGCCTAACTTAACACCTGAAGTCAGTTAAATTTTCAGTGGATGAGGTGGAGGTATATGCATAAATGACTACTGGCTCTCAAGGTGACAGAACAACTCTCATAAACGTGTAATATAAACATACCAACTGATTACCCACTCATCAGAGTACACATACATTACATTTATAGACGCTAAAGAGAAAGGAAAGAAGTGTCGGAAGGTTTACTCACAACAAGATCCAATGCACAAAAAGCTGCCATAGCCCCTCCCATAGAATGCCCAGTAACCATAATTTTAAGATCACCAAACAGCTCTTTTCCTCTTTCAAGTGCACTCAAGATTCCTGGACGTAGAGTTGTGTTGTGATATGCAGTATAAAAACCATGGTGTACCTGAAATAAAATGGATTCATATAAACATTTTCCGCACAAAGAATTCACAATAGAGAAGTAAAACCCTAATTTGAGTACAAACCATTGCATTATCTATCCCGGGGTAATCTATGTCAAGTTGCTTCCAATATAAATCTTCAACCCAATTCTGTAGGCTGCAGATGGTCATTAAGGAAGTCAGTTTGTTAAGTACTGCACAATATGTCTAGTGGAAAGAAAGTTATCAAAGCAAGTAAGAAACAAACAAAATATGAGATAAAAACATATCCACGAGAAGATCACAGGTTACCATCCATAAGTAAACTTTCACTTAAAAAAAGGTTCCACTGATTGCATAATATCACTGTAATAATTAATATCCTCTTAAAGCTTATAGTTAGAAGTGTTAATGCTGGAAGCAAAAAACTTCAGCTCACCAACTACACATTTAGGCAACTAAATGATTAGAGCAAATAATATTCCACCAATCTTCAAACAATGCACAATAATACATGTTACACTGTGTTATTTTAATGATGAATAATTGAACAGTACTTATAAGTTTCATATTTGCATCTCATCTGATGTACTTACAATAACTTCAACCTTCCATTAGACTAAAAGCCAAAAGAAATATAGTATGTATTGGATAAATGTGGAAATATGGAAACAACTAGAATCCGTTACTAGAGGATATATGTTCAACAGCAACTCAACTTTACTAACCCAGTGAATCTATGTACTAGAAACAAGAACAATGTACACAGTTACTACAAAACAAAAGAAACCTTTTTTCCTGAGTGCCTCTGAATGCAATCACAAAGGCATTGAGATCATCAGCAACCCCAACAAATGCCTGCATGTAGAAAAAAAGGCTTTAGAGCACTGGCATACAACAAATTACAGATGAGAAGGATGATCAAATAGCTCCAGCAAAGGAACTCAGTTTCCTAAGTAGAACCATTATCATGAAATAGAACTAACCTGGAGGCAGCGCTTGACATCAATAATTAGCTCTATCATTTCGAATCCCTGCTCAAATTGGAATAGTTAATCAATCCCCCTCGCCAGAAGAAAAAAACAATGACATGTATGTAAAGGATGCTGATCTCACTACATACCTCGGTAAGATCATTGCATCGTGTGCATGTCCAGGTAAATAATTCTGTTGTATCGGACATGTAAACCTGCCAGAGGAAAGGTTCTCTTATGATGGCTGATGAAGTTAACAATCAAAACGACACAGTATGAAAGATGACAGGAGCAACATGAAAGAAGTGATGCAGTAACAACAGCAACAAATTTGCTTCCTTCGAAGTCAAATGTCAACATAAAAATAAGTGTTTCTGTAGACTATATAATGATTTAAACAGAACTCTCTGACATGCACAAAATTAGCACAAATTTTTTAGAAAGGTTTCCTTCGACCTAAGAAATAATAAGTACACAGAAGAATAAGAGCTTTCCATGTGACATTCAACAGCAACACGCAGGCAGCAATCAGTTAATCATGAATTATCTCTAATAGCATAAAAGTAAACAATTCATCATTCTCCTAGCTATTATGGTAAAATATATGCCAAACTTACAGCAGAAGCATATTCCACCAACGTTCTTGCAAGTGTGTGATTAAACTCTGGATGCTCCTTATGCTTGACTGTCACTTTGAGCTCTGATCCACCAGGAAATACAAATTTTGAGGAAGTTTCAACCAAACAGAAAAAATTGTGAATAAGTTGCAAAAAGGAAATTGAGGTGGAAGTAGAAAAGAGAGACTAATCAGAAAACTAGAGTTTGAATATATCTCCAGTTGATAAGCCTAAAACTAGTCCAAGTCTTAGAAACTTTAGCGTATCAATAAACCTTGTAAATCTATTCTCTTAATTAAATAACCCTCAATTATACAGATTCTTTACACAATCTCAGCAACAGAACAAACCTTTCCTTTGAAATATCTTCACGAATAGTTCAAAATTTCACCAATCTAGCAAAGCCAACATGCCTTACATACAAACTAAACTATCTCCTTAGGTAAATGTGTCCAAGTTATGCAAACTGCTAACATATGAAATATAATTAAAATAACCTTAAAAAACCCAGTAAATTTAAATCCCACCCAGACATTATCATCATCAGTTTCAAACAAGCGATAACATCTATAAACTATACATAGATCATCAAACTTTACGAATAACTACCTCTTGCAGAACACAACGCTGATGATAACAAAACCAAGATTGCAACTTTCGCCCAGCCAACACCAGCCATTCTCTGCGAAATAAATCAAAACCCACAAAATTTGATAACTTCAACTAACTGACTAAGAATAATCAAACAAGTTGGTAGAAGTAATCCTAAGAAGCCCAAAAAAAAATGGGGCGTGAATAGAGACAATGGAAACAAATATTATGCAAAATAACCTGGGAAAAGACGATCAGGCAAGAAAACCCAGAGCTTCAAGATGAAAAAAGAATCGAGCTTTAGCTTCCCGGCAACCGTGCGACGGCGATGAGCGGAAGCACGGCCAGAAAAACGACAGCGTATCTGAACCTTTATCTTCTATTTGGAAAGAAGTTAAAAAGCGTGGGAAAGTAAGGGCTAAGGTTTTACCCTCAAAAGAGTCATATGCAGAATGGGTTTCCTTATCCGAATACCCTGGGATTGCAATTATTTACGAAAATCATGGTGAGATATGCAGGAAATTTTGGCGATTAGGGGTGGGGTTTTCCGTCATTTGGTGTGTTTGATTTCGTGTTGGTTTCGCTTTCGCTTAATCAGGTTTTGGAATATGCCCCTTTCCAAATTATGCTGTTGAGGTGACAACTATTTCATTTGCCAAAACGTCTATGATTTGTGAAATTTTATTGGCCACCAAACTTGATGAATGAAACAAAAAATGTATATTTTTTTTAGCATAGAAAGCATATTTTGATGTTTACACAATTTGCATATTTTTTGTTACATATATCGAAATTTGATATGACGTGTGTAAATATCGAATCAAAAACTAGACTTGATCACTTTATTTAATAAATAAATAAATAATTTGTGCAATTTTATTTGATATGTATGGGGTTCTTCACACGTGTTTTTTTGCTACATATGATTCATTTACATTGGATAAATATGCATGTAATTTATTTTAAACCAACTATTTAATACACCTATCATTATAATAGTTTTCCGTATTTTCTTTTTCAGAATATCATAAACAAGGTTTTTTTTTTCATATTTTAGTGACTAGTCTATCTCCGTTTGAGTTTTTTTTTTTTTTTAAATGATACATGTATATTAATTCAAAGTACCTATACCATTATAATGTTGTTTAGCGTAAACTAAATTATATAATTCGCTGACATCACTTCTAATAACTTTAACTGTAGTGCACGATTGAAAAGTGAAAATTAGATGACGTAGTTGATATACTACTTGTCCCTCACTGGGTAGCCGGTTAAGACTTTGGTTTGTGGTCAACAATTCGCAATCGGTATGTATTAGGACATTTTGTAGGCCGAGTGTTGACGCTTCTTGAAAAACCATAAAGCATGTCATGGCCTCCGCTTGAAAAGTCGATAATGATGAAAGTGAGACGACTTTGATGTGCATGAGTAGTTCCGTTGCGGTTGTGATTTTTCAGGCTCCAGCTGTCTTCTGGTGGTGGAATGGAAAGAACCATCGAAGCTAATTTGGCCTTGATGATGGATGAGAGCTGCATAGAATTCTTTCTTAGAAGGTTAGCTTTGTGTTTATCAAAGTCTTGTTGTATAAGTTACCATGACCACATTGAATCCATACTCTAACTGTGTCATTCCTTATCATTCATTTCAATCCAAATTCTCCATAATATGAAGAGGAAAGGACCGAGATCTTCCGCCGAGGATAAAATCAAAGTAATATGAATAAATTTATTCTACCGTTTTTGAACTTTGAATTGAACGTATGATTATTATATGATATTTTAAGTAATATGTGAATTACACAATGAAATTCCTACAAACATTCCATTAAAATCAATTAAAAAGTTTGTATTCCCTCCGTTCCAAATTAAGTGTCGTTTTAGCAAAATGAAAAAATTTCAAAATAAGTATCGCTCTCACATTTCAATGCACTTCTTGTCCAAAGTTTTCAAAATTACCCTTAAAAGAATTAATATTATTGGTAGATATTTTTTTAATGGGGTTAGTTGAGGATATTCAAGTAATTTTATTACCCTATTTAAGAGTTTCTTAAACTATGTGCAAAGTGTAGAATGACACTTATTTTGGAATAGAGGGAGTATTTAATTATTAAATTAAATTCCTACCGAGTAGGCTTGCCTTAGATTAATAATTCACAGTTCGAAGTGAGAATATGATTGGAGCATGATATTATCGATGTTTCATATATATATATATATATATATATATATATATATATATCTACAGAATATCTCAATTTAATTTTTCTGTTAGGCTCTAACCTTCCTTTTAATTCGAAAAAAATTACTAAACGAGAACCGTGATCAAGTTTTATAGTTAAGCATATGCCATTTTAACCCAAAATCATGTGTTAAATTTTAACATATTTTTTTTTAAAAATCAACCGACTATTAAAAATATTCAGACAACTAATAAAACGAATAATAGTTAACGATTAGGAATATAATCAATATCATCTATGCTCATGTTTTTTTTTTCCAAAACACTTAGGCTTGTTTGATAAAGCCACTTAATGCTTAAAATTATTGGATTAAATATTTTTTCATTTCAGCATCTTTGATAACAAAACATGAATCTCTTAATCAATTAAGTGCTGCTGAAATTATAGTATAAAATATAAGCAATAAAAGTTAGATTATTGCTTATTCAGTAACTGCTTAATAAATTCAGTATTTTTAATTCAGTATTAGAATCAAACACTTATTTTTATCAAATATGCCCTTACTCTATAATAGAGGAGTTTTTTTGGTTAGCTTGGATCCTGAATTTATCAGATTTTATTAGAATTTCGTTTAGATATATATATATATATAGATATATATTTTTGTATAGAAACGTAACAACTTTTAGTTTCACTTTTAGTTAGTTTTGTTCTTCGGTAGAGGTTTTTTTTTCTCTTAAAATTTAATATGATTAAATAATCGTGAATTTTTTATACTCTGCACATCGGGCGGATAACATATAGATATAGTGACTAATCTATCTCTGTTTGAGTTGTAATAAGCATGTAAACAACGGGATTCAAACACTCGATCTTTGTAAATTCACAAAAGTGTTTACCGTTGACGATTAGAGTGATCAATACCTCGCTAAATTGGGGGAATATATTGGTGGAATATGCAACATTAGTGAGGGATACTATTGACTAATAACACAAGGCCCAGTTTAATTTAGCATTTAGAGCACTATTCAACTCAATAGATTCAAATGAATCAAAAGCCCAAGTTAGGATATCAGTATAAAGCCCAAGCCGCCAAGTTTTGATCCCCACCATCAGCCCATTGGCGGGAAATCCAATTTCACAACTCTAAACGTGGCGGGAAATGAGTAGCCCAGAAAAAGAGAAAAAATGAATATCATAATTTTCGTTTTAATTTTTAATCGGCATCTTATATAAATATATATAAAATGAAAAGAAAAAAAAACACGCACACACACATTGGGCATAGTCTCCTAATTTCCTTTCTTCTGTGTTTCTCTCTTAACACATTCTATTCTTCTAAAGAAAGAAAACAGAAGAAAAGAAAAAAAAAACCCTCGATTCAATGGCGAGAGGTCCGAGAGCGGCGAAGGAGTCATCCTCAGAGGAAGAAGAGGAAGAGCCTAATTCTAATTCGTCGGAAGAAGAGGAAGTAGACCGAGCGCCCAATGATCAAGTTAACGAGGAAGAAGACGAGGAAGAACTCGAAGCCGTTGCTAAACCTGCCGATGAATCTGAGGAAGAAGAAGATGATGCCGCCGCCAACGACCAGGAGGATGATGACAACGAGGTGCTTCGAATTTTTTTTCTAGATTGATTATGTGCTTCGCTTTTTGGCTCTCTCGTTGGTTTGGAGGACTGTTACGTGGTAGATCTGAAGAATTATATTGTGGATTACTGTTTTTTGTTTGCGTTATTTATTGAAAAATGTCGATTTTGCTTGGTGTTTAAGTGGAAATTTCAGTTTGAATGCTGGGTTAGAAGATTTATTGTTGGGTTGTTTCTAAAGTTTATTTCTTTTGCTGCATATGTTGAGCTTTTCTTGTTTAGACTAGGGTTTAATTGGGTTCCTAAGAAATTCGTGAAAAAGAATGAAGTACATGCAAATTGTGAGTATCTTTGAGGGTTAATGGTTTCTGTACTGCAGCATAAGCCCTACATTTTCAGGGCTTTGCGGCTGAGTTGTTTTGAATAATGAGCATTCCAATCAGTGCCAATGACTTGTGAAAGAAATAAAATTTTTATTTTCCCATGCCTTCGTTGTAGAGCTTTTATGGATTTTATGAATTTTGTTTGCTTTGGGAATGTATCATATGATGCTGGAAGTGATTTTGTTTGTTGATTTATCGTATACTAAGCAGGAAGGAGAAGCTGTTACTGGTGAGGTTGCCAAGCGTGAAAGGGAGAGGTTAAAAGAAATGCAAAGGTTGAAGAAGCAGAAAATACAAGATATTTTGGATGCGCAGAATGCCGCTATCGATGCTGATATGGTGGGTATTTCCTTATTAGATAATATCACCTTGGTTTGAAGCCTATGTTGAATGTGAGGTTTAACAATAGAAAATCTGTTTCAATGGCAGAACAACAAAGGAAAGGGGCGACTGAAGTTTCTTCTTCAGCAGACAGAGCTATTTGCTCATTTTGCCAAAGGAGACCACTCAACATCGCAGAAGGTCAAAGGAAAGTAAGTCACACATAGACTACACAATGCGCCGGGGATAGTTTTCTCCTTTTGTTTTCTTTTTAAAAATATGTAGCTATCTACTATTTCTGTGCTAATGAAGTTTTGTATCACCCAGACCATAATGGATGTTGATTGATCACACTGTTTAACATCTTGGTCATAGTTCTGGACAAGAAAAATGACTAAAACCTACTTGCTACTATCTGCTACTATCTACTATGTATGCACTAAGCATTGTGATACGAAGACTGTATCTGGTCGAAATATCTCATTTGTTGGCTATAACTTCTGGCCAAGAAAAGTATTTTTCAGAAGTCTTTTATTGTGTCTTTTGCTTAAATATTTGCCAATCCAGCCTTTACTTGGCATTCTACAATGCTAGTGTTTACTTAAATTCATTAGGTTGTATTATGCCTCTTATGTTTTGCTGTATTTGATGTGATGGGGTTGATTTTTGTTTGTATATTTGGAATGTTTTTGTGGTTGAAACCATATGTCATGAGTTGTCAGAAATACTATCTGTTAAATAAGCTTTTGTGTGTTTCGCCTTTGCAAGCCTGGTTTGGGAGATTTTGTGATTATTAATGTACATGTCCTGTAATTTAGGGGTCGCCATGCATCGAAACTTACCGAACAAGAAGAAGATGAAGAGTATCTCAAAGAGGAGGAAGATGGTCTCTCTGGAGCTGGAAATACTAGACTTGTTGCCCAACCTTCCTGTAATGATCATTTACGTATTTGGTTTTTGATTTTTTTTTCAACAACCTCCCTATTCTTGTATGTTTCTTCAAGTAGCACGATCTGTTTTTTTCTTTGATTTAATTTTTCGTTATTTTTTGACAAGTTTTGATTCCTTCCAATTTTCTTCTTCATCTGCTTTGGTTTTCACCATGAATGTTCATTGCATTTCCGCAGGCATTCAAGGAAAGATGAGGGATTATCAACTTGCTGGGTTGAACTGGATGATAAGACTCTATGAGAATGGGATAAACGGAATTCTTGCAGATGAAATGGTACAAATGGAAACTAGAATATTTGCTTGAATATGGAGCACTAACTGTGTTATCTAATTCTTTCTGATATTTTTTGCTGTTGGTGTGTTCAGGGACTTGGAAAAACTTTGCAAACTATCTCACTTTTAGGTTACCTCCATGAGTACCGGGGAATAACTGGTCCCCACATGGTTGTTGCTCCAAAATCTACACTGGGAAATTGGATGAATGAGATTCGCCGATTTTGCCCTGTTCTTCGTGCTGTAAAGTTTCTGGGTAATCCGGATGAAAGGGTAAGGCTTTTTAACTATCTCATGGTAGTTTTTAAACCCCACTCCTCTACCACAAAAGAATAAATCTAGTCTTCGGTAACTTCATTTGAGTAATAATGCACAAAGGGGTCACCGGCTTTCATGAAAACACATTTTTTCTTGGAAGTATGAAGGATGGCTAGACCAGCACAAAAGCTGAAAAATGTTTCAAAAATCGTAAGACTTTTTGAAGAAAAATAATCTCGCAAATAAGCCTTTCTAGATGTACAAAGTACTACTTATTCATTTTGGGGTTGGAAATGGCAAATGGTGGGGACTTTCAAGCTAAATGATCTTGTTTTTTCTGCTTTTAGGGTATGTCTAATTTTGCTTATTTTGATTCCAGAGATATATCCGCGAGGAGTTGCTTGTTGCCGGCAAGTTTGATGTATGCGTAACTAGTTTTGAAATGGCCATTAAGGAGAAGTCGGCCTTACGTCGCTTTAGCTGGCGATACATCATCATTGATGAAGCCCATAGAATCAAGAATGAAAATTCTTTATTGTCTAAAACCATGAGATTGTACAGTACCAATTACCGTCTTCTTATCACTGGCACACCTCTTCAGGTACTTACCTAATTTGAAATGTTTCCAGTTTTGCAAATTCTTGCCTTACTTGGTGATGTAGCTCTCATGGATGCTTCATCTTTTTTCTAATTTGGCTATTAAATCACTATCTGAATTTGAATTAAATGTTGGTTGGCGGGTATGTACAAGTTTGGAGCTGTTTATGAAATGATTTTACTCTGTTTTGCTTAAAGTTTTCAGTTCTTGGAGTTGCTACTTAACCTCATTTGATCTCTTGCTAACTCATGCAGAACAACCTTCACGAGCTTTGGGCGCTTCTTAACTTTTTACTGCCTGAGATCTTTAGCTCAGCTGAAACTTTCGATGAATGGTTTCAAATCTCTGGTGAAAATGATCAGCAAGAGGTTGTCCAGCAGCTACACAAGGTTGGTTTGTAAAGGCTTTGAATGCCTTAGAAAATGCATTTGAGTTGAAATTGTAATTTTAATTTGAGGGTTTGCAAGCAGAGTGTCCCAATAGGTTGAATGACTCCTGTGGTTTAGACTGGTATTTGTGCTATGCAATCTGGAATTGTATGTTCTACTATGAAACTTATAATCATACGCTGTAATCTCCTTATTCTCTTTGTGGCTGGCAAGGTTTGCTTTTTATGACTGTTGGACTAGGCTTGCCTATACTGTGTACTGTGTTACTCTATATGACCAGGAGTTTGATGTTGCACTCTATTTTATTTACGTTGATTGTTTTCGATGTGCTATGCAAGGTTCTCCGACCATTTCTTCTCAGAAGATTGAAATCAGATGTTGAGAAAGGTTTGCCACCTAAGAAGGAAACAATTCTTAAAGTTGGCATGTCCCAGATGCAGAAGCAATACTATCGAGCTCTTTTACAGAAGGATCTTGAAGTTGTAAATGCTGGTGGCGAGCGCAAGCGTCTTCTTAACATTGCAATGCAGTTGAGAAAATGTTGTAACCATCCATATCTTTTTCAAGGTGCAGAACCTGGACCTCCATATACTACAGGGGACCATCTTATAGAAAATGCTGGTAATTCTCTTTCTTATCCCCTTGTGTATCTAACTGTTTACTAAAGTGTTATTTGTTTCAGTTGCTTCTTCAACCTTTCTTAATGTGCTTCTACAGGCAAAATGGTGCTTTTGGATAAATTGCTACCAAAGCTAAAGGAGCGTGACTCAAGAGTGCTAATATTCTCACAGGTTTGAATTCTATACTTCCAACTTTTATTTGTTTGGGAGCTTTCTCATTTGGAGAAACTCTTTTTGTATTTTAGTGGTTGGTAATACTTTTTTTCTGATGCACGTGCAGATGACTAGGCTTCTCGACATTCTAGAGGACTATTTGATGTATCGTGGATACTTATACTGTAGGATAGATGGAAACACCGGTGGGGAAGATCGTGATGCTTCCATCGAAGCCTTTAACAAGCCTGGGAGTGAGAAGTTTGTATTTTTACTGTCAACTAGAGCCGGAGGTCTTGGTATTAATCTTGCTACTGCAGATGTTGTTATTCTCTATGACAGTGACTGGTGAGTATTTTCGATATATACGTTATATTGTTATGCTGTTACCTTTGAATCACTTTCTAACATCATGCCTTCATTCTTTAGGAATCCGCAAGTTGATTTACAGGCGCAAGATCGTGCTCATAGAATTGGGCAGAAGAAAGAAGTGCAAGTCTTCCGTTTTTGCACAGAGGTCTGCCCATTTTATTTTACGCAGTTTGAATTAAACTGCAAGTCCTTACTGCTTGGAAGTATGTGTTAATGATATATTCATTCCATTTGTCATTGGCAGTACACAATTGAGGAAAAAGTGATTGAGAGAGCTTATAAAAAGCTTGCACTTGATGCTCTAGTTATCCAACAAGGGCGCTTAGCCGAACAGAAAAGTGAGATTTTATACCTATATTTCCATGCTATCTTTTGGGGATTGATTGGTTTTAAGTGTAATCCTAATCTGATTTTTTTGCCCCTCTGCAGCTGTGAATAAAGATGAGTTGCTGCAAATGGTGAGGTTTGGTGCTGAGATGGTTTTTAGCTCCAAGGACAGCACAATTACTGATGAGGATATAGACAGAATAATTGCTAAAGGAGAAGAAGCAACAGCTGAGCTTGATGCGAAAATGAAGAAGTTCACTGAAGATGCTATCAAATTCAAGATGGACGATTGTATGTTTATTATTTTAGTTTTCTAGTTATAGTTATTCAATGCTGCTTACCTGGGCTAAAAGTTGAATATCCTTCTGCAGCTGCTGACTTTTATGATTTTGACGATGAAAAAGATGAGAACAAGTTCGATTTCAAGAAAATTGTTAGTGACAATTGGCTCGAGCCTCCCAAAAGGGAAAGGAAGCGCAAGTATGTTCACTAAATAGCAGTTTTGTTGATCTTGTAATTGTTCATTTGTGTTTACAATTTTTTCTATTCCCTGTTAGTTACTCGGAATCAGAATACTTCAAGCAAACAATGCGCCAAGCTGGTCCAACCAGACCCAAAGAGCCACGAATTCCTCGTATGCCTCAGTTGTAAGTCTTCTCTGTCAAATACCCGGTTGCTGGAGCATAGATTTTTCAGCTGTGCTACATTGTTGTTCTTGGTTTGGTGCTAACTTGTTGCTTTTCATGTGATTCCTTTTGAAGGCATGATTTTCAGTTCTTCAACACCCAGAGGCTTAGTGAGCTTTATGAGAAAGAAGTGCGCTATCTGATGGTAGGCGATATTTTTTTGTTCTCCCTTTTTAGTGGTTTTCTTAATATTCGTTACCACACTCTTTAGCTTTATTCTCTTGTTGTTTTCAGCAAACACATCAAAAGAATCAATTGAAAGATACAATTGACGTGGAAGAGCCGGAAGGTAGTATTCTGACTGCTAGGATATTATTTAGTTCTTTATAGTGTGAAATTGTTGCTGATTACTTGTGCATATAGATGCTGGAGAGCCTTTAACTGCTGAAGAGCAGGAAGAGAAGGAGAAGTTGTTGGAAGAGGTGGGTGAACCTTCACATTCTTTTTCAGTTTGTTGGAACTCAGTATCTAATTTTATTTTTAATTAAGTAGTTTTGTGTGTGCTTGTTTCCACCCAGACTTAATTTCATTTTTTTCTATACAGGGTTTCTCTACATGGAGCAGAAGAGATTTCAATACGTTCATCAGGGCCTGTGAAAAGTATGGTCGGAATGATATTAAGGGTATTGCTTCTGAAATGGAAGGAAAGACGGAGGAGGAAGTTGAAAGATATGCAAAGGTTTTCAAAGATAGATACAAAGAGTTGAATGGTAAGCCGTAGAACTTACTGTCATCTTTTGCTAAAATTTTTGTGGATAGTTGTTCATTAATGCCGGACAATGATCTGAATGGATGCTGTTCATGCGAAGTACATTATGCTTAGAGCTTTTGCGGAAGCTAAGAAGAAATTCCCTTCGAAGTTTTTCTTTACTGTTTGCTGCAAATCTTGTATTTTTACAGATTATGATAGGATAATAAAGAATATTGAAAGAGGAGAGGCCCGAATATCTCGTAAAGATGAGATCATGAAGGCTATTGGAAAGAAGTTGGATCGGTATAAGAATCCATGGCTGGAATTGAAAATCCAATATGGTCAGAATAAAGGGAAGTTGTACAATGAAGAGTGTGATCGATTTATGGTGAGAACTTTCTGCCGTTCTCTTTTGACTTTGTTTATGAATCAATACTTTTTCTTTCTTGTGTTTCTAACATTATTTCGTCATATTCAACAGATATGTATGGTTCACAAGCTTGGATACGGGAACTGGGACGAGCTGAAGGCTGCATTTCGCACGTCGCCACTGTTTCGGTTTGACTGGTTTGTGAAGTCGCGAACTACTCAAGAACTTGCAAGGAGATGTGATACGCTTATTCGCTTGGTGGAGAGGGAAAATCAAGAATATGATGAACGTGAGAGGCAGGCCCGTAAAGAGAAAAAGCTTGCAAAGGTTGATTTCCTCTTACCATTCTTGGGTTGATATAATCTTGTTCTGCCTGTTATTTTATGCATGTGCACTACATTATCCTTCACATTTTTGTGACAAACTGAAAATCCTTTTTTCCCTCCATTGCAGCAGAATATAACCCCATCTAAGCGGGGAAACTCAAGGCAAGCTGCTGAGAGTCCTCCGGGCTTAAAGAAGCGTAAGCAAATGTCGATGGATGATTACGTGGGCTCGGTATGTATCTTGTTTTTGTGTCTGTTATGCAGCCTCCCCCTGGATTGTCTTCCTGATGTAGGTAACTGTCTGTTTCAGGGAAAGAAGAGAAAATGATGCAGTAACACGAAGTGAAGCGGCTGATTTTTTTCCATTTTGTTAGTCAAGTCAGGATACTAGATTATTGCACCGACTATATTGAGATAATCTTCTTATGATTATTCATATGGCTTCGCGTTTGCTGTCAAGGTCATACGGAACCTGATGACACTGCCAAAGAGCTATTTAACTTGTGGATTATTAGCACTAGTTGTATTGTATAGATTCACAGCAGTGGAACCTAGCTACATATGGTGCTCTTTTCTTAAAGGCACTTTCAAAAAATCCCTCATTGGGTCGCATTGCTGTTACCGCTGCTGTTGAACTTTTGTAGTTTTGCAGGGATGGTATTATTATTATATATATGTAGTTTTTAATTAGGAATTAAGCATTTTCAGTTCTTTTGAAATTTTGATGCTACACATTTAGTTCTGAAAGCTTGAAAAGCATCATCTTATGCCTTCAGCTCCTTACATCTCCTTCTAACTAGTAGCAGATACAGTTCCATAAACCTGTGTTGACACGTTGGGAACCAAATAGTCATTGAAAGCATCTTGAGCCCTTCCTCTTTTACATCTTGTCCTAGGTGTCAGACATAGTTTCATTGTTAGGCTGAAAATTCCTCGGTAACATGACAGATTTGCAGTTTCAGGAGTGACATTCAGCTAGATACACTGGAAGGAAAAGATAGTAATCACAATCAATTAGTCTTGAAACTACTAATGGCGAAGGAAAGAATCCAGACAAAACTACAACTCACTGCTATTACTTGAGCTAAAGGCCTGAAAATGTGCAAATAAGAAATAACCAAGGTCATCTTATTTGAAGATCTCTTTAAGCCATGCATAAGCTTGTGTTGAACAGAAAAATTATGAACCAATTGCAAAACTTTGAGTACGGATCATCAAATGATCAAATGCGAAAAGAATAGAGAACGAGAGGTATGGGAAAAGAAGTATCGGAAAATAATATACAAGCGACATGATGTCTAAGAAAAATCTATAGACAGAAGCCCTAAGAACTACAGACAAGCCTTTTCATCGACATCAGAACCATCTCTCGAAAATAAGACATCTCTCCGACTGCTCTTTGTATTACATTATCATGGACATCCGAAAAACCTAATATAGAGATAGAGTGCAACAACATGGTGCAGTAAGGGCTATGTCAGTAATTACTCAAATTACAACCATTAGCCCTCTTTCTCGTCTTTCTTCCCTCATAACTACATCTCCTCTTACCATATGACTCGGAATCCAGTTCAAACTATCAGATACAAGAATGATTTATAATGACAAATAGTACAAGACAAAGTTGGGTACAAACTACAAGGGACTCTTATTCTACAAGGATAATTGTCTCAACCAAGGGGAAGGTGATTGTTGATGATGCACGCTCACCATTGTCTATCATTTGTACCATCAAAACTTCCCACCTCGTTGGCCTTCTTCTTCTCTCTCCAGCCTTCACCCCATACTTTAGCTTCTGCTACGGCCCGTTCTCTGTCTAAATCCCGATTCCTGGGTGTTTCTCTGGCTCTACCTGCGCTTCCAGGACTGTCCTTCTGAGACTCTGACTCATCAATCCCCCACTTCCTTCCCGACCCTACACCAGTTTCAATTCTCCTCAAATCGGAACCGTTGCTAGATTCTCTGGTAGAATCTCTCTTTCGGAAATCAGGTGAGTTTCTATGAGTTGACGGGGATCCAAGGAAACCACGGTCTGGACTGTCGACCCCATCTGCCATGTTCCTACGATCATCCCTGCTCCTCGGAGTGGATGGACCGACTTTGTTACTCTGTGCAGGGGCATTGGGATCATATGTTTGAGAGGCTAAATATGTCAAAGCAGTCACCACATCCCCAATTAGGGGCCTCGTTGCAGCTTGTTCTTGCAAGCACATGGCTGCCACTGCCAATGCTTGGTAAAGTCCTCGCATTGGGTATCGACCTTGCAACAATGGATCAGCCATTTTTGGAAACTTCCTTCGATCTTTAAAGAGTGGCCTTGCCTGAACAAAATTTCAATATGTATTAGTACAAAATCGTCCAGTACTAACAGATAATAACATGCTAATGGTGTTCAACATCATGCATCTGATGACATATCTCTAATGTAAGCCCTGCAGCAGATATCAATTTACCCTGCCCACAAAAAGAAAAAATGCTTTCATACCCATGCAACAAGATTATGCTCTCCTGAAGCCCGGGTGTTATCAATGGCCTTGCGCCCAGTGATGAGTTCAAGGAAGACAACTCCAAAACTATATACATCGGACTTCAAAGTGAGCTGGCCGGTCATAGCATATTCAGGAGCACAATAACCATAAGTCCCCATCACCCTAGTGGAGACATGAGTCTTGTCACCAACAGGACCAAGTTTTGCAAGCCCAAAATCGGATAATTTGGGATGAAAACCTTCATCTAGAAGGATATTGGAGGATTTTAGGTCTCTATATATGACAGGAGGGTTGGCTTTATCGTGCAAGTACTCCAATCCTTTTGCTGCCCCAGCTGCAATCTTCATTCTTGTATTCCAGTCTAAAGGTTCTTTATTTGGTGCAAGATCTGCATAAAAGAAATAATCAGCTAGGCACGTCTAAACCCCAACTGACACTACTTCAGAAGAAGAATGGGATACAACCACAATAAAGACTTTATTATTTTTGTTACATACAATTACAAACATATCAACAGCAGCCTGGGAAATTAAAATATCAGTAGATCTTGTAATGCATGAGTATGAAATAGAAAAAATTGGATTCTTTAACTTCTGACAAGGAACCTACTTTAATTGGAGTCTTGAACCCTAGATTCTTATCAGATAATTATGGTACTATGGGAAAGGTTGAGATTTAACAGAAGAACTATGCGTACACTACTTCTCCAAGATAAGAATGGCTCATTTTTTTTAATTTATTGCAGAAGACAGCTTTTATGCTTTAATAAAGTTAAACCCTTCCCAAGATTATTAACCTTGTCTTATGAGTAGATACTAATGTATAGTGCCAGAAATGATAATCAAGATGTACACACATTAGTAGAAATATAGACGGGAAAACTTGGATTTGTAACCGTCAATTCTGTGCCAACTAGGCATACAGCTTTTGCATTCTTTAGTGTTCTTTAACCTCACAAGAACTTCCAATACTCCACATCAAGGACAGAAGTGCATGCAGATAAACGTACAGAATCTCTGAACAAAGCAAGTACATTCAATGTAACTTAACAGAAGTAGCTTGTCCATGGGCCAATAATAAGTTTAAAAAATAAACAAGAATACAAATAACAGAAGGGTTCTTGTCAATCAGCACTTAATGAATTAAAGCTAGAAGCATCATATATATGCATACATAAAAAGTACACTTTTGATTTATTACACAAAGCTTAAATGAAGTATAAACCAAACAGCATGAAGGAAAAACAATGGAATTCGGAGCATGTGGAGCATAGAATAATGAAATTGTGCAGGAAGACAACAGATATTGTACATGCAGAAACACTAAATTCAATCATGATTAAGAGAAGATAAGGCTAAACAATGTCTGTATAGATGGAGATTTCAGAACAAAGACCAAGTAGTCAAGCAGCATAATAAAATTTCTCAAATGAGTTTCTCCAATATTGTTACATGGTTATCTAAATATTATATAGCGACCAGTGAGAAGTTCATATATAGAGATCTTCCAACTTCTTGTAATGTAGCCATTAGATAATGCTTTACAAAACTCATAATCAGTAATACTACAATTCTTTGATGTACTTTTTGATATAATGTGAAAATCTTATCACTTGGATAACCAGTAAATATGTGTCAGATTGTACAAAAAGGTGTTACTCTGAAAAAAAGAAGAAGGGACCTTTAGTGAAAAAAGACTAACCGTGCAAATGGTCTTCTAATGATCCCAAAGGCATAAACTCATAAACAAGGAGCCTTTGATCCCCATCCGCACAATAACCAATCAAGTTCACAAGGTTTGGATGGTGTAGCAAGCTAAGCATTAAAACCTCAACCAAAAACTCTCTATTTCCCTGAAGACCATTGCGATCAAGCTGTTTTACTGCAACTACCTGCAAAAGCAACCACTTTAAGCAATGTAACCAAGAAGATGATTGAATGAAGGTTCACACTAGTAGAATATGTAACCAGTCCAACCCAATCACCTCAAAATTTTCTGATAATATGATCTTTAACATACCTGTCCCGATTCCAACCGTCCTTTATAAACTCGCCCAAACCCACCTTCGCCCAACAAAGACTCTGGCCGAAAATTCTTTGTTGCAGCAGCAAGTTCGCGAAATGTAAATGTCTGTGCAGCAATGTTTGCTGGTGGTCCATCTTTCTGAAAAGATGGCTCCTTCTTGGGGTCATTACCACCCCTGGTCTTGGATTTGTCTGCAAATAGAGGACAAAGAACACAAAATCGGAGAAGTATTAGATACCAAATCCTGGACAATCACAGGTATCGTAGTTACAGTATTTCTTTTCTGCCCGCAAATAAAAAGGTCATTCTTGCCAAGTTTACAGCACAAATGGCATAAATAGAATCACCAAAGCAGGAAAATCAACTACAAATTTCTAAATGCACACTCGATATAATTACGCCATTAGGAGGGGTACATACAACCCATAATCAAGACAAAATATGACAAAGTTCACAACTTTGGTTTATGAATTAACAACACAACAACACACTCAAAATTCCCAATTGAAGAGTCAGATCTTCCTAAACATTTCTGCCGATAAAACATTAGAGGAATTTCAATCACAACAATGGAAGGGCAAATCAATAAAAGACCATCTAACTGAGGCAACCAACTCCATTAATCCAAAGCAGAACACAAAATCAACTCAAAACAAGAAAAGGGGAAAAAAGAATTACAGAAGACAATTACAACATTCGAGAGGCAAACATATGAACCTTAAACCCCAAAATCGTGCCACTGTGAGAATCATACAGAGAAACAGAAATATGAACAGAGTAGACTCAAAATCCAATCTTGACCAGGAACAAATAATAATAAACACACAAAAAAAGGAAAAAAAAAAATTGTATCCTACCTGAACCAAGTCTTTCCACATGGTTTGATACACCAGCCGAACTTTCCTTCAAGGAGTCCTTCTTTAGCACTTCCTTAACACCGTTTCCACCTTTGTTTGATGATCCAAAGCATGGAAAACAACCCATATCAAATCCTCACAAATCAAACAAAGCCCAGCTGAACCCACTTCAAAATAAGTACCTATAATTTGCATATGACCATCAACACATAGATGGAAAACTCAAATATCTTCCTCACCATGAGCAATAAATTTTTATTAGTTTCTACACTTTTCTACAACAACCCATCTCACAAAAATCCCAACTTTATTCCACTAAAAAAGAAAAAAAAATTTCCTCAGCGGGATTTCTCTCAGCCCACATGAGTCACCCTCATCAGTGACTCAAACAAACCTCACCGAACAAAAGATCAAAGCTTGTAGGTTAAGGACAAAGTAGATCAACAAATTAAAGAAACTGATGTTTTGAGAAAAAGGAAGTAAAGAAGGAGGAAATGAGGAAAAGGGAAATTTTGCTCTTGCTTTTTGTTATGTCTAAAATAATTATATAATTAAATAAATATGTAAAACAAATATGGTGTTTGTAGCTGATGTTCAAGAGAGAGTTTGAAAATGTTAGGGAAAAAAAGTTTGAAAAAAAAAAAAACCTTCAAAAAAATTTTTGATCTTTGTTTAGTCCATTGGTTAGTGTGAACACAGAAAAGAGTCAGCAGTCAGCACTAATTAGCTGAATCTGTTCCCCCTGAAAAGAAAATCTTAATAATCATAATTAATTACACATTCAATTTTGGATAAATACTCATAACAATACTATAATCAACTACCAAACAAGGATTTTTAAACTTGTGGTGAATCCAATTTGGGAAGTGGAACCATCTTAGGTACATTTTGTCATAGGAGAAGTTTAACCTCAAATAACCTATGATTGTAGAAGAGGATGTACATATCTTCAATCAACACTATTTTATACCAGTGATATTGTTTTTAGTACAAATTTAAAAACTCAATGTAGACTTTTTTTTTTTTTTTGGACGGAAGGAGCATATTTTATTTAAACTTGTGGATTCAAAATCTATGTAGCCATACACTATCTTGTTGTATTCATTATGATTATATGTAGGGGGAAAAAAGTAAAAATACTATTGAAGTATGAAAGGGAAAAAAGGGTTCCCATTAAAAGAAGGGAAACAAGTCATGAAAGGATAGCACACTGATTTTAGGAAAAAAAGAACTGATACTGCTCAAAAAAGGTTGGTTTAATTGGAGTTTCCTTGAGCAAGGTTGTGAACTTGTGCATAAGAATCGAAACAAATCAAATCTGGTTGTTGCATTTATCTCTTATCATGATTTGCTCTTTTTTCAAATTTAAAAAAAAAAGTTGTTAATATAAATAAATAGGGAATGTCCATTAGTTGGGTTTATTATAAAAAACACCATTCATCGAACATTACCTATGAAAATTCATTTGCACATGTTACAAATTGTAAAAGCCTATTAGACAAATCTACAGCTAGATTGCATGCCAATTAACACTATTGTAAGGCAACATAAGTATGATAATGACATTAAGCAAAATACCAAAGAATTTTAAGAATTTATTACTAGTTGTTTCTGTGTCAAATCTTATAAACGATTAGCAGTCAGTATAATTATAATGAACGTAAGATATATATGTTGATAAGGTGTATCAATCTATCGTTTGATTTGTACTACATTCTTGATTTACTTTGTAATCTAGTAAGATAAAATAAAACATAATTTATACAAAAAACACACACACCCACACCCACACCCACACATGGAGTTTTAAAAAATGTAAAGTACAGGCTGTAGGTAATTAGAAAGTTCTAAAGGTGGTGATTAGGTGAAATTTATCAGAGAGACAAAGTATGCGGTGCCGGTGGATAATTAGTTTGGTATTCTACATTTCCACTGTTAAAAATTTTGACTCAGAAAAGAGAAACAAAACAAATGGTAAAAAAAAAGAAGAAGACAAAATGGTAAGTAAATAAAAACGGTAAAAGGCTAAAAAAAAATAAAGAAGAAAAAGTTAGCTGTGCCATCATGATTATGTGTTCTTGGGGGTATTTTTGGGGGATTGTGAGATATGAAATCTGAGCCGTTGAATGAGCAGACAAGATGGATTGGATTAAAAAGTTATGACGTCACGGTTCTTGATCCAACGTTTCTCACGGTGCTGTTGCACTAATTTTGACTTTCCACTCAGCCACAAACAATCCCAAACCCATTACAATTAATTTATTTATAAACAATACAAAAGATCCTTAAAGTAATTCGTACATTTTTTTTGTTGAATTATAAGATAAATTTTTTATATTTTTCCCAAACAATCTTAGTGTTTACATTGAAAAATATTGGCACTACACATTGATGTACTTTTTGGTTTCTTATAAATTCAAAGTACGGCAGATGGATTTTTGGTTTATTTTGTTAAACTGCATTTGTTCCGTGTTCAAATCGAAAGTCTCCAAAAGAACTTAATCATGCATTGCTCCCCCAACATGCTTGGAAGATTTTAACACAACTTTGCTCGTTATTTGGTCGGATTTTCAATGGTAAATACTGCCAGAAGAAAATTTGCTGTAGTTGGAAGAGGTGAAGAGGGCATTCTGGGACTTCAAAGGTATTTTGAGGGGTGCTGATCTTTTACGTAGTAATGTCAAATGGCAAGTTATCTCCAGAAGGAGTATCCAACTTCATGAGGACTGGATCCCGAATCAAATTAATCTTATTTCTGTAATGTTCTCTTCCCCACCAATATAAATTTGAGAGTAGCAGATCTGTTTGATGGCCATGGAAATTGAAAATTACAGCTACTCAGTGTTCTTTTCCCAAAGACAACAATACAAAATATTACAGGTATATATGTGAACCCTCACCTTTGTGATCAGCCTGATCGGTTGGTTTGGACAGAATCGATAAATGGTGTTTACACAGCGAAATGTGGCTATTATAAAGCATGAAATTCTAAATTTGGTCTGTTGACAAACATTTCAAATGACGATAAGCTAATGTGGAAGATTGTGGAAGCTGGTGATTCCTGTTAAGTATAAATTATTGGCATGGAGAGTGTTGGCTAATGCCTTACCTACTCGAACAGAACTCAGACCGCGAGGGGTTGACGTTCCTACATTTTTTTCTTAATTGTGTATATTCAGTTCAATTATGACAGATATTAACACTTGGGTTTGACTTCAGTTAGGGTTCTCCTCAAAATTTCAAAACTTGGTTTTAAAGTTGCCTTTGCAAAGCTCCATCAGATGCTGAAGTTAGATTGTTTGTTCATGTTATTTGACACATATGGATTGCACGAAATCATGCTGTATGGCAGGCCAAAATTAGAGACACATATGCTACTTGGATACTAGATGGGGAGGATTTTATTCTACACTCAAAGTTGTTTAGTAGTTCAATCTAGCGGTCTTTTTCACTGGAGGAGAGTTCACATTCCAGAGGCACGATACAACAACATGGAGCAGTCATTTTCGATGATGGTTCTTTTAAGAATACTACGGGCAAAGCCGGTGTGGCATAGAAGGTATATTCAACTGAGGGAGCTATCCTACAAATTAAGACACAAACTGTATCGGCTTTATCAACAGTACAAGCAGAGGTTCTTGCTTGTAAATTAGCAATGGAAGAGGCATGGCATTGGGGATCGACAGCAATTACAGTCTATACCGATTGTAGCTCTTTAGAGAATCAACGACTACACGAGTTTGATTTTCCTGTTGAATCACAAGCTCTAGTTGCTGAATTAATTTCACTTAAACAATGATTTGTCAATGTACTATTATCAAAGTAGCTAGAAGTGAAGTAGAGGAAGTCCATACACTTGCCTACTATGTAACAGTCTTGTAAAAATTTTCGTTGCTAATGAAATTATCCTTTTTATCAAAAAAAAAAAAAATAAAATTCGAAAGTCTCTGCACTCAATCGTTTGACCCGAAATAAAATTGTTGATTGGATTTAAGGTGCGAACATGTAAGTATTTGTATTGGAGGTATGAATATTAAATTTTAAAAAAATGAGATCATATTTAATAGTTGCGTGCATTTTTGTATGTTAAATTTTGCTAATAGAAAAAGATGTCCAAAATAACTGTTTGCTTGTATACCACTACTTAGTTATCCTATGATCGACTGTACTTGCTGAATTACTCTTCAAGATTTGATCTACTATGTTTTTCTTTCAAACTTTGGTAACTTTTAACCTAAAATGCAATAGTTTCATTCAACATACAAATTAGTGATAATAAAAACACTCCTCATATTTTTAATAGGACATAGATACAAGTTATGCCAATAACAAGTGAAAAATCACTACGATCTCTTAATTTAAAGAATATTAAACAAATAATAAAAATTACAATATACAACTATATATTCTGCCTGTCTCAAAATTATGGTTTATTTCAGTATACACAATTATTTTTCAACAGATGAAAGATTAGTTTTATAAGTAAAAAGTCTTACTTAAGCTGATGCACGCTTTGGTCTGCCAACTAATTTTGGAGAAAAGAATGTTCAAGATAATGTTTGTCTTAAAATGTGTATTTAGTACAATGTTGTACAAAATTTGATCTCATTCTACACAAGGTACACAGATATATTCGTTGTAAGTTATAATTTTTTTCACCCTTTATTTGAGTACACACAATAATGCAAAGGAGGCAAATTATGTGGAACTCCACAAATTAGATCCGACATTCATCCACCACCAAAGGCTTTGCGTTAGTGTTTTTTTGCCAGAGGAGATTGATCAACAGCACTATACTAGTACTAGTCATGCATGATTGATTATTTAAGGTCAATATGTGGGAAGTTATGAAAGATCCCTTTCTTATTTGAATTTAGTTTTTTTGCAGCCATTGTTAATTATACTGATCGAGCATCATAATTGGTATTATCTTATGTGGTATCTGTGTACAAGTTGAGTTCGACTGAATTATACTGATTTTGTTCCAAAAAAATAATCTATGTTGAATTTTAAGATGTTAATTTCAGAAGATAAGATTGATTAACGAATGCTATCAATTACATAAATATGATATCAATAGACAATCCTATGCATCTCTAGTGTATCAAAAAAAAAAAAAAAAACTAATGATCTTGAAATAGGTGGGGTGAATGTCCGAATAATGATTATTCGCGGGGGTTTATTTTAATTAACTTATTTTTAAGTCAATTAATCAGTTAAGAAACCATGTTTATTAAATTTCCAAGTGAAAAACCTTTTATATTGCATATATAAAAACATCACAAAGTTTCAGGGTTATGACTTGCGACGTTCATTTGCTTGGCCTTATGTGGGCTCAATTTATAACTAATCAATTACCTCATATATTAAGCATCAACTTATGGTTAAAATTTATGTCGTTGCATGCAATAAAATGAGATTTTGAACACACATTATGTTACATTAAATATATGCACTTCAATTTGTGACAATAGCTTGTTTCTTTCTTTTTTTTTTCTTCTCATTTTAATTACAAGAACAATGAGGTTATTTTAATAGTAATGCCACAGCTCATTGAGAAATTAATGCAACTATTAGTTGTGGTTTAAAACGAGATTTTTAGTCTCATCAAATACCTTGATAAAACAATCTAACTTAACAAATAGAATGCACTTTGTTTTTCATGTAGAAGATTGCACCAGGTAAGAATCATTGTCCTTTCTTTCAATCAAAATCATGAAGTTCATAAAATATTAAAAATATTACTCACTTCGCGGTGTAGGAAAGAGCATTTCCTGGTATAGTTATAAAAATATCTACTGAGATTTTGTTAATAAAATAATGCATCACTTGCTCATTTTTGTTTAATTCTTACTTGCTAGGTGTTATACAACAAAATTCTTGAAGATGTAAAATCAATCACCACAATATAACAAAGGGAATAAAGTTCAAATCAAAGCAAGTGGAATTACATAAACCCGTTTTATCATATGCACAACACACACTGGAGAATAGATCCAATATTCCTTGAAATGACATTAAAGCAGTGTTAAATGTTCCATTTAGAGACATCATTTTTTGTTGTTCAATCACCGACTTAATTAGAAGCATAGTGCTTTTTGTTAATTTGTGCCTCCACAAACCATTGAGGAGGCATTCGAGAATAATTACCATTTAAACAAATGCATTGCAACATTGTTTGAATTTTTGGAATCCAGAATCTTGCTAATTTTAATCATCCAATTTTAATCCAGAATCGTCCCTTTTTTTGTCCACATATATATTGCCTCATGATCATTATTCTAGCAATTTAGCAAATGTGGACCCTTAAACACCCACGCTCATTACCAACCAAAATTTTAATATTGGGTTACCTCCAATCCTTATTAGAAATGACAAATATTTTTCTCAGATCCGGTACAATGCAAATGTTAAGAGTAGTACATCATTCGTTATGTCTTGCATGTATATCAAATTCGTAAAAATAGAGACATAATGAAGTTTAAGAAAAAAAAGATGGACAATGGATAGATAGATCGCAAAATTAGCTTTTCATTAATAAGGATTATGAAAACTCGTAGAATACAAAAAAGAAAGATATGTATCCTCCAAATTTCCTATTTGTTGCCGCATTAATTTGACTATATTTGGAAAATGACCAATTCGAGAATAAAAAGTGAAGCGATGAATTGGTTTTAGTCGAGAGTTCGAACCTCATCAGCAAACTAAACTAATGCAAAGCCAAAAAGAGGGACAAAATTTATATGATTAGAGCCACAAAGCACCAGCATCTTTGAGCATCTGTTTGAGGGATCCATTAAGATGGAGTGTCATGATGGTGTTAGCAGAACCAATGAATTTACCCCCAATGTAAACTGCTGGCACAGAAGGGTTGCAACCTAGCCTCACCAAAGCCCATTCCATTTCTTTACCTCTTGAGTCCTGATCCAGCTCATGGATCATAGGGCTCACTCCTTGCTCATAAAACAGTCTCTTGATTGCATGGCACATGCAACATGAAGTCTTGCTGAATATCACAACTGCCCTTTGTGAAGCCAATTTTGCCACCCTATCCATGTAGTTTTATTTTATATATACGTGACAAACTCGTGACAAGAAATAGACTATGCGCTTGTTTAACTAGCTAGGCACAACAGTAAAAATTAATGTGCAATTAAACGGGTAAAATGCGGTTGCAAAATGAAGGTTTTGATATGGTTATTGTGGCTGAATGATGATGGAGATTGTTGGTTTGGTGTGTTTTTTTGATTTGTGGAGATGGGATGGGAGGGAAGAGTTGTATTTATATTGGGGAAAATGAAGGGGTGATGGGATTGCTTTATTTGAATTGTTTAGTGAGAAAAGAAAAGGGGAGCTAGGTTTTTGTGAAAAAGATGAAGGTGTTATTCTTTGAGATATTTGGATAGATGCTCTATGCCTAAATGTACAAAAAAAAAAAAAAAAAAACTTGGCTAGAGAATTGACTTATGTGGATCAATACATGTCAAGCAATGCACCCTTTGTGCATGGAATCTTTTAATTAGGCTATAAAGATAAAACCAAAACACTACCAAAAGCAAGATTCAGACAACATTAGTCATCCCTTATGCACAATATGGGGCGCCATTTGGTTTTGGTTCCCATTTATGTTAGTGTCCAACTTTGATTGCCTAAAAGAAAGGAGAGAAAAAGAAAACCAATGATCAAGAAATATTGGTTCCTTACATAAATCGTAGTGAATCAATCTAAACACACAAAAAACGTAATCAAAACATTATCTATACAAGTCTTATGAAGATCTATGTTCTTTATAAGTATATCTCGAAAAATTACATTGATTGACTGAATTATGTTTTTAGATCGTATACTATTTGTTTAGCTGTGATTTTACGCGTCGAATTTAGATGACATACAATATGACTTACGGGTGAATTAATTGAGAGTTTCAAAAGTATATATATATTGGTGAATGGAATGATCGATCATATGAGGAATGTCAACTTTGATCATATATGAGGAGATGGTGATGAAGATGACTATGACCAAACAAGAAGAATCTCAACTTTAAAAAAAATGGTAGAGCCTACGGTTGCGTCACACTGTTGATCTCCATCGTCATCATCATATGCCTGCGGCGAAAATGCTTCAGAAATTTAACTCCACATTAACAAAAGCATCTCTCATCTTTTTTTTCTTCTCTTCTTCTTCTTCTTTCTTTTTCTTTTTTTTTTTGTAAAAAAATTATATTTTCCATGGTGATGGTTCTCATACTTATCCAAACCCCTTTAATTCTTCCTTGGGTGGAGTATAAATCAAGGTTACAAAGTCAATCAATTTCAGGATACAACGAAATTTTTTTAAAAAATCTGGCATGTTTTCTTAACCATAATACACGAAAAATTAATTTTATTTTAGAACGAAAAAATTAAATCAATGACTATTTTAAACGGGTTTAATAAACCATAAAGAAAGGTGTCATCATCACTTTGGATGTACGTAATTAACCAGTTACACCAATCCATCTATTATTAATAATATACATGTGTGGTCTATTCTAAGTTTTATATAAGTCCGACTAGTTTTTGGCACAATAGAATTAGTCCAACTATTTTAATATGCCTTTTGAAAAAGGAAAAGAAAAAAAAAAAGAAAAGAAAACATACTTCCAGGAATTTTGATCATCTAATCGCATCCACTAATGATTAGTCAAACCAAAACGTTGATTTTCTAATCAAAAAAATTAATATTATTCTATGGTCAAGTTAAAAACGCACTAGTCAATGTGTTCATTTCCTCTTATTTTAACAATTCACAAATAATTAGACCACTTATAATATAAGACAGAAAAAGTATAATCTGTGATTTTCCGTTTCATGGGTTCTAATTCAACCCCACGGCGGTGATTGACATTGATAGCAAAGTATAATAAGTTTATGAAACCAATTAAAAAAAAAAATCACATATGAAAATTGATTGATTCTGAAGTGATTTTCCCATACTATCACAAGCATAGGATTCTACCTATGAAAAAAATTCGAAAATATTATATTGCGTGCGTGGGCGGTGCCCTTCATGCACTTGAAAACCGATAACCTAATATAAATATTCTTAGTTAGCAACAATGGGAGAAGTAATTATTTTGTTAATGATCTTCTAATTTCTTTCCATTTGCATGAAAATGATATCATAAATATCTCCATTTATACAGTCACGGAGATCAATATTAGCTTTCTAACTTTGACCCGAGCACGGTACAACCTATAATTTATTAGAAACAAGAGAGAAATATTTTATGATCACACTCATTTTATCGTCATGTACTCCTTCGGTCCTATAAAAATAGTCCATTTTGAGTTTTAAGTTTTGTACTGTTTTTAATACAAATTTGAAATCTCAATGTGAACTATTTTTTTGGGACGGAGGTACTATTACTAGAACCTGAAATCTAACAATATAGTAGGGTTGAATTTTGTACAATTTTTTCGACGCATACGGGAAAAAAAAGAGATTCTTAAAAATGAAAGGATTAAAGAATGACGAAAGACGTAATATATTCTATATCATCTTCATCTTCCACTTGTTTTCCATCGGAGAGTGCTGAAAATGGAGTTTGTGAATTGTATGTTTTTAACAGTGACCGGTTGTGATGCCCGTCACAAAAGAAAAATATGCAAAGGAATCTAAATGGTGACATCCTCCATTCATGTCTCCTATAATTGTTTATCCATATCAATATATATATATATATATATATATTTATATAATGTATAGAGAGAATGAGATAATTTTGTTAAACTATGAGCATACATAAACTTTATTGCTAGTGAAATTATATTGTAGCGTTAATTAGCTAGAAAGATCAACGTTATTTGAAAGGTTTTTTTTTTTTTTTCATATACTTGTGTATTCGATCTCTAATTAAATTTTTTTTTTTTTTTGTATTGTTGTTGGAGTCCATCAAAATAATGCATGATGGGATAGTGCTGACAAGAATATTATCCAAAGCAATATAGGGGTTTTTGGTTGTTATGGTGTAGAATATATCCAATTTCACCAAAACGCATGACATCAAATTTCATCAGTGTATCACAACAAAGCACATATACAACAAATTAACAACAACAATGGAGTACTGTCACCTTCTTGTTGTAAATTGGAATCCTCTTTGCATTTTTTTATTCTTTTTTTTTTCTGGTTCTAGCATATATATATGACGCCAATTTCAGTTTTCCTTTTCTTCATATTTGTTTTTTCCCACATGCATGATAGAGATATATAAGGAATGTCATTCTTTGTGCTTGTCATTTGTCAAGACAATCTCTAAGCTTTACCCACTTCAATCCTTTTCCCTACGTGCCCTCATCTCCTTGAAATTTGATGTGTGTGTGTGTGTGTGTGTGTGTGTGTGTGTCGGGGAGACGAAGGAAAGAAATTAAGGTAAAATCCATAATGAACTAGGAAAATTAAACTACCCCTCGACTTCATGCAAATGTCTTCACAAAAGTAAGAATTTTTTCCTTCAGTGATAGAAATACTACCTTAATTCTAATCCCACTAGAATTAGGTCAAACGTATTAAACTCATACTTTGCCCCTTATGCACGTAACACATTGGATTTGCACCTTATCTCCATAGTCTTCCTAATTCTTGAAAAGATCAAGAGCCAGATGAAATTTTTGGTCAAAATTCTAGATTAAAAAAAGGTAATTCCATTCGTTTTTCATATTAACAGTTACAATCAGTTACTTTACTGTTACACATTTGAAGTTTATAATGCATACACATGCACAATATGCACTTGCTTTTGTTAACCATTTGAACAAAACTACTACATGTATTCAAGTAAATATCTCAGAATTTGAGCTTAGGAGGATTTGCATACCCTAATAAAAATTAAGTATACAAAATTTAAGAGAACTATAAGGCATATATCATATGTATCAAAGCCACAGTGCTCCAGCATCTTTGAGGAGCTTCTTTAGGGTACCATTTATCTGAAGGGTCATGACAGTGCTAGCTGACCCTATAAATCTTCCTCCGATGAAAACCGCCGGCACGCTAGGGTTACACCCAAGTCTGATCAGAGACCATTCCATTTCTTTGCCATTCGGGACTTGATCAAGTTCACAAATCATAGGGCTCACTCCTTGCTCGTAAAACAGCCTCTTTATTGCATGGCACATTGAACATGAACTCTTACTGAAGATCACCACCGCCTTTTGTGACGCCAATTTCGCTACGCACTCCATATTGATTAATTTTTCGGTGGGGTGAAAATTTTTTTAAGTTAGCTAGGGATTGAAGTGATTTTTCTTAAAAGGGGTTTATGTGTGTGGATGATCTCTCTTTGATGGAGAAACTTGGTGAGAATATGGTTATCTTTGAGATCTCTTGCCTTGGTATTTATACTAGGCATGGCGAAGAAGAATCAAGATGATCATCAATGTGTGCTCAAATGGGAGATTAGTGGAGAAAAAGAGCATTTTAATTTCTTATTGAGCATTTGTAAAAGCGCTATAGTAGCGGCCTGTGAATATTTATTTGCTATGCCCAAACCTAGCCATAATCCCTACTTTTTTTTTTTTGTTTCATTTTTCCATTTTTGAAAAAAACGTAGTTGACATATTATAATTTTTCTTGCCGAAGTCAAATACTATTTCTGTTTTAAAAAATTAGTTCATGTTTTGAATTTACAATATTTTGTTCGATTAGTGAACTTTTATTTTGAATAGATGGAGTAACATCTTCCCCCCCTCCAAAAAAAAAGAAAATTTTTGTGAAATTAATGTATACAATAAATGTGATTTTTTTTTTTTGAGACAGAAAGAATAACCTACACAGCTTACATGTGTGATGACTCATTATGATAACTAGGTAGATAGATTGATTGATTAAAGTATAATCTCTCTAGTCATGTCAAACGTCGTGTTGGAGATTTCCCTACAAATATCATATCTTCTTTTAATCACAATGCTAGTAACTGTATTATATGCAGGGATATGGTTAAATGTTTCCGTATAGCATGATTACAATAAAGAGATTCGTTAAACATATGCAGTTGGAATTTCTATCTAGACGGATCAAAATAGTAAGTGCTATTCATTCATATAATAATATTCTTCAAACATATGGGAGTTGAAGATAGGCACATATGATCCCAGTTGCATATATATGTTTGTAGAGGATGACACTGTTCATTTGGAATGTCAAACTCCAGATGCTTAATTATATTCATCATCATCACGTGGAGCTTTGAGTTTGAAGATCAGAATTCGATCGGATTTTCTGTAGAAGATGCTTAATAGCACAAGGGTCAAACTTTAAACGACCTTAATTTAGACATTAAAAGAACAATTGTTACAAGGTAAACTTTGTAGTAAAACAAATTTTGACACATATTATTTGGCTGACTTTAGCATCGCGTAAACGGGCTAAGTTATTTGGACGATTAGTTTGCTTACCAAAATGAAAAATCCGTTACGCTCCAAGAACATTAGGGTTTTTTTTTATTTTTTTATTTTATCTTATTTTTCTGTTCCAAGAGAGGAGTCCTTTACCATACGTATAACTATTAATCATAATATCGATTTAATTTGCTAATATTTCTTTGTAGACATATACTCCCGCTATCCCAAAATCATTGTTCAGTTTGAATTTTCAATTTTAATTCAATATTAAAAATAAAATTCCAAGATGAACAATAATTGTGGGACGAAGAGAGTAGTTAGAACAACAAAGCAATGAAGATCATATCTTCTACTCACCAAAAGGTCTGTCAAAGCCATTTTGCACCTTTCTTCTATCTTCATATAGAAAACGTACGTGAGCATGCCCCAATGATCATGAACTTCTTTTTTCTTTTCCTTTTTTTCTTATTTATATACTTCATATGTCCCAGAGAAATAATTTATATTGAATTTTGAGATTTATACTGTTTATATAGACTATTTTTTTAGAACAAAAATAATATAAAAGATTGGTAAAATTTTACGCTGGTCTTGTACATTTTGGTAATATCTTGCATTATTTCATCACAGGGTAATCAAACTCGGCAAATGCACAATGCTTGCATGTTCATGCACACGATATACGTACATACAAATAAATTGTTCGAAGTGGAATAATTTTTATCTAGATAGATACCTCATCTATCTCAAAATAATTGTTGTATTTATTGTATTATTTTAACACAATTAATTGAAAAATCGTTTAGACAGAGCCACAAATTTTTTAGGTTGTAATAAGGAGATAAAATGAAACATTGGGGACACAGGACGCCCGACGCCCTAACTTACTAGGGTAAGATTTCTTAGAAATGCCCTTTGGATACTAGCAAAAGTCACAGTTAGTACACGTCAAATAATTAAAATGGAGTTTTTTTTTTTCGAAAAATACTAATTAATAAAAAAGAACTTCATGAGCCGAAAGCAAAAGTGGAGAACATGTATATATATATATATATATATATATATATGGTGGATTCGATCATATTCTCTGTGAATGGATTGAATGAAAATGGATCAATCTCTCTTTTTTTTAAATTTTTTTTTTTTTACAACATTAAATTATTCCTAGTCTCAGCACCTCCAAAATGCTCAAAGAGGGAGAGAGATGACGTGCTCATATTCTGGAGAATTCCAAGAACAAACACATCTTATCACAAAACTAAATCAAAGAGAGATTTTTGCATATTTTTTGAAGCTAACCAAATCTTAATATATTATCTTTAGAGTACTATATCAAAATTGGCGACGTGACATACTAAAGTCAATTACGTAAACACTGTTAAGGAAAACTTGACACCTTAGTTTAATTAACTAATACGTAATATGCACTAGCAATTGGTCTAGATGATTGATACTTTGGGTCTATGAATCTCATTATATGTATGTAACAATAATTTAAAATATTAATTGGGAGAATTTGCATTCTGATAGGTATTTGCTTGATTAGTTGGAAAATAGTTTCGGAAACTGGTGCTCATAAAAATTTACTTTGAAACACTAATATGTATAAAATAGGTGTAAATTTAAGATCAAAGTTAAATTAGTTGTTAATTAAGTGAAGAAGACAAGTGATCCACCAATGGCCACATGATTAATTACTTAGTTAGGTTGACATTTGTTCACTTATCTTCAACCTGGGATCAAACACTCCCGTCATCCAAATCTACATCTTCCAATAGTATTGATTGTTTCTGAATACGTTGAGTAAATCATTTTGAATTCTCTTAATATTAATCATTTAATCTCGAAATTATTGTTTGGCATTGATTTTTATTTTTAATACAAATTATATTAAAAGTAAAAATCTAAACCTAAATAATTTTAAGACAGAGTGTATATAGTTTCACTCAACTAAGATGCCCTATTTTAAAAAAATGTTTCAAATCAGTTCATCAATTTCAAATTTCATTATCTTCAATATGCTGACTCAACTTGATTATGTAAAAACTTGATTGGGCTCAATCTTGAACTTGGAACTAAGTTTAAACAGAGGATCATCAAGTCCCAAATTTAGACATGATTTTGTCTCATAAACTATAACCTAACTATCTAATTAATATGTTAGTGATGATCGAATTGATACCAGCTCAAACAGATTAAATTGAAGACAAACTGCTACTTGTGCTTAATTTTGTGATGGAATTAATGATAATTATAAGCTTATAACTAGATAACAATATGATCCCGTGTCCTGACAAAGAGAATCAATCAAATTCACAAGATCTCAAACTCAAGATATGTGTAGTACGTACGAGAAGATATGAAAATGAAGATATATACATTATGCATGCAAAATGCATGCAAGAGTTTTTAGCATTTGGGACAAATTAAGGGTCGTTTTATGAACAGTTTCTTGGCATTTGCAAATCTGAAATCCCAACAGCAGCCTTTGGCACAAAATGAAAAAAAAAGAAAAAGGAATAATATTTTCTTTGGTGTTTTTATGTCAGGATAAATGGACAGATCGAGAGATCTTCTGAACCACAAAAGCTATAGTGTGTGCCTTTGCAGAAGAATGAAATATGTTCCTCACAACTTTTTCTCATATCAAAGGGATTCATTTTTAGGGTTTAATTTTTTGCATTTTGTACAAAAGAAAGAAAGAAAGATGGAGAAGCCAACTTGTTGTTTACGTACAAATTGCATAACTGAGGATTCATTCATGTACCATTTGTACGTACCACCACCAACTCAAATAAGTGAGATGATCACGTAATATGGGATGCCAAGAACCGCCCTCGTTTTTTTTTTTTTTTTTAATTTCTTTTTTCTGCTTCCTTTTTATCTTCGAAGCTTTAAGTCGAGTTGAATCTGCTTTTTCTTTTCCGTATAAGCATCCATACCATGCATGTTGGCTGTTGCCATATCCCCCTTTGCTTTACTTTTATCTTCCTTGTTAGCTCGCAAAGTTAGTTTTTCAATCAATTTTTTAAAGTGACAATCAGGTCGTGCCAGAGTTAAATGATTAAGAATTATAAATTTTTGTAGTTGTATTCCATTTTTGTTTCAAATTCATATCATCTTGTGCCATATCGTTAATTGTCTATATCTTTAGTTATAGCCAAACTGTGTTTTAATAGACTAAATATTCTGCTCTAACATATCAAAATCATTCGAAAAAAGCCAAGGCTAAAAAGAAAGTTCAAGTTCGTTGGCCTGTTAGATTGAATAAGGATCTAACTTTACTTTAACATCAAAATTGTATTTGATATAAGGTTTAGTATATCCGCTGCCCTATTTTTTCTTTATTTTTAATAAAATTTGTTTTTTGTTAAAAAAGAAAACTAAACATTCTCTGTATTCCACATAATTTTTATGTCTGTTGTGCTAAAATAGTATACTTATAACAACTTGATAAAAAGAGTAATAAAACATTTAATTGGTACATAGATATGCATTGGCGTAATTGAACAGTATTAAGTGGGATAGAAAATCCAGTTATGGGCACCGGATTGCTTTAACCTTTTTCTATAAGGAGATCGCAAGCATGAACCGAGATTCCGATCGGCCGGCATGTACGTAAAGCCTAAGAAAAAAAAGTGAATGAGCTTTTTGAGCTGTTTCTTTTTTAAACATAGAAAAAGGTACACTATTTTATATGTAGGTTGCTTCATGATCGCAACCTGAAAATCCATGAAATTCCACTGATGGTTAGGGTTTTTCTATAAAAAATATTCCACAAATCAAGATTTTTCTTTATCTTTCCCCATTAATAACATATAAACAGATCATAGTTCATATATATCTCCATCATAGAAATTTTTTCATCACGTGTGACAAACGAGTTTTAGAAGATAATAAGAACCATTCTTATTTTTTTTTGTTTTTTTTTTTGTTTTTAATTTCATTACTTTGCTTTCTTGCATAGAAATGAAGTTCGAATCCTAACCCTTCGAAAGGTCTAGTTAGATCTCAATAAGACTAACTAGCTAAACAGCTATCAAACTATAACTGTGTGGTTCAGTGAATCTGAAGATAGATCAGCAAAGAATTTCTTATGAATACCATTACAATGTGTCATCATTGTCATAACAGAACTCTATCCCTATTCCCTCACAATTTCTTTTGGTGAATAAGATGCATGCGAATCTTTTCTTGTGGAAAAAATTAAAATTTAAAGGTCCCAATTGGATAAATCCAACTCCTTTCTCCAACGTCAGAAGATGCTTCCTGGAAAGAGCTGGTAGATGAAAAAAAAGAGACCTAATTGAAAATGGACCACTCTTAATTGGTTTTTCATCAATTAGCACCAAAATCACGAATTATTACAACAAAACTTAGAGTCCTTACTATCATATTCGATTATTATCATTTCTGTTTCAAAATGATTGTATTCTTTATTTAGAACTTACGAAAAGCCATGTATTAGGCAATGAGATAGACACAAAAATTCAATTCGCAATGAATTTGCAAAAGAGTTTTTTTTTTTTTTTCCCATAAGTCATAACCAAAAGTTTTCTGGATTAGTGTTGTTCTTGATCAAGGATGCAAAATTTTTATCATTAACTTATGTAAAAGGTGTACACAAATGAGACCGTACCATAGACACGTCTTCCAAAATTCCGTATGCAGAGAATCGTTATCGATCGCATAAAACTAACTTTTTCATTTCATTTATTTATTTTATTTTGTAGCTAGTGTGCCACTTATCAATTATCAATCACTATCAAACGCCAATGATCGATGGTGAAGGGGAAAAAATTGGAACCAATCACAAATATCTCATCTAATCGATCAAGAATGACCAATTTTATACTTATGACCTTTTTTTTTTCTTTTCACATTTCTTCACTATTTCAACACCATAGGTTTCTTCCTTGCACCCCTATATAAGTCCCTTGGTAGACCCTCAATTTTCCTCACACCAACATCCAATCTTCTCCAAGTACAATTCCATATACTAGCTAGCTATCAATCATCTTTTTCACTCACAAACACACACTAGAGTGTGCCCTAAACATACTATTTCATTTGATCATCTTTTGTTCTTAATCAACCTATAGAAGAAATGGAAAGAGTTAGCAACATGGTGTCCGAGAGGCCATTGGTGATCTTCAGCAGGAGCAATTGCGGCATATGCCACAGTGTCAAGTCGCTCATTGGTGGATTCGGGGTGCACCCCACAGTTTATGAGCTCGATGAGATATCCAGAGGTCAGGAGATCGAACAGACACTGGCCAGACGGCTAGGTAACAACCCGGCCGTTCCGGCGATTTTCATCAACGGCGAGTTGGTTGGCGGAGCCAATGAGATCATGAGTCTTCACCTCAGAGGGATGTTACGGCCAATGCTGATTAGGGCTGGAGCTCTATGGGTTTGAGTTGAGCTATATTATAAATAAAAGAGAAGTTTTACTAACATAATAAACCAACATGGTATTTTGATCAAGTTAATATTAAATAACCGACATAATTATTAAAATAATGCAGTTTTTGTTGCAAAATATATGATAGTAACTTATGTATTAATATACAGGTCGGAGTAACTTAGTTTTGCTTGAGAGAGAGATTATCTATATATATAGCTATGTTTTTGCAAGGATTACTTGCAAAAGTTTTCCTGAGAAAATAATCAATATGTATGTGTGTACTTTTTTTTTTGTACTTAGTTAACCTCTTTTTGTAAGGTTAATGTAAGTCATATCAATATTAACACTTTTTGGCGGATTGTGTTACATTTGCTGTTCTGATCTACTTATCCATTCTATGATTTAGATTATAGTGGATCTATAACCCTAGTTTACGTACATAGAATACAGTAAAACAAGAACAGTTAACCTTGGTTTATTATGATTTTGGTGATTAACTTATCTTCTTATTCACTTACTAGGTATATACATTAGGTTCTTTATTTGAATCTTAGTGAAATTTAATAATGAAAAAAATGTATGAAAATGGTCATATGAAATTATAAATCAAAGGACATGATAATCGATCGAATTATAATGTTTTCAAATAAAAATAAATAAATAAAAATAAATTATAATGTTATTATTTCATGACTTTTCATTGTATAATTATTGATAAGAATCAACCCTCTCGTGAATCGTGGTCGATCATTTTTTTTAATTTTTTTTTTTTTTTGGGGGTGTATATGTGTGATTACTTTTGTAAAGATGAGAACATTCTTCTTACGTATGAAGATTAAAGAAGCATGCCTGCTACTAAAGGAAAACAAAAATACAAAAAACAAAGAAAACATTCCTCAATTGTCAAGAATCAAATTCCCACACGAAATTTCGATATCATCAACTTATTCTCCTAATACCATTTCAGAAAACAAAAATTATTCCCTAATTAAAAGCATTGCTCAAATGCAACTCCTCTCCAAATTTTTCTGGATCGAATCTAATGTAATAATTAAATTAACTTGACTATAGCGTCTTTATAATTTGATAAATAATAAGATATTAAAAAAATGATAGTTGGACCTTGATTAATTTATACAATTTGAAGCGTATTAATATAATGAAATGGTGTAACACCAAAATATCACGCGATTTTATTTTATTTTATTTTTAATAAAATAGTTTAGGGGAAAAAAAAAGGCTTAGGGCATTGTGATATCGTCACTATGCTGAGGCTAGCACATTATATAAGAACCTTTGACACGTGGAACAAAAAATAATGTTAGTGGAGGAAATTAGGTTGACGTACTCTACTTAATAACTTATAGTTTTATTAAAGTGATTGATTAAACATAAACAGAATCACAAAATATTCTACTTTTGGGAACTTTGTTAAATGGATTAATATATTTTCATCATTTATTTTTGTTGCATCTTTCCCTCGTGGCTCTGTCTGCAGTCTTCCTTTATTCATTTATTTTTAGGAAGATAAACATCACACAATTACACCAGCTTTTTTCCTTTGGTTTTTCTTTTTTTGGGTATAGGGGAGAAGTTAATTATTACAAATTTGCAATTAGAGAGAATCGAATTTGCTACCTTTATAATTGGTTTTTTTTTCGGGGGTGTGTGTGTTTAAAACTTGTATGCTTATTGTAGGCCAGCTATATATAAAGAGATTCAGTTTGGTTTGTTCATCTTTATTTTGCATTTATATTTACATGACTTTTTTTTAGTTTAACTTTTGAAAGCTATTTACTATGGTCATATTACGTATCAATATTGATTGAATGTACAAACGTGTCATAGGTTCGTTATTTTTCTTTTTTTTCTAAAACCTAAAAGATAATGTATAACTCTTACTATGTGCTAAGCACGTTTCTTCTGGGTGAGAATCAAACTCTTTTTCTCTTTTCAATAATCACTCTTTCTATTCGAATGCAATGAAATGGTGTTCTATTTTTTCTCAATAGTATATTTGAAAACATATCGAAAATAGGTGAATCTATATCCATTCTAATAGTACTAGTGATGTCTGATCGTGCAATGCGCGACCCTGGCCCAATATATCTGTAGATCTTAGAAATGTTTGTATCTGGAAAAAAAAACATATTTTGTATTTAGCCCGATATATTTTAGAAATATTTGAAGAATTTTAAAAATATTTTATCAGTGTGATGTTTGTATTTGGCATAAAAATAAATTGTATTTGGTCCGGTACGTTTTAGAAATGTTTGAAGATTTTAGAAATATTTTATAAGTGTTACTTTTTAAATATAAATAAACTTGATCAAATATATATCTTGAAGTAAATGCTAGAAAAAATATAAAAGCATCCTAATAAGTTTAAATATTAGTAAAATAATTTATTGATGTTCTCCATTGGTTGTGCCAAATCAATAATTAGTTTTGGAGATTTATAATAGCTTTGTAGTTAGCTTCCTCAAAAGGGTATGCCCTTAATTGTTGGAACTATTTCTTCCAAAAGTTTATAGGTAGTAAAATATCAAAAATATGATTTTGATAATAGTTAATTGTTGATCACAAATATGAGAATGAAAATAATATAAATTTGCATATGTTTCAAGATATAGCAAAAAAGAACTCACCTCACCATGAAAATAAAAATAAATAAATAAATAAAAGATAGCCTATTAAAATTTGAGAATTTTTTTTCTGTAGGTAAAAATGATGTATAAAAACACAAATAAACATAGAAATATCATTCCTTCCCTCTCCACCTCAAATTCATAAAAGGCTTCCCCATAAATTAGTTAAAAGAAGCGACCTGAATTATTTATATGATGAGGAACTAAAAAAAGTCCAAAAATCAAATCCAAAAAAGTATATTCTTGAAACCCCAAACACAAAAAAAAACGTGCTTCATTTGCAAATAAAATAATAATAATAGTAATAATAATAATAATAATTGGTCAACTGGGAGTATGAAACAAAATCAAACGCAATTAAACAAAGAAAAAACACACTTCATAACTGGCCATATACGGAAAAAAACCTAAGACTCCATAATTAAAAAAAGAAAACCACTCTAATTGAATGAAACATAAAAAACAAATTTAAAAAACCACACTTTGTAATAAAAACCCAATCAATCAATTCAATCCAAACATAACTAAAATCATACAAAAATTCTAGACTAACTAACTAAATAAGAAATCACATCATACTACCTGACAACGGCTCCGGTAGATGTAACGGATGGATGCATAAAAATAATAGTAATAATACTATTCTTGAACGGGAAAAATAAAAAATAATAAAAGCCAAACTAATTATCTGTGAAAATAAAATCATTTAAATTTTACTACCTGTAATGGCACCATCACAACGGCTGAAGCAAGATCAATGAGATTTTTTTTTCATTTGTGTTTATATAGAGAGGTAAAGAGAATATTTTTTGAAGTTAAAATTCTATCCGATTAGGATGTAGTTGATCATCACTAATGAAAAGATTGAACATGCTAATAGGAAAGGAGTATATTTCACCACATATTCTCAATTGATGATTGATGAGGAATTTATTTTTTTTAATTGTGGAGAAGGGATTGATTAAGGAGTCGATTGTCGTGGCGATGGGGATGAGGATTTGGGTTTTTTATGAACCCGTGGTTTTTTTTTTTGTTTGTTTTGACGAAAATAGGAGGTGGAAATAAATTTGGACTGCATTTCCTTTTAAGTTTAGGAGATGTGGAAATAAAAATTTATTTTAAAAATATGATGTGGAAATGCCACATGGCAAATGATGGTGCTTTCTCTTAAGTGTTGTTTTTGTTTCTAATATAGTAAGATGTACTCTTTCCATTTTGAAATGATTGTTCAGATTGGAATTAAATGACAATGATTTTGAGAAAGAAAATTTATATTACAGGGAAAGGTAAATTATTCGCTAATGGGTTTATAAATAATTATCGTTTTAGCAAAATAGAAAAATTTCAAAATAAGTGTCGTTTTCATATTCTAATGTATTTTTTTGTCAAAAAAATGCAAACATACTCTCAAAAGAAGTAATATTATTGGTGAGCATTTATTTAATAGAGTTGGTTAAGGATATTCTAATAGTTTAGTTTTCCTATTTAAGTATTTTCTTAAACTATGTGCAAACTTTAAAATGACACTTCGAGGAAGTAATAATATAGAAAAAGCCTTTCAATACTGTAAGCGAAGGCCCAAAAAGGGTGAAAATGATTCTACTATTTTTAAAAAAAACCAATCCAGAATCTTATGGTCCAACTCTCTGTTTTAAATTTTTTTTACTGATACACGTGCCCAATATATATTGTCCAAATCCCAATAAGCAAAAAAGGCCCCCAAGTTAGTTGGGTCCAATTTTGAATTATATGCAGAAAATTAGTACTACTACATTTTATATAACTGATGAGGAGGCAATCAATGTACCTTTCTGCCAAACCTCGAGTACCCCAACTGAAAATCCGTCATCGTCATCATTTCCCGGCGCATTTTAGCACCCAACCCGTGACTAAAAACCTTATGCCTACAACAAAAAAAACCTCAAAATTAATGGGTATAACAATAAATTACTCACACAGTCCTAAAATGATTCTATAAAAATAGTATGAAAGAGGTTAATTCTACCTAAATATCATATTGTGATCCTATTCCAAGTGGAAGTATAGGTTTTTAATTACAGTTTTGTTGTCACTTTGACATTAATAGATTAACTGTAGTCTACTTTAATATTTTATTACTGAATATTTGTTTTAATTAAAAATATTCTCAGCGATTGAGCATAATTTATGGTCTTATAGTGGTCTTTATTATTTTTAATTTTATTTTTTTTAAAAAAATAAGTCTTTGGTTTTATTAATTCTAGAAATCATTTATTCATGTACAAATTGAGTTAAAGAAAAACATATTTGTTGTCTCTTCTATAAGAAGTGATAGAATTGAAATGCGTTAGCGTGTTGGTTTCATAACTACATGGTTAAATTTTTTGGAAAATAATATTAAATATGATTCAGATATGAGGTAAAAAAAACCCAACAAAATACTTTACAGTCAAGTAATAGTAGATTGATGAGTGTTTTTTCATTTCCTTTCCGATTAGAAAAAAAAAAACATCTTTGCCATGTAACATATATTTTAAATCATATTTTAACGTGTATATAATTTTGTATTGAGTTCCAAAATTCTAAATTATTATTAAAAAACCACTTAAAAGGTAGGTAAATGAAAGTCAAAAGCAAAGGGTAAAAAGTGCAAATATAAATAACATTCATAGCCCAAAAAGTAAATATTTGATTTTTTTTTTTCTGGTTAACATTTAACAATATTTGAAATTTTTCAAAACACTACCAAAATGCTAATATGCGCATCTTCTTTTTACCTGTTCCCAGTCCCAATCCATGCTGAACAGAGTACACAGTAACTTTTTATAACTCTCTTCCCTCTTTCATCAGTCACTCAAAAACACACACTCACACAGTGACACACTGGTGTCATTATCAAGCTAAACTCCACAACTTCTGTCCAAATCAAACCTCACAAACTCCTATATTGAGGCTAAAGAAAAGAAAAAAGGTACCCAACAAAATTCCAAAAAACCAATCTTGAATGCAGGGATTCATTGCTTGTTACTGTCACTCAATGTTTCTAGTTAAAACTTGAGAAGGGTTGCTCTCTGTCTCAGCTGTAAAGTGGTCTTCATGTGTTCCTCTTCCTCCTCACATTCAATGTCCATTTGACTAAAAATCCTGACTTTATTGCATCCTTCAAGAGGTACACCTTTAATGGTTCCATAAATGTTTAGCCATTTTGTTATTTTGTGCAGAATTTTTGGTGTTTTTGTTGATAATGTGGGTTTATCTTGTCTGAACTTCAAAGGTTTACAAAGTGAGAGAAAATGTTTGGGTTCTCAAGAAGAAGAATGAAGCTCGGAAGGTACAGAAACTAGTCATTATACTTTTCTTTTTTTTTAATTCACCACTATACTAATACGGTCCTGATGATATTACTGTACATGGGAAGATATGGATTTTAACTTATACTTGTTCATTGTTTTTACCTGACAACTTGTGTTCTTCATTTTTATCATGTATTTGGGGGGCGGGTGTCTATGGGGATTTTCCCCTTAATTACTCGAGTGCTTGGATTAGTTCAGAGGGTGGTAGGTTTTCTTTTACTTAGATAAGTAAATGGTTATTTCATACTTGTAAAATTATATAATGAGTTTCTGGGTCAATGATACAGGAAAAGAACCACTTAACTCCCAAAACTTTGCCAACTATTTCGTTGAGGATTGTATGGCTTAGAGAGTCTTCAAGTGTTTAAAATGAAAATAAATACTGAAATTGTTCTGTGTTCAACGATCAGTTGAAATTTTTATTTCTTATTTATTATTTTTTGGTTATCTAGAATTGGAATTTGGATAGTGGCTTCAGTGTCAGGTTTATGTAATCTTACTTGAATGGGGCTGCTCCAGTTTAAACTATGCAGCATCCCAAAATGACATTGATGACAGTGGCAAGTCCAAAGATGCCGTATAGAAAAGTTTTACCCGCTTTAGCAATAGACAAGTGCTCCTGGATTGATATTAGATGTAAGTGGAGTGAAAGAGAGTTTGCGAGCTGAGACACTTTGTTGTATATCTGGTTAGGTGCATAGAGATGGGAAGTAGCTACAGTTTTTGAATTGCCGTATATAATTGTTGAGAAATTTTTATTTCTCAATGTTTAATGTTTGACTTATGAGCTGCAGTTTATGCATTAAGTTTGCACTTAGCCCACTACACCTGTTTCCATCTTTTTATGCTCCTTTGCAGATTGAAAGTTCATCTCTCAGAGTCGGCGCAGGGAACTAGAAGTCCAATTAGACATCCTAAACGAGTCAGCAACAACAATGTGAGGAGGTTTTCCTTTCATTATTTGTTGTGAGAAGTAGCTAAAATTATCCAGTAAGGCTGATCTGGATTTAAATATTAGTTTGGACTAAGTTTTCTGGTATGATAGGTTCAAGGGCTTGATCCTGTAGCCAGTGTTAAGGAGTTAAAGTCTCAAACTTCATCTGAATCTCCGGAGCTGAAAAACTGCACATCAGGAAGCTCAGAGAACTGGATGGTTCTTTCAGTTACCGGAGACAAACCTGCATCTCGATATAATGTAAAGCATTTGCATATTTATCACCATTTATTTCCTGTAAATGTGTGCTTGAATTCAGTGTGTATTCCTGTTGACTGAAACTGGACATGTTCTCTTATGCATAGCATGCTGCAGCCGTAGTTGGGAATAAGATGGTGGTAGTTGGCGGTGAATCTGGAAGCAAATTATTGGACGATGTTCAGGTGATTGATCCTTGAGTGTGTGTTTCGTCATTCATTGTGTCTACTTTTGTCAAGTTTTCAACTTCTTTTTTTCTCAGGTGCTACATTTCGACAGATTTTCCTGGTCTATGGCTTCATCAAAACTCTATCTTTCACCCAACACCCTCCCTCTGAAAATTCCTGCATGCAAGGGTCATTCTCTGGTATGATTTAGTTCTAAATTTAGCTTAAGCCGGTGTCCTCTAGTCCAGGATTCTTTTATTTCTTGCCTTTCTTTCTAAGCTTATCGCTTCTTGTGCTGATCAAGTCCTTCGTTGGTGAAGTATCGTGAATTCACTCACCTTTTAGGATCTGGCATGCTCCTGATCGTTGTTGATTATACATAATTGAGTATTGACCCTTTTCTGCCACTTTTCTACGAGGTAATTCTTGATTCTAACTCCTCAACACTTTGCATCTTGTCTTCCTCAAACCACAGGTTTCATGGGGAAAGAAGATACTTCTAGTTGGAGGTAGAACAGACCCTGCGTGTGATAAAGTTTCAGGTTATTGTTTTCTCTCAGCTGTGATTCTTCCTGGTTTGATCTAGTTTCCACATCTGAGCTATGATGCTGGTTTCTGCAGTTTGGGTGTTTGACACTGAAACAGAGTGCTGGTCACTAGTAGAAGGAAAGGGAGATATTCCGGTATGATACATTCCAAATTAAGGCATCTGCTCATGATTTAAATTGTCATTTTGTTCAAAATGAACTGGACAACTGGAGTATTTTGATGTGACCGTGAAACTTTTGCCATAATACTTCTGGATTTTGCTTTTCCCATTGGACATAAAAAATTTCTCAACTTATACCTGCTTATGTTTGTACGAATTGCAGGTTGCTCGAAGTGGTCACACTGTTGTCAGAGCCAGCTCAGTTTTAATTTTGTTTGGTGGTGAAGACACTAGGAAGAGAAAACTGAATGATTTACACATGTTTGATCTCAAATCTTTTACGTGGCTTCCCCTCAATTGCACGTAAGCAGCCTGTTTGCCTCTTCAACCAGAGCTGCCTATCATCATTGTCCTTTTGCCAACAAATGCAGTTTATATTTGGTTCTCTGTTGAGTGTGTATTTGATTTACAAAGTTTCAAAGGACTCTTTGATTTTGTTTGCTGGTTTGTCTTTGCTAAATATAAATATAAATCTACGAAATCTGCAAGGGCTCGCCAGTTAAGATTTTAAGCTCTTCCTTTTGCAACAGAGGACCCAGACCATCACCAAGATCAAACCATGTGGCTACTCTTTATGATGACAAATTGCTTCTTGTTTTTGGCGGATCGTCAAAGTCTAGGACTTTAAATGATTTGCATTCCCTAGACTTTGAGACGGTTGGTTTTCTTTCTTCCTTTTGCATGTTTTTCTTTATTCCATATCCAGATAGGCAAATATGGTGCTCATTCTTATGTAAGGTTTATAAACTTATCCTCAGATGATATGGTCACGAATCAAGATAAGGGGTTTCCATCCATCACCTAGGGCTGGTTGTTGTGGTGTACTCTGTGGAAGCAAATGGTACATTGCCGGTGGTGGAAGCAAGAAAAAGAGTACGTGAGCAAATTATCTTTGTGCTTGAAATTCATTCCATGAAAACAGTTTTGAGTGCCTCTTCCCTTTGTGTGTGTCAATGTTTCCATTATTTTGTTGTTTTTTTTTTAAATTTGTTTTTAGCCTTTATCTCTACCAGTTTCTTGATTGTTTGATTTGTTTACTCTAGGCTGCAATCTTACATCACTTGAGATTTTCATTTTTACAGGGCGCTCTGAAACTTTAGTACTCGATGTCTTAAAATTGGAATGGTCTCTGGCTGTTACATCCCCCGCATCTTCCATCACTACAAATAAGGTCCACATCTCCATCTTTCATTACTGAACGTCGTATTTAATTTCGAATTTCCTTTAGTCCTGCCTTTTGCTTTTGGCACCAAGACTCCATTTTGAGACTAATTTATGAGATGTTTGCATTTCTAAAGAACCAAAATGTCGCGAAAGGTGTTTCAATTGGAGATAGCATCAAAGCACCTTAAAATATTATATCTGATATCTGAATGTTTTGTACATTGATTAGGTTCGAGAAAACTTTTATCTAATCTTGATTGCTTGTCGGATGCAGGGATTTAGTCTGGTACTTGTGCAGCACAAGGAAAGGGATTTTCTTGTTGCATTTGGAGGTTACAAGAAGGAACCATCTGATCAGGTGGAGGAAGCCTAACTATCTTTATCTCTAATCATTCACAATTAATGAAGAAATGGTGATAATTCTGTATCGGGATACTAAATTAACAGGTAGAAGTGCTGATCTTGGAAAAGAATGATTCATCAATGGGTCGCAGATCAACTTTAAGTAAGGTTGCAGGTTCCTTGCTATCAGAAAACCTCTTGGCATCCACTGTCTTGCCTGCCCAACCAAGTCATACTGCTACTAATGGAACCATGGATACTGTAGCACGGCAAAATATTGCATCTGCACTTGAACATGGCTCTGGGAGAAGATCATTGTCGGAGTCCTTACTCAATGATCCAGGTTGTAGTTCTGGCAATGTTTCACTCCGAAAGCAATTTCATGATGAGGAAGGAGGTGTTGAAAAAGTGCCCAAGATCTCAGAAGACGCATGCTGTCAAAAGGTTAATTATTAGAAGCAGCTTATCTTTGTTTAACTTTACTCATCAATATGGCTCTCATAGTTCCTGACCATGATCTGTATGTACCAATTTATCACTTTGATTACTGCTTATCAAAATTGCTGCATTTGTTAAATTCGTTGATGGTCCTCAAGGTAGAATCTAAATCGCTGGTTCAGATTAAAAAAGAGACATACAGCCTTGATATGTTGGATTTTTTTCTCAAAGAAAAAGCTACTTTTGGTTTCAGGTTATGGATCAAAAGCATAAACACCATGATGCTTTGACTGACATTAATGTGAACGGAGATAATTCTGCAACTAGAGAACTTTTATCCACATCGGATTCTGGAAATGTAAATAACCACAAGAGACATGGAAGTGGAAGCTTTTCGCTAGATAGTGATGATCTTATTGTCCAAGGAAGTGATGGGAAGGCAGGAGCATCAATGCCTTCCAATGTCTATCAGTTTTATGAGACAAAGCTGGCTTCCCTTATTCGAAAGAATGGAATTCTGGAATCCCAGTTGGCTGCTGCATTGTCCAGCCATGAATCAACTGAGAAAAACTTGTCTGCCGCTTTGAAAAGTAAGCAGGAAATGGAAAAGAAATTGGCAGATGCCACAAAGGAGATGGAGTTGCTTAAAGAGAAATTATCTGGTATGGAGTTGGCTCAAGAGGAGGCCAATAGTATATCCAATATGGTCCATTCTGACATGGTGAGGCTTGAGCATGATGTGGCTTTCCTGAAGGCTGTTCTGGATGACACTCAAAAGGTAACATATAAAGTATCATGTTTTCCAGTGCTCCTTTAACTCTCGTTTAAAATGTTGTGTATTACTTCGATGGATTGTATTTATGTTCTGTAGGAACTGCATTCTACCAGAGCAGTCCTTGCTGGAGAAAGGGGAAGGGCTTTTCAATTACAGGTATACCCAAGAGATCCAACGCCATAGAAATAGAAGCATCTTGGTTCCACATTTTTTAACTTTGAGTTCCAACAATTTCTAGGCTGCCTTTAGGAAGGCGTGTCATGTTTAACAATCTCCCTTTGAAAATCACTAGCTTGTTTAACTTGGTCCACTAATTTTGCCATGAAATGAATTGATATACAGGTTGAAGTTTTCCACTTAAAGCAGAGATTGCAGTCTCTGGAGAGTCGAGCGCCAACGCCAAGAAAACCCTTTCATGTGCAGTAAACAGGCCTGTATGTACATTATTTCGGCGTATCATTATGTACAGAGTTACTGTCTATTCATAAATGATAGTTATCAACATTATCTCATCTTCGGTCCATAAGGCCAGGGCTGAGGGAAGAATAGGACCAACCAGATACGCATTACAATTAATACTAACATTAGATCTTCTAAATATTAGCTGCAAAGCTCCTGGCTAGATGACTTTTGGAAAGTTGTCCGACAAACGAGTTGCATATGTGGGTTATTGTTTCCCTGTCAGGATCAGTATTATTCATTTTGGAAGCACGAGTAATATTATTGTTTCTGTGGACACCACTAAGGAAGGTATCGATGAATTTAGGGAGGTCTGCAGTTCAGATATGAGTGATGCACCATAAGAATAACGGCTATTCAACATCAGAGCCTTCAGAACCTTCTGACGCATGAACCTTTCTGAAATTATATAAAGTCGGGAGAAAAATATTGATGTTAAGCATTTCAAAGATCAACTGGCTTGTTGACTGCAAACGAAGAACAATACATTGAAATGAGCCACATGTTGAAAAAAGAATGTGGACATAATTTGACCCATCAATCTCTACATCCTGAATGCTACATTATCTTTATGCTTCCTTTCCAAAACCATTACTGATTTCAGCATGCGTCACCAATCTCCTGATCATGCGAGCAATATCAATGCAACCTTGTCTCTGCTGTCTTACAGCCACAATGCTCTCTGTACATCATATCATGTAAATGACTTCAGCTTCATACGAGCGATTCATGTAAATGACTTCAGCATCTTGTCTGATAATCTCTGGGGAATCAGTCAGCCAATGGCGCTAAATATTACGGATCAATACATCACCATGTCTATTCCACAACGATTCACTATCTTCACACACCCATTACACAAGCTCAGTCTCCTCCAGGTCTCCGTCAACGTCATCTACATCATTTTCCTCATCATCTTCGGGGGCATCAGGATCTACTCCCTGCATCAAATGACAATTAGGGGCACACAGACAGAAAAGAAAAATAAAGGCTCCTCAACGCATTAACACCTTTACGTGATTCAAGGGGAGCTATTGACTGATTGATTTAACAGATGATGGAGCATTTTCTAATAATCATTTGCAGCAAATTAGGCAGGGTATAATGAGATTTGACACACCCAGCTAGAATGCAGGAAGAGTATAATCATTCTGAGACATATGAGAATAATCAATAGAGAAATACCACTTAGATTTGTAATTTTGCACATAAGTAGTTATGCACAAGTTAAAAACATATACTTCAAACGAGACAAGAAAACAAACCTTCATTTGTTTCTCCAACCGCTCTAATCCTTTCTTGGCTGCTTCATTATGAGGATTCATCCTAGAAACGAATCTTAATCAGATTTTCAGAATGCATAATTAAGAAAAACATATTTCCACTTTAGCAGCAAATATTCTCAGTTCTCTCTAACCACATACCACATTCTGGCTTCTTTCCCATTATAGTTCCACCACAATGGATATACAAAAATTTTCACCAAAATAAGGGAAAAATAAAGAGAAAAGACCTTAATGCTGCTTGGTAATGCAAAAGAGAATCTTGCAGCATGTTTGTGGCTGCAAAAACCTGTGCCAACTTAACATGTAAGGAATCATCAGCCCAATCTTTCAGATATCGCTCGAGGAGAGTTACAGCATCTCCATTTCGGCCTTCCATGACATGCAGCTCAGCCAAAGCTAAGGCGGCTCCAAGGTAACCAGGTTCCAGCCTTAGAGCTGATTCATAGAACTTCCTTGCCTGTTGAAAAGAAGCAAAAGATGAAAAAACTTTAAATGGTAATCTTTAAATTAACTGCAACAATAGTTTGAATTGGAACAGAGAGTTTAAGTGACACACTTTTTCTCGCCCAGTAGTACTACTAGCATGCACATCTCCAACCAACTTGAGGGGTTTTGCAGATTGGGGCATGGCACTCATTGCTTGTCTCGCAGAATGCAAAGCCTCTTTAATTTTTGAAAGTGCCAAATACGAACGCACTAGACCTGAAATCGGAAGGCATATCAGGTTCATAACAGCAAAGATACGATACAATTGGACTGCTATTATTATGACTTTGAGTTTCACTTGCAGCACTGTCAACAGACCTTGATATGAACGAATATCAGCTCTAAACTCTTGGGCTAATCTGAAGGCAGTTACTGCTGCATCTGGTCGATTCATTGATAATAATAAGTTCCCCTAAATGTTTCAAAAATCACTTCCGTTCAGTTACTTTCTATAGACAAGAACTTGATGCAAAAAGCACATAACAGACAGCAGAAAATACTCCTTTCATTAAAAATCATCTAAATACCTTCATTATATAACCAGTCACATGCCTTTCATCAATGCGTATACTCTGGTCGCAGAAAATGAAATGTCAGAATGAACAGGACACATAAGGATATTCATGTCCCACTTGAGTTCTAAAAAATTAACCTTTTCGGCATAAGAAAGAGCTCCCCTATCATCCTTCCTTTCCCACAGAATGGACAAGGCAACAAAAACTTCAGGCCTTGTAGGATCGATACTCAACAGATCATGGACCAACTTGTTCAACTTCGAATGATCAGACTTTGACTTCAAAAGCAAAGCATACTCATCCATATAAGTGACAGCGTATGGATCGATGCACCTAACCTGCAAAACTCAATGAAACTGGAATTATAGAGGGCTAAAAGTACAACTCTCAAATTAGCACCAAAGGTATCTTTCTTTACCTTTTCAAAGTAAATGATTGCTTCGTCATTTTTCCCTGTTATGGCTTCAACCTTCACAACAGCAATTGAGATGAAAATAAAAGTAACTAAATCATCCATATTACCAAGTCTTCCAAAAACAAATAATGCTTAGCACAACAACAGATTTTGTACAAAACTGATAAGCCAAAATCCTCAATCTGATTATGCCATACCTTAGCCATTTCAAGCAACAAGTGTACATTATTTGGAAAGCGTTGTAGAAGTTCTGAGAAAAGTTCCAAACCAACTGCCAGGCAAAATAAAGAAGAATCAGATATGCTGAGCATTCCCCTAAACAATGAGTTATTCTGCTTTATCAAACTTATCTACATCTATCTTGTAAGATATATGCTGTGATTAGTAACAATGCCTGACACTATCATCACAGAGCAAGTACCAATGAGGAATAGGTTGTTTTAAGTGATATTAAACCTTTAAACGTAAAGTTCACTCATGTGTTGCACAGTAACTCAGCAGAAATCCACCATTACACATTTCAAAGTTTCATGAAATTTATTGGTTAGGGTGCCAACAGAAATGTGTCCATCAAAATAACCTGTCTTCCATAAATTGGTGTACTTTTCCAAGTATGATATAAGATAATATCATGTCAAAAAAAGATATAATTTTTCCAAGTATGATACATGAACATCATGTCCTCCATAAAATTGGTGTAATTTTGAAAGTTGATACAAGATAATATCATGTCAGAGAAAGTAGATTTAAACATTCAGCCACAGCAAGAAACCAACCTTTATAGTCATTTGCAGCAATAGAACATTGGGCTTCAACGTACCGCTGAAAGTAGAGGAAAAGTATTCAACAATTAAATAAAATGAGAATGGAAAATGCAAAGCATTAAGGAGTTTCTGACAGTTTTCCTAAACTTCAATCAAATTTCATAACAGTGACATCAAACTTCTGTAGGCGATCATTCAGTAGTTCAAGGAATCTTTGAACACAGCTTGAATATGCAAAATAGAAGATAAAAGTTTACAATATCATATAGTTTCCTCAGAAATGATATACCTCATATACAGTTAATAGAGACAAACAGAAGAATTGAATAATAACTTTCTAAGGAATAGCTTTAGTTCTTTTCAGTTGATTAACATAGCATCTTAACGTTTATCTATATTTAAGTTCAAGCCAACAATGCAAGGATACCATAAAGGTAGCAAAATGTCATAGTATTAAACTAAGGGATAAAATCAGCAAATAGTCAACTACAACATTAAACTTGTTACAATTAGCTGATCAAAACTTTCTTAATATTACCTGCAGCCAGCGACTTGACTCAAGATGATCAAGAGGAGGTCTCCCACTTCTATTTGGAGTCTGGGGAAAATCAAAAACACAAAGTTCAGATATAAGAAAAAAGATGAAACCTGTAACGAGGAATAATTAAATTCATTCTATCTTGATGTTAATGTGATGGCACTGTTCCATTCTACTAAACCATGCATCCACTCAGTGAGAGACAAGTATTAACTCTAAAGATTCGTGATTGTAACCACCATTTGCTAAACATTTTCAGTTTTGTTAAACATTTCCAGTTTTGCATGCTGAATAGTAAGTGGAGATGGCTAAGAAATCCTTTACAAGCTTAAGGCTGAATAAGTATCTTAGTTTGCAATCTATGGTTAGGACATGAAAATATATATCAATACAACAAACCTGAGGAAACAAAGAAATAATGTCTTTTGCTGCAGTACCCATTTCTGCCAATGCTGTGATTGCCTCAATGATGTAAGGGCATTGTCTGTGGACAATGAACCATGTTAAGATCAATTGCCAATGAACATGAACACAATCAGAACCAACTGAAAATAAAAGCAAAAGTCGGTATCAAGTAGCTAGAAAATCAAATAGCAACAATCTGATGCATCACAAATCACCAAAAGCAACCGAATGTACAGAACATCCATTACTAATGTGGAAAAGCAAGGAGATGGAAAGGCATTCAGCTTCTATTCACAAATAACACTTCCCACATAAGTACCCAACACAAAAAATTACTATATTAACTTCTACATGAAGCTCACAAAAGGCCAACACTTTTTGGTTCTCTTGTTTTCACAGTGAGTAGTAAAGAAAACAAAAAACTAAAATAAGAATATAATTTGAAATAATGTCGGTGATGAGTAACCACACAAGGCTTAGGGAAAAGAAAAATCCTCATATATGGAAGGATGTAAAATTGTAAAGACCTTAAACACTCCTTATAACAGGTAATTGCTGAGCGAATGTGCCTCGTATTTCTGTAAAGTTTTGCCATCATCAAATTCATCTGCAGAGTCCTTACTTTACTAGGAATTCCCTCCATCTGTAATACAAACAATACAAATCATTACCTAAAGTTTTCATAGAATGTATAGCACATTGCTAAAGAATTGGGTGGCAACTACAAGAAAAGCATATATTATGAACCTCAATAAGAGCGGCTCTGTTCTCGTTCAGGGCAGAATGTGACGAAGCAATTCTGAACTTGACCTATTCAAAATGTAAAATATTATATAGCACAAGACCCTGGGATATATTAACAAACGGCTTATTCCAACATTTCCTCAAAATTACCTCACTGTCACTAATTACTGAACTGTTGACAGAACTGGGAGACGAGGACCGATTGGGAGCAGAAAGTGAACCCCTACTCAAGGCCATAGATGATTTTGGATACGATTTGAGTTGCAACAACGCTTGTTTATAAGTATGCTACACATCCCAAAATTGCAAACTTTTCGGTTCAACAAATAAACAATCTAAAAAATTCAAGCATTTCTTGGGAGGGGGTGGCATTACCGGAATCCCCAAACCTTACTATGGCTATGTCTATATCAGTAAAATTATTATGCACAAAACTTTCACTTACAACTGCCCTCCTGAACTCTTTCTCTTTGAATAATGCATCACCAAGAAGAACCTGCAACACGGAAATAAAAAAAAACAAAAAAACAAAACAAAAAGAAATTGCGATTAAAACAAAGGCCAAGGGAAACATTTAGCTTAAACTAACAAAAGTATTCAATTACGAAAGGAAAACCCACCAAACTCTCAGCCTTGAGCTGTGGAGTTAAATCAGGATTTGCATTTGTCGATGAAACAAGAAACCCGCCCTAACGAGAAAAACCCAAATGAAAATACTCGAGGTCAGAACTTCCAAGTTCGCTAATAAACCCCAAAAACGCAAAATCAAAAGAAAAAACAGAACTTTGAGAAAGATGAAATTGGGAAAACCCTAGAGCAACATTCGGAGTTTTGTGGTGGAAATGAAGAGAGCTTACGAGCAATTGAGCGGAGGAGAAGAAGCCATGATCGAGGAGAGTGGTGACCTGATCTTTGGAAACGTTATGCTCCATTTTTTCTCAAGTGTTTGATGAGTGACTGAGAGAAAGTTTTGAATGGAAGAATCAATGGAACAAAAATAGACCGCCCTTCCCCCTTTTCAAATCTGCTATTTGGACTTCCAGCAGTTTTATTAATCTCCCAAGTTTGATGCGTAGCCGCGTAGTCCTATATTTTAAAATATAGATTTTGTTTGGAATGTTGTTTTAGTTTTATTTTGTGAATTTATGTGTTTAAATTTCTTTAAACAGATGTTTGGACATTTCAATTTCAAAACATGTTTTCGACCTAAATATTTTTTTATTCATTATTTTTTCAATCACGATCTATTTCATCATTTCACCAGTTTCATTTTAAGCCACCATCAACCATCGAGCCAATAGTGGTACTGCTATCACTCTAGTGAGATCAATGTGAGTCAATTGATATAGTTAAAAAATATAATAATAACTTAGATGCGTTTTTAAATCACTTTAAAATTTATCTCAAAATAAATTTTACGAAAAGTACGAATCTTAAAACCAAAACAAGATCACAAATGCAACTTTAGGTCTAATGATATGTTTTGTGACTGACGATAGTAATAAGGGTTAGGGTACAAGTAGGAAATGTGTTCTATAATAGTTTTATCATTACTTTCCTCTCGATAAAAATAAATATGGCACTTATTTTGAGAAAATGAATTTATTTATGATTAAACGAGTTACAACGATTTTAATATCATCAATAGGTTGTAAGCTATATAGTGAAAAAAACATGTAATTATAATTCATTTATTTATATGGGAAGTTTACATTACACAACTTATATGCAAACATTGAAATGAGACCGAAATTCCTCATTTATGTACATTTTGAAGTATTTTTGGTTTATAAAAAGGAGAAAATTGATCATAACAAAATTTTTAGAAAAAGGTGAAAAAGAAAAAGCCAACTTAAGAAGGTTCTATATATATCTTATCCGGCTAATATTGTATTTTCACACTAAAATATTTCTTTCCGATTTTACGTACGAATTACGCCTGCAATCACCGAAGAGGAACGGAGTTGCCGGAGTCTCTGAGCTCAGAGGCAAAAATGTACGGCGGGTCAAGCGACGGCGAAGGGCACGATGTCGCCGGAGGGACTGCCCGGAAGATCCCACCTGCTTCATCTATGCTCTGGGTCCGTAACCTTCGTCGTTTCATCGGATCCGGAGCCGGGTTAGGCTCTGAAGCCCTTATGGGTCGGTGAAAAATCTTCCTCTTAGCTCACTTGATTAGCTTTTATCTCTGCAAATTAGTTTCGTTTTTACAAAATTTTTGTCATTATGAATGCTGGGTTTTCCCTCTTTTATTGTTTATTTGACGCGTAATTAGTGTTGGATTTAGAAACTGCAACGAACTTAGGAAAGGTCTGAAAATGAGAACTGTGACCCAAAAAAATGGAGGATTTTTGAGCAAATGGTTGCTGTTATTAGTCCAAGAGTGTGAATTTAGGTTACAAAGTTTAAATGCTTTTGCGGGTTTGAGCTGCTGAGATTTTATGATACCTAATCTGAAAGGTGTAATTTCACAAAGTTGAGGACTTTATTGAGGATACAACAGTGAAGCAAAGTTTGGGTTGTAAGAGGGATTTATTGTTCATTTTGTTTTGACGTTCCTTATTTCTGACAATTTGCTTCAATGTTTAAAAAGTCGAGATTGGCTTTTTTTGTTCCCAATTTTGAGTTGTTTCTGGGCTAATTGATTTGCGTCTTGACATAGTTGTTTGTCCTGTTTTAAAAACAGAGCTTGAAACAAAAAGAATTTTGCTGGATATTTTTAAGGAGAAGCAACAAAAGAGTGCTGAAGCTGGAACCATTCCGAGTTTCTACAAGAAGGTATTAACTCCAACTGATTCTTCATAATTGAGTAGTTCCACTTGTTTTACCAAAAAGTTCTCCTCTTTAATCGTACTGGAAATAATTTTGTTGTTTTTCATTTAATTTGGTTAGAGGCTTTTTGTTTGTAGCAAGATGTCAGTTTTAGATTATTAGTCCTTCGTATTCCATGTGTAGGAATACTGTGAATGTTAGTTTTACAGCATTACTTGTTATCAATATCTTACAGTCTCTATACCTTTAATATGATTTATCTGCATTACTAATATCCAGAAACCTGAGGAAGGATCTATCAGTCACAGGGTCCAGCGGCTAGCAAAGTACCGGTTCTTAAAGGTATTTTTCTGAGACTATTATGTTTGATTCCATTTTGATTACCAAAGGTTTGAAAGCTAGGATCACTTGATCTTGTTCGTTAAAGGATCTAATTGGTATTATTAGCATTAGACGTTTACTGATCCATAAGGATAATCCATAAATAGCTGATAGTTTGATTCAATTTTGGTGATTTACAGAAACAATCGGATCTTCTGCTAAATGCTGATGATCTGGATGCTATGTGGGTTTGTCTACGGGAGAATTGTGTGATTGATGATGCAACAGGAGCTGAAAAGGTATCTAACTTGCTTAAAATGGAACTGACTCCTGCAAACAAGATTTTAATTAGTTTTTCATCTTGTTAGGCTTATTTCATTGATTATTATTATCTTTGTCCTACCTATGTTCATTTGTACTGAAACAAACTTCTTTGTCATTTTTAGATGAACTATGAAGACTTTTGCCACATTGCCTCTGTGTGTACAGAACAAATAGGCCCCAAGTGTAGACGTTTTTTCAGTCCTTCGAATTTCATGAAGTTTGAAAAAGATGAATCTGGGAGAATAGCTATTCTGCCATTTTATCTTTATGTGATGCGCACTGTAAGTGATAAGGCTTCCTCAAGAACCTTGAAAATATAGTGCATGTCCTCCTTTTCACTCCACATAGTTATGGAATGTGGTCAATTTGCCTTGCAGGTTTCACTTACTCAGGCTAGGATCGATATGAGTGAGCTCGATGAGGATTCTGATGGCTTCCTTCAACCTCATGTATGTTTTTCTAAGTTTATACTTAATCACTTATTGTAGGTCTTGTTCATTAGAGTTATCATCTTCCTCGAGTTCTTGCTTTCCAGCGTTTACTGATATGATGTGTTTATTGTAGGAAATGGAAGCTTATATACGTGGCCTAATTCCTAATCTGGCACAGCTCCGGGACATGCCTACAGCTTTTGTGCAAATGTACTGCCGGATAGCTGCACACAAATTTTTCTTCTTCTGTGACCCTAATCGGCGAGGTTTGTGCTGCTTCTCTTTGCTCCAGTAATTGATAGTGTGACTGAAGATTGCATTTGCGAGGGTTCTGCTTTTATAACTCTTTATATTTCATGGTTGGCGTCTTTGCCACATTACACTTGCTAGGTTTGATAGAAAAAGTAATGTCTTGGGCCAGTAAAAATATTGCTAAGATCTGTATTTTGTTTTAAACAGGAAAGGCATGCATAAAAAAGGTGCTGCTGAGTAACTGTCTTCAGGAGCTGATGGAACTGCACCAGGTATTGCTTGAGCATTCAAACTTTGATTTGAATAACTTTTGCTATTAGCTTGGTCAATTATTTTTCGTTGGTTTCTTTAGCATCTATTTTTCTTGAAATTTCATAACTTCCTCTGGTTGTCGGTGATTCTTTGTAAGGGGTATTTCATTAGGCATGTTTGGTATTGGTATTTTTGTTCTCCTCGAGTAAGAGTTAGTATGTCATTATGTGAGCAAAGAATGTCCCTTTTTTGTGGTTTCTGTTTATTTTCTCTTTTGATATTGAGTTGTTTAAGGCTGCTTTAGCTATGTGCTAAGAGCAGTCATTAGTTTTGTTTCTATATTTCCACTTCTTTATATTGTTTTTCTTGAAAATATTTGCAAATATGTTGTCATGACGCCTAAAAAGTGAAAATGGCATCTACTTGTTGAATGTCTATGTACTTTCTAAGCTTTTCTGTCAATACAATAGGAAAGCGAGGAAGAAGTCACTGATACTGAACAAGCTGAAAATTGGTTTTCCTTGACTTCTGCTCAGCGCATCTGCGGTGAGTACTGAAGAACTCTAGAACTTCATCAAGTGTACTGAGTATCAATTGGTGTTTCCTATTTATTAGCTGTTATTGAGTTTTTCTGGGTTTCGTAGATCTCTTTGGACTTTGTCCTGATTTGTGGTATTACTGTGAATATTTCAGACATGTTCCTTGCCCTTGACAAGGATATGAATGGAACCTTAAGCAAACAAGAGCTCCGAGAATATGCAGATGGTACCTTAACAGATATTTTCATTGAAAGAGGTAAGACTTATCCCCTCTACTGAAACACTCGGCATATTTCCTGTGTCTGATATTTGTTGAATATGTGGCATTCTCTTGTCTTACATTGTGGCCAAATTCGATTTGTTTGGTTTCCAGGCACTTTATTGCTTCTTATGTGTTATTTTATAAATCCATCACATTAGGCTGTATTCTCATGCTTATTTGGGGTTCTAATATAAGCAAACCTTTATAGCCTCATGGGGTAGCAACCCTTTAAACAGATCCACACTCCCTTGCGAATAGCTATATGTGGTATCTGGATATACTTGCAGCTTTTAGATCAACAGGAGCTATGAATGAATCAGTTGCTATACATCATCAAAAGGGCTTTTTCTGACATTTGTAGATGTTACACTCAAGGTTCTAAAATTCTTCAAATTTCTGATATTGTGCAGTTTTTGATGAGCATGTTCGGCGTGGAAAGCTTGGAGGTGGTAATTCCCGAGAGATGGATTTTGAGAGTTTTCTCGACTTTGTTCTAGCACTAGAAAATAAAGACACACCAGAAGGACTCACATATTTGTTCCGGTGTCTTGATCTTCATGGGAAAGGTTTTCTAACAACGGCAGATATACACACACTCTTCAGGTATGGCTCTTTCATGTAACTCATGCGGCGGGGTATCGGAAATAAAACAGGCATTTTATCCTTTTTCATTACAATAAGTTTTTTTGGTTGGTGGGTTCATTAACTCCATCTTCTATTCTTATACCTGTGACAAGTAAGCTTCTGAAAATGTAACATTATATGGAAGCGAAGAAGGGGAGCATAACTAAGTTGATATGTTTCCTGATACGACCTTCCCACATTAATTCTGTTGTTTTCCTGCTTGTGGTTCTTGAGCTAGTTCCACAAGTCTCAAAAGTTACCAGACACATCAAACCCATTGAAGTTCTAATATCTTTCAGTAAATGCTTAACAATGAGATGCTAGTTTCAGAATATCGTTCTGTCTTGAGTATCAAAGCTAAACTCAAAAGTTATTTTCCCGTATTTATTCCTTGGTAATATGATACAGGGATGTACACCACAAATGGATTGAGGGAGGGAACTACGAGTTGTGCATTGAAGATGTAAGAGATGAAATTTGGGATATGGTAAAGCCAGGAGACCCATTGAAAATAACATTGGCTGATTTGCTAGCATGCAAACAAGGCGGGACCGTCGCTAGCATGCTTATAGATGTGCGCGGTTTCTGGGCTCACGACAACAGAGAAAATCTTCTCCAAGAAGAGGAAGAGCCAGAAGAAGAAGGGTAACAGGAACTAAAAATTTGTACCCTTGACAAACATGTTAGTGTGGTTTCAGAGTTTTGTCCCTTACATGTACTATTACCAATTACTAGTAGTCACTTGGGTTGGGTTGCTATAGAGATTATTGGAGAAAGAACTAATTAATGTGGATGTGGTGGTTATAGGATGGCTGACAGAGCTCAAGTAGACTTGTAAATATTGCAGAATGAAAAGTACTTATTGGTTTGTTGAGGTTTTGTTCTGATATTAAGAAACTGCTGCTGACAAGTGACATCTACAATAATAATCAATGAATGTGTGCATTATTCTTATATCATGGGAATTGGATGGAGGGGCCATGGTCTTTCCATATCTTTCTGTGGAGGCAATTGGGAGTTGTTATTAGTTATTACTTGTTCACAGTGAAAACTTGTACTCCTGTTGCCCTCGTTTCTTGTCCTAAAAAACATGATTATTTTGAGATTGAACTAGTTTCTAAGTTCAGATTAACTTTTGATTTTGCTCAAAGCATTTTTCCTTTGCAACCTAAATGTTCAATGGACCATTTCAAAAAAAAAAAAAAAAAGTTGAATGGAGTTCTTATCATTCTTTGAAAGAAATAGGTTGTGTTTGTGATATATTGAAAGTTATTACTATGGCAAGTCAACATAAAAAAAAAAAAAAGAAAAAAAGAAAAGAGCTTGAAATGATGCCAATTTTCCTTTTCTTTATTTTTAATTATTGACGGAGGAATAATTTTCAAGAACAGGATGTGACATATGAAGCGGTAAAACCAACATTTATAAAAGCCAAAAAAAAAAAATAATAATAATAATAAAAGAAGAAGAAGCCAAACTGATAATTCTGAATCTGAGGGATACGAGACAAATTTTCTGATCTTTTTTCTTCCCTGGCCAGTTGTTCAGAAAAACTCACCAATTGCTTTGATTCGCATAATGCAATACAAAAGTCCAGAAATGTACAATAAAGGAGAACAAATGTGATCAACCAATAGCAGTGAAGTGCTGTGTGGAGAAGTTTTGCAGAGATTTAACACCTCAGTGACAACATACGAGCAAGCAAGTATATGGCCACATTCCACTAGCCATATCTCCCGTGTCACATTTTCTGTAACACTATTTTTATTCTTTTTTAATAACTTACCTAAGGTATACGCGCAAGATTTTTGTAACTTAAAACAAAAATGCACATAAATCTTATCATGGTTAAGATTAGTTCTGATACTAATCTTGATCCATGTTAATATCGTGACCGGTGGCACTTTTGTGTGACAGGTTCTAAATTTGAATAGAAAAGACAAGATTGTATTTTTAGAGACGATTATAATCGAATTTTTGAACTTTGAGTTATGAAATGAGCACGTAAATCACACTATTCTTGTAACGTTTCTTATGCTAAAATACATGGAATAACATATACTACAATCTGGTTTGGTTTTGGAGACAAAATGATCAGGCCCCATCACTAAATGATGGAGGGAACAACGACGAATCCAGAATGATTATTTTTCTCCCCTTTGATATTTATGATAAATTAAAATAATCCTGCTGACTACTTGGAATTATTGAAACTAAAGAAGTCAAAAGAATTGTTATATGAATTGAGGACAGATTTAAGTCCAACTACAAAGAATGTATGTTCACTGATTTTGAAACTCAGTATTAAAAACCAAGCAGAAAGCTGATTGAATCATATTTTAATGCATTTTCCTGCCTTCTACAACAGAACAAGCAAGGTAACCGTTTATCATAATTATACATTTTCCGTCCCAAAATGATTGTTCAGTTTTTTTTTTTTTTTTTAACGGCGGGACAATTATTCTGGAAAGAAAGGGTACCAAAGTATTTGATAATAGATTCTTAATCAATTTTCCAGCTCAGTTTCTCCAATTTGAAACCAGCACTGACAATCTAGTTCTGATTCTATTCCTCTGTTGCCAGAAACTGAAAGCAGATATTTTTGTGCATTAAAACCCTGTTGTGACATATATGAAATTGATGACCCCACTAAGTGCAAACATTGATTGTAATTTAATCATCAGTACAAATTATTTTGGCATAATTTGCACGTTGGATCTGATGTTCAAAAACAATGTCAGGCCATATTAAGTGAGTGAGAGACAAATAATATAATGCCAGTTCATTTTAATGGACCACACAAGTAATAGGAACCATTTACTCATTCACCAAGACAACTCTAGTAGTAATTCATACTCCTCGACGTTCTAAAACACGAGTCATATTTGTTAACCGAGAAATACATAGCATGCAGACGGGAGATTAAAAACCAAGATCTTAAATCTTGATCTTAGAATGCTAGGGATCACTAATGTGTATATAGTACTCTAGTAAGATAAAAGAATATACAAAGTCGGTTATATGGAAGCTTTTCCAAGAAGTGATATAGTTTACGTTGACTGTTAGCCTAATATAAATCGTAAAAGTCAAATTTAGGACTCTGTCCGAGCTTGTAGTTACAGAGTCAGTAGCCTACAAGTTTAACCACAGTTATTCAAGTATATACACTAATAACTATAGCTGGTACCTAATCATTGACACATTAGTACTAAAAAAGAAACGACCTTTGTACCTCAAAACAGACCATGAACTCACATCCTAACTTTGCTTCCGAGGATACAGACAGCAGATCCAGACAATATCCTGTCTGAGATATCCACCTTTCCCTCAAAATATCAGTCACAATCTTTATGTTGTATGACAGAGAAAGAGAAAGAGGAAGGGGGGCAAATGCCCCCTGTTGCCATTCATCCTCGAGAATAGAGCTGAACATGCCGACTACTCCTTTTCCCACCAATCCCCTTATTGCTTTACAGCCCAACATTGAAGACAACAAATCAAAAACACTTAAGGGGAGAATGGGACAGTTTCTGAAAGGGTAAGAGTACAGAACAGAACAGAACAGAACCTCACAGCTCAAGAATCTTTAGTATAATTTTCACAGCTGAATAACTGGTGTAGTTTTTTTACATACATGTAAAAAATATCCCAAAAAGGCTATCTTTCATCATCACAAAAAGGGTACTAAAAAAAACTGAAAAAGACTGATCTTCTTTTTAATCATGGACCTATGGTGATGTCTTGTTGCATGGCTTTGCTGTCATGATCTGTTGTCATTAACAGGAATTGGTCAGTGACCCTCTTTTCTTTTCTTTTTTTTACAGGTCAGATGACCCAAAAAACAATTGGCAAAGAAAGTCAGGAAAAACTGTAATTGGGTAGGAAATACTTGGGGATTTGATAGATTTGAATCATTTGATAACAACCCTTTTACCCTTTAGATCCCATTCAATTATTATCATGTATTGCAGTATCTTCTTTGTTCATATCCTAGTAAAAAAAAAGGTTATTTACTTGCCATTTTACAACAAAAAAACTTCACTTTAGACCACATGGGGCACTGGCCTTTTTGGCCACTTCTAATACAGGTTGTTTTTGACATTAAATTGATGATGAGTGAAAAAATAAACCGTGCTGTCTCTGATGAAATTATACGTACAAAAACAGTAACATTCTATCAGCTTTTTGTTCACATTTTTGCAGCTGCAAATAGCCAAATACTGTTGCTTGTTGCAAGCTTCAGAAGGTACCAAATTACTGTGAAACTGTCAGGTATGTAAAGGAATCTATGATGGAACCATTGATTGGCTTTAAGTGAGTAGGTAAGAAGAAGATGAAATTGACATCATGTTATCTTTTCTTTGGTTATGTGGATTTTTTTGATGTTTCTCTCCTTTTGATATGCACTTTTCACCTCTCCATTACCCTGACCATTCAAATTTCTGCCTGAATCAGCAAGAGAAATTTTTTTTCAGAAAAGTATCTACTTTCAGAATATAACCCAACCCAAGAGATAGTTTTGGGGTAAGAATCCATTACCTGATTTCCCCCTTTTCCATTTTAATGATAGAACTGAGAAAAAGATTGTTTCTTGCCATTGTTCCTGTTTTCCAAGTTGATTTATGTTAGTAGCCAGTTTGCAGAGATTCTGCCATTTCTAATGGTTCATTAGCATAATGAAGTACTTCAAAAGCCTGGGAATGTTATAAGTGTATTGGTGTGAAGAGACTATCTCCACTTGAAGAGGAAGATCAGTTTGTGAAGTTTCTCTTGGCTTCAAGGTAGAAGCTTCTTCTACACAAAATCTTAAAAATCAATATCACACACACACACACACACACACACACACTAAAGAGGATCATCATGTTCAGCTGAGAAGTGTTACTAGTATGTCCCTTTTCTGCTGCAGATTCAATGTACATATCTCTTAAGGAAGGCGTGGATTCTTTTCGGCATGCCAGCTTCAGTTGCAGCCATAGTAGGAGGAGTTGGAGGATTTGTAGCACTATTGGTGATAACCATCTTATGTTTATGGTTCTGTGTCTCACATTACAAAATGTTCTCCAATAAGAACTCGGAGACAGAATCTTCAGCTCCATCGGCAGTAGGTAATGTTCAAGGACCTTTTTAAGGAAACTTCAATCTTCTGTATACGTATGCTTTGCCATTAATGATTGATCCTCTAATTTTTGCTCCCGGGAAGTATCGCAGTGGAGATGAAAAGAGGAAGAAGCAGTTCTTCTACAGCTCCACCCCTGATGATGGGAGGAGCACAGGAGGCAATGCAATTCAGATTGGAAGATTTAGAACAAGCTACTAGAAATTTTGATGAAAGCAATCTCATTGGATGTGGAAGCTTTGGTCTGGTTTATAAGGGGATACTTTGTGATGGGACTGTTGTGGCTATCAAGAGGCATATTGGTCCTCCTATGCAGGGATTCAGTGAAGAGGTACACCAATAGTTGTTCTTTTACCGTCTTTCATGATCATGTCTGCAAGTTTTTTCGACATTATAGTGTACACTCATTAGACCTAAGCGCGGGTTTGTTTACATTGGCAGGTGAAGTACTTGGCAAGAATTCATCACAGACACATAGTTACTCTTCTTGGCTACTTCCAGGATAATGGCCACCAGATGCTGATTTATGAATATTTACCCAATGGCAGCGTCTCTAATCATTTATACGGTAACAGATATTAGTGTAGTTCTTAAAATTCCCTAGGTTTGATGTTAACTGTAATCTGAAGCGAATTTTCGACATTTACAGGAAAATATAGCACGGTGAAACTGGAATTTAAACAAAGGTTGTCGATTGCTGTTGGGGCGGCGAGAGGTAATTGATAGTCCATAGGACCATCAAAGTCTTTGTGGGAGTAATAAATCGATAGAAGAAAGTGACAAGGATTAGTCTTTTTTTTTTTGCAGGACTATGCCATTTGCATGGCCAAAGTCCTTCTCTAGTGCATGGAAATTTCAAGACCGCCAATGTCCTGGTTGACGAGAACTTCATATCCAAAGTTGCAGATGCAGGAGTCTCAAAACTAGTTGGAGGAACCGAAGCTGCTGGACCATCTTCCCCAAATATAAATGCTTTCAAAGATCCAGAGTAAAAATGAACTTTCAATGCTGTTGAAAGGAAGAGTTTTGATAGTACAGTCTTAAATTGTCGTTTTTGAAAACTAATTCATTGATTGTACCTTGTTTAGGATAGTCCAAACCGGCAGAATCTTTGAGACAACTGATGTGTATAGCTTTGGGATATTTCTGCTGGAACTAATAACTGGAAAGGAGGCTTCTGAAATGGGATCAAGTGAAATCAGGCTTCAATGGGTATGATGTTAAAACTACCTTTACTTAATGAACATTTTCAAATTTCTCCATACTATAGTGAAAGTTTTAATGTACAAAACTTAACAGATTGAAAGGCATCTGATCTCAAACGACATTGTTGATCGTCGGCTTGAAGGGAATTTCACAGCGGAAGCAATGAGGGATTTTATCAGGCTGGCTATAAGATGTATGACCATTCCAGGAAGACTCAGGCCAAATATGGAAATGGTGAGCTCAGAGCTTGAAGAAATCCTGGATAAAGAGATCATGCTAACAACAGTGGTTGGAGAAGGCACAGATATTACTCTAGGAAGCCACCTTTTCACAAAGTGAAACAGTGGGACAAAGAAAAGAAGGATGAACAAGCTGCAAGCAGAACAACAACATTTGGTTTCGAAAACTGGCAAGTTGTAGTAAAGGCTAAAAGCTTAGTTGTTGCAGGAATTTAGTTAGACAAGGGAAACAAGAACAAGCAGTAGAGAAGCAGTACAGATTTATCTTGGAAATTCCAAGACCCTAAAATTCTGACATTATGTGTGATAAATTGCATCCATAACGTTGATTATCATCAATGCAAGTACTACCTATTGATCAACAATTCCTCAGCAAAATGACAAACAAGACAGAGGGAGTATACTTATATATAGAGAAAACAAGTAAATTATCCACATGAAATCTTGAAAAAAGCAATACTGAAATATGTATCAATGAAATCAAAACCTGTCAATTATGTATGCTGAATAGCAGAAAGACACAACTCCTAATGTGCAATAACCAAATCCTGGCAGTTTAAATTATCTTAAACTGCTAATATAGTAAATAATAAGCATCTAAAAAAAAAAATTAGTTCCAATACCATAAGGAAAAAAACAACCTAAATCAAAGCACTTTGGCATGAGAAACTGCAGATTTTCCACTCCTGAAAATGCCGGAAAGAACTTTCCTCCTGACGTAAGATTGTGTGTTCAGTATAACAAGCAAAATGGCGCCAGAGTAGACGGCAAACATCTTCAAGTTCAAGAGTTCTCCCCTGTAAACCTTGCATTCTTCCGACGGCGAAGCCATCACGCCGCCGGTGTCGATGAAAGCCATGTTGAGTGGGCAATCCGCCGTGAAGGACGCCGGAATATTCACCTTTTCGGGGTGGAGCTGGGTGATTGTGCCGTTCAGGCGAACTGAAAAAGCTCCCGAGGCCCCTGATTTGATATCCTTCACCAAAGCAGCAGCAGTAGCATTGTCAATACTAACAGGGAAAGGAGAAAAAGTTACCTTAACAAGATTCCGCTCGTTTCCAGCCTGATGAAAACCATTCAAATCCGTCTTCCAGATGGTGGATTTTGCACAGGGAATCAATGGCTGGATGAATTGGTTCAGGGCAGGGTAATAGTAGTTCAGATTCAGAACAGGGTTCTTGAAATTATTAGTATTCCCGAACAAAACCTCGGCCGTGGTATCATCGTACGACAAGATGTGATTCTCAGAAGGGTTCCTCACGTTGAAAATCATGTTCCAGTTCGCCGTGATGTTGCCGGAAACAGAGTCGTGGTTGATCGGAAAAACAGAGACGGACTCAACAGAGATTTTGGGGGAAACCAGAGCCTTGTAATGGTTGCTGGTGTCAATCAAACCGTGTAACTGGCTAAACAACACGAAAATCATGGCAGCCCTGATCATCAAATTGGAGAAAAACCAAATCTTTCTCCAAAACCCTGAACCTTTGACAACAGAAGAAGAACCCTTGATCTGTCCTGATGATGGGTTTTTCTTTTCCGGGAGGGGAGGAAATTCAGGGCTTTTAGCCAAAAAGCTGCTGAATCCTTCATCTAACTTTTGTTTCAGACCAAGCAAATTTCCATCAACACCATTATGATTGCTATTGCTATGAACATCATCATCATCTTCTTCTTCTTCTTCATCAGGGATCTCAGTGGAATAGCTATACCCTTCATCATCCTGACTTGCTCCGTCCATAATTGCGTAATCCTCATCCAATTCGTCGGTTAGACTGACATCGTAACTGTTACTGCCGGATTCGCTGGAACTGGAGATGTTATGAATACTCATGGTGCCAAAATCGCAAGAGCAGAGGAAAAAGAAGGCCAAAGATCAATTAGGGTTTTTTCTTCTTCTTCTTCTTCTTTTTTTTTTTTTTTTTTCCTCTTTAGATTGGAGTGTTATTTTTTATGAGATTGAAAAAGCCTAAATAGTTTTGAGAGTCGGAAAATTCGAGCTGTTATTAGGGTAGGATATTATCAAAGGGGGAAAAAGAATTAAAAAAAAATTGAGAGTAAAAAGGGAATACGAAAAAAGATAAAAAATTTACTTCAATCACAAGTAGTAGTTGTGTAGTCTAATACAAATTACTTATTCAATTTTAACTCTAATATGTATCCCTCAAATTTAGCCTAGTCATATTACAAAAACAAAATCTCCTACCAAAATCATGGGATTTGATTTTGGCATCCGCTTCTCCTACTTCTTTTTTTTTTTTTTTTTTTTTAAAAAAGTCAAACATCTATTTAAATTCTCATCTCTACCAATACAAGAGATGTCTGGTCGCACCCTGGCCCAGTCTATCTGTAGATCTTAAAAATATTTATGTTTGAAAAAAATAAAATTTTATATTTGGAGCGATATATTTTAGAAATGTTTGAAAGATTTAGAAATATTTTATAAGTGTGATTATAGAAATATTTGTATTTCACAAAAAAAGAAATTGTATTTCGCCATGTATGTTTTAGAAATATTTTATAAGTGTTACTTATTAAATATAAATAGACTTAATCGAATATATGTGTTGAAATAAATACTAGACAAAATATAAAAGCATCCTAATAAGTTTAAATATTAGTAAGATGATTTATTGATGTTCTCCATTGGTCGTGCCAAATCAATACTTAATTTCGGAGATTTTTAATAGCTTTGTAATAAGTTTCATCCGAAGGGTATACGCTTAAAACAAAATTGACACTTTGTAACAAAAACCTAATTGATCAATTCAATTTAGACTCCATAATTAAGAAAAGAAAACCTCTAATTGAATGAAACATAGAGAAATTTTTTTTTAAAAAAAAACGTGTCACGTAAAGTGCAAAGGGGAATTTAGTAATTTAGTTATGGTTAGAAAAAAGGGCAATTTAGTACTTTCTTCATGTCACGTGGCAATCATAGGAGGTGTTTGAAAGGAGGGTTTTTGTTTCTAATATAGTAGGATTTAAATTTTGGTGGATGTCCAAAGTTGGACCTCCTGCTTCTTTTCATATATAAAAATTGCTTTGTTTGGATAAACACTCATTTTACATTTTAACTCATTTTATCTCTTAAACACAAAACCCAATAGAAAAGAAAACATAATCCAAACAACTTTCTGATTTACATTTTAAATTCCAACTTGAAACACTTTTTGTTAGTGTAATGACCATTTTAGAACTACAAATAGTTCAGTAACAAATTTGGCAGGATTTCATTGTTGTTGAGTGATTGTTTTTGGAAAAATTCTTTTTTGCAGTGACTATAATTGACAGTATTTAATTGTTTAATGATGACTCGTACTTGATATTTTTAAAATGTAGTTCAAAATATTTTTTCCAAAACAACATCCAAATAACTTTTTGCTCAAAATACCATCCAAACAACATTTTCATTTCCCCATTTAGTTTTCAACCACTTTCCACTTTTAAGTGACAAAATGAAATGTAAGATGACGTCCAAACAAGCACCTGGAGTTCTTATTTTTATTTTTGGAAAAATTAAAGGTATTGATGCTATAATTTATTCTTTTTGAACCGCAATTATCTTCTCCCATATACGGGCCCATACCTATATTACAATATTCTTATTTAATCAATGATAATTCATAAATAAGCACAACCTCTAGTATGAAATCAAATAAAAATGGGGTGACAGAATTGCGTGGGATAATAGTAAGGATTTGTAATAAGGAGTTCGACAGTAGTTCAATTAAACTCCTCGAAAGTAATAATTCTCTTGCGCACATTTTCATCGCTGTCGTGAAATCTAATTGCAATTGTTGAGTATGTTAGTCAATAATTAAACTTAACATTCATACATGCATTAGAAAATCAGGTTTTTTGTATTTTTTTTTACTATAAATAGGTCTAGTGTGGCATCTAAAATGTATACTAATAGGCCTAGTTCTTCCTAACGCATCTCATGCACGTACACTTTCATGCAAAATGGTTAATGTCCCCCCACATTCTTTTAGTAATCCGAATAACTGAGTTACAGTAAAAAGAAATACGGCCAAAAAGTTATTACCTCCGTCCTAAGAAAATAGTCTACATTGAATTTTGAATTTTATACTATTAAAAATAGTCCATATTGAATTTTGAGTTTTGAGTTTTACACTCAAAACTCAAAATGGACAGTGTAAAACTCAAAACTTAATGTCAGTATAAAACTCAAAACTCAATGTGGACTATTTTTTTGGGACGGCGGAAGTTATACATACCTTAACAACCATATGTAGAACGGGTTCCAACAATATGAGTTACAAACCCAAATGGTTGAGTTACATATAATGTATACATATGCCAAAACAAATTAACCTAATCTGAACGGATTTGTAACGGGCAAATTAAAAGTCCCTTACGAAATTGAATAATAGCATCTGAATCAGAAATTAATTACACCAAGATATATCGATGAAAATCGAAAAACAGAAAAGAAAACATGGCCCCAACTATTAAAGAGCATCTATATCATAAAAGAATTTCTGGAGCTTCGATCACATTCTAGAGTTGCCCACTTCGTCTTGGGAGAGAGAGATTCACCAAGATATATGTACTTCTCGAAAATCCTGTTAGAGTCATTCTCATATCGATAAATGATGGTTTACTTATTTGACTATAACAAACGTTTAAACAACGGCTTTTCATATCATATGATCAGTAAATAGGTTACTATAAGAATAAACTAGATCGACAAAAAGCAATTGAATAGGGGAAAAAAATTACATTCAGACTTTATGCCCTCTTTTATTGTACGGGAACAAAAAAATACAACAAAATCCAAAATGACCAAATTAAATCAGAGGAGATACAACATCCACACCCACAAAAAAAGAAAAGAAAATAAAGTTGACCACTAAAAGAGTTGGTTCCGATGTTCGACAAACTTGATCAGTAGCCAAAGCCATCAATCTTCCAACCTCCTCAGGAACATACAGAAACTCAACAATTAAGTCGCACCAAACACTTAGCGAACGCGTCATACTTCCCTCCTTCTTCTTCTTCTTTTGAGCGATACTTTCGTTCCACTTTTGTGTTACATTCCCCTCTAATTTGATGGTACGAGCGGCCGCGGCTGATATCTTCAGCCAGCAGCCGCGCATGGAAGTCGTTAAAGATAACATAAGGAATCCGATCGGAAAGGAGATGCAAGAATTTTGTACCATCTTCTGCTGCCTGTTCAAAAGCTGGAATCTCAGTGGGCCAAAAAGAAATACAATCAATATCATAGTATTGGAGCTTGGCTACCATATCACTGTAGGAGAAAATAATTTCCTTGGAAGGGTTTTTAATAGCAAAATTGACATTCCATCCAGCACTAATGTTGTATCCTTCCGTAAGATTCAAAGGGCTACAACACGAAATTGTGGTTAATTCGAGGGGGAAAAGCGATGCCATATGGACTTTGAATTCCGGGATAACGATTCCATGTATCAGATTCATACCCTCCCACCAGAGAGAGTAACTAGAAATTTCAACAGTTGTGATAACGACGAGGAGTAACGGCGATACTAGCTATATACTTAGCAGACTCATAGGGCTCAACTCATCTTTCGTATTGGTATTGTGACCACGGTAATCATGCAGTAAAGGGGTGGTTTCGATGATCGAAATTGTGAAGGGACAAGCACACACACTCACACACTCACCAAAGAAAAAAGGGGTTCAAGAGTCCAAACTTGTTTTAGGGTTCTATATATATGTATATACTTTTTCCTAGTAATTCAGATTTTTGATCGAATTAAGTTAGAAAACTTAAATTGCTGAAGTATATTACTCATATATTATTACGATTCTAATTCTAACTATTGTTCACATCTAATATAAATTTTATGCTAGTAGTTACTTTCTCCGTCCTAAAAAAATAGTTGAGGGAATATAATGGTGGTGATATAGTAGATAGTTAAATGACACGATGGAGTTAAAAAAAACCCTCGGGTGACAAAATAGTACTCCCTCCGTCCCACAAAAATAGTCTATATTGAAGTTTAAGTTTTGTACTGTTTTTAGTACAAATTTGAAAACTCAGTATGGATTTTTTTTGGGATGGAATTAGTAAAATTTATTGGGTAAAATCTTAGGTTAAAATTACAATTCACCAATTTACAATTTCTTTTTTCACAGTTTAGTTGAGGAGGATTGGCTGATTGCGGCGAATAAAGTTTTTTCTTTCGTGTCCCAAAATAAGCCTATTATAAAACAGCAGCCGCCTTGCAGTTCTAATTACTTTAACGTTTTCTAATCGCGCTTAATGAATTGGAAGAGTAAAAGTTTCTATGTCTTGATGCTGGGTTGCTTTTGGTTTAACACATCACTTATTCCTCCAAAATCAATAATTGTGTCCCGAAAATCAAAAATGTTTCTCCATAGAAACGGTAGATGGAACAAAGAGGTTTTTGGAGAGCATATGGAAAAACACTTATCCCACGGATGAAAATGTTCTTAGTCTGTGAAAGTTGCTAGATGTCATCGATGCTTGCTCTATGAAATTATAATGAAAATTGAACAAAAATATTGGTGTCTGGTCGGAATTCATTCATTCATTTCATTTAATCATTGAACTTTGAACTTAATTATGAGAACTGATTTTTTTTTGTTAGTGATGTTCATATTGAAATATCAAAAGTACAAAAATCATATGGTCGTGGCGTAAAAATAAACTGACAATAATAGTTTGTAACCGTTATGCCTAAATATACGTTCTTTTTCTTAAATAGCTTTTGAAAAAATTGGGACAAATGAATAATAGTTAGGGATGGATTCATTGCTAATAATATTGTTAGCAACCTTTTCATCCATTCATCATTATGAAGAGTTTGCTAATGCTGTTAATTAGCAATCTCTTCGTCCATTCATTATTATCAAAATATATTATAATTAGCGAATATGGGAAAGATTTTGGTAGTCATTCCATGACATCATTAAGTGAATAAAAAAATAATTTAGTTAGAAAGTGTTAATGTCTTTGAATATGGGAACTGAAAGGGTTAAAAGTTATGAAGATGTGTGAATGAATTATGTCCTTTATGTCTTACTAACTAAAACATGAATTACGATTAGTTATAACTACTATTTCATTTTTATATAAACATTTACCTTTTCAACTTCTCATATGATAATAGGACCACTGCCATTATGAAATAAAAGTAGTGACTTAAATGGCTATAAAAATTCTCATTAATTCGGATATGTAAAGTCATTTTAAATTATGAATGAACAAAAACCGTTACTTACATTTCTTGGGAATTGGACAGACAATAACGAATTTTTAAATGTACAAGACTTGTGTCATTTAACACCATAAGAATTTTTTCCCCTACTAAATCACACTCACTCAAAAACCCTCCTATTTCTCTCTCCCCTAGGAATTGATCTTCAGCGTAACCATAAGATATTTTTTCTCAGTCGAGCGTAAGATTATTTTCTTTCAAATTTTATGTGTTGAAATTTTCTTTTTATCCACTATCGGAAACCCATTACATACATGACTCATGCTTGTATGTTAATTTGAGTCATAACTACAAACATTTTTTGTACAAGCAAAGTTAACGATGATCTTCTAATCTATAGGAGATTCCGGAAAAACTAGGACACTTTATATGTGATGGTTTGTTTGTATACATAATTTCAAAATTTTTTTGGACCAAGTTTTAAATTAATATAACATTTTCTCTTTTCTTTTTTGTTATTGTAGTAATGTCACAAATCATAGTCAATCATAGTCAGTACGAGTGTGGATGCTTTGAGATTTCTTTTGTGTTTAAAGTGAGTATTCTAAAATATATTGAGATAAATCTGTAATTCTTTTGTTTGTTTTTCCATGAAACTATAGAATATCAAGAGTTACTTGGATTGTTTATATTGTGAGCTATCTAAAGTTAACAGGAATCAGGTGACGCTGAAAGATGTGCTTGCAAGGACTTAGTCGATAATTTTCACCCACACACTAAATTACTTAAGTTTCATTTAGATTTTGACATTTTCTTAAAATTGATATAAAAAAAAGTTTATACAATTTAATTTAAATGATTTAATCGTGCTTTAGTTTTTTTGTACCAAAACAATTGGTAATATATTAGCAGGTATTCTTTTGAAAATTAATATTTTTTTTAAAAAAAATCATTTTATACTTTATTTAATACAATAATTATAGCCCTAACAAAAGTAAAAATTTTGATCATATATACAATAATGTGAACCCGCGAAGCGGGTCCAATCCATAGTGTGAAGTAGTAATTGCTAATATTGTTAGCAACCTCTTCATCCATTGTATTGGTGGGACTGTGAGCCAAACCTTGGAACAAAAACAGCCTTGTCCCTTTATTAGTGTGCAAATAAATCCCTATATATACACAGCATTGAAGCTGTACAACAAACTGCCGCAAATGAACAAAAGTTCTGTTTGGCTTTCTGATGTATCCATATGTAAGCTAGTTTTCTGCTCCGAAGCTCAATGCCTGATGGAAATTTCCAACCATTCAGCCACTTTCCCCATTAAAACAGACTAAAAAGACATTTCTTTTTATCAGAAAAGCTAGTTGCACAAACTCTGCACTTTATTTTCTGCCTATACTATATATGGTGTGGGAGTCTCGGCCACACATCATGTCCTACTCGATCGAATTAAATCTTGTAAGATGTTCTTTTATGTTACACTTTCTATAATACAATAATACAACTGAAATATTCAAGGTGACCAATATCGTTAACTATTGATCAGACACTATATTTATCAAACACCACAAATTTCCACCATATGGCTGTAAAGAGAAAAAAACATAAACCCCTACGAGGATTCTTGATGGCCAAATCAACGTTCCATCCAGGGTTGTTATAAAATCTTATGTGCACATAAAACTAATTTACAAAATTCCAATTAACAAGCAAATCGATACACATATGTTATTACTGTACCTTAAAACTCAAAATAAAAAGGGGGAAGAAACTAATCGATACACATGGAGAATTATGTTCATTCATTTCAGTCAAAATGAAACTGAAACGTTGCAATTGTTATGCTGTCATGAATGATCAGTATGAATTGGCAGATTTAATTATAGTAATGGATTCATATCTATGCTTACACTTGATCAAACCAAAAAACAGAAAAAAAGAAGAAGCAGAGGTTGGAATACGTTTGAAAGACAAGATAAAATGTCACACCCGACACCAAAACCCTTGATAGTGACGTGTCGACACTACAGTATTCTCCCAAAACTGAAGAACTAAACCAGGTAACAAAGAGTCTAACAGGCTTATCTATATATATTGTGACAGAACTTCATATACAGGGACATGATAGACAGTGTTTGAAGCAAGCAATATAATTCACCATTTGCTGGAGGAAAAAAATGTTTTTACTGATCGCTCTTTCCTTAGAAAAACAATCCATCAATAATTCAATATCATGATATATATGACACTATATATTGTGCCTTCGATGTCATTAACCAGATTGTACTGCGGTTCAAAACTCAAGTTTGCTGTCCCTAGCTATAGTACAAATCTTTGTGTAATTAATCATGCTAATCTAGTTAGTAGTTTCCTGTGAGCTTGTATAATTGTTTTGGGGGTTTATGTGCACATTATACAATCATAAACCTCAGTAATGAAACTAAACCTTATTACTAAAAAGAGAAGAGAATAAAATGATGGGAAACCAAAGAAATGAAAAAACTGAAAACTACTAAATCAAGAGAATAATGAAAACTATATATTGAACCAACAAGATACCCTAGTATCCTTTTATCTACTACTTGGCATCCTGTTTTGGACTAGCATGAGAAAATAGACCAGAAAAAAGTTGCATAAGTACTATGATAAACTACATAATCTTCTAAACTTAAAAGTTTTCATAGAGGTCTAAATAAAATTGAATAGAGAAAAAAAAAAAAAACACAGGAAGAACAAGGAAAAGGGGATTAAAAAGCAAAAACCATCAATGGCTTGAGTACTCTAACCATTACTTTTTTGGTGAAGATGTCTTGCACATTGTTGGTGTTGCCAAAGCCATAAAATTACCCTCCTTGCACAAAAACTCCACATCTAAATAGCACTTAACATCCAAAGGTAGCTTCTTTCCTCCATCCCTTGTTGACGACTTTTGTGTTACATTCCCTAGTAACTGCACGTAGAAATCAGAAGACTTGCCAAAACTAACATCCCGGGCCATCCGATACGCCGCGATATCTTCCAAAAGGACATTATTTCTGGCGAAATTGAGATGCACAAACTCTGTAGTGTTTTCAGCCTGGTCAAAACCCGAAACCCTAGCAACCCATAAAGGATGACTAACCGACCAGAAATAAACATTGGCAACCAGGTCACCGTAAGACAAAAGATACTCCTCGGAAGGGTTTCTGACGGCAAAATTAACGTTCCATCCGGCAGTAACGTCGTAAGAGAGCGTAACATTCCATAAACCCAAATAATGAGCATTGATTTGCATCGCATAGATGGATGCCATCTCAACTTTGAATTCAGGGGTAACAATTGGGTTCGTATAATCATACATTTTGTGTCCCAAAATTCCAACGAAACAAGCAATCAAAATAACTGCAACACCAGCAATCACATCGACTTTGGTAACTAGGGTTTCATCATGAACACCATCACGGTCGTCATCATAACCATCATGAATGTTAGAAATATTTGTCCCAGATCGGGAAATACTATCATCATCATGATGATCGTCATAATCATTGTTGAGGGTTTGTTGATCCTTTACCTCGTACGGGTCGAAGTCAGAGCGTTGACTGCTATTAACTTCATCAACATCAACATCAACATCATCATCGCCGCCGCCATGGTAAAGTTCCCGGAAATATGCGCTCCAAAGTGAATCATCGGAAGAAATTTCGCGGTTCCCAAGACGTACCCTCATGGCTGATAACGAGATTATAACCCTGTATAATTCAGATTATTTTTGCAAAAGGAAGTGAATTTGCCTCCATATGTTTTTATTATATATCTAAATATATATGATAAAAATAATAATAGTATAATAATACAATAACGGCGACTGAGAATTACCCCACCAAAAGGGAGAAACCCTAAAAAGTTTACCGTAGGTAATTGTTTTTAACAAGATTAATCACGTACATTCAAATTCAATCATGATATATACGAACTCTTTCTTTTTTCTTTTTTTTTTAAAAAATTAAATCTAGGGCGAAACCGTTTTTTTTTATAAAAAAATCCACCCTAGTGGACCGTACTTAAACGTGGGTAAAGTCCCCCTTACAACTCCTAGTGGGAATCAAACCCTGATCTATTACCAGGAAGGATAGCAACCTTACCACTAGACTGTCATTCAATTCTCTAAGGGCGACACCTAACTAGCAGCTTTTTCCTAATTTTATTAAATAAAAAATAAAACATGCAGAAGTCTATTCCTCAAATTGAGATGTGATTCCGGCTGTTTTTGATTTGGCCAATGTATGTGTTTGCGTGAAAATTGTACACCTGAAATTGTGAAAAAAAAAGGAACAAGAATCACCCAAAACACATTTAAATCAGACGATTGCGGTTGAGTTTGAACCGGCCTCAGACTAGGATCGAGAACTTAGGGTTATTGGTTTGAGTTTGAGAAAAATGGGTATGAACTTAGAGAAAGTGGAGAAAAACCGAAGAGACGGCATTTGACTCATAAAGTGAAAAATCCTAGCGCCGGCAAACTATAGATGGTGCTGATGACATGCTATTACATAGAAAGCAAAGATATTAGCGCCGACTAGACCTTGTCGATGACACGTTATGACACAGAAGACAGAGACAGGACAGACGTGCAAAGGATAGTCCGACATATATAAGTGCTAGAACACTTATTACAGCATAACCGAATTCATTGGAGGAGAAAACCGTGAACACCTACCTAATTCTATATAGGAGAAAAAGAAAAACAACTCTATTGCTAAGTTAGGGGCTAAGCAAGCATGATAGAACGTGATGAACTACCACAGGGAAGATAAAAACATGATAATCTAAAAGAAAACCAGTTGTATGGTTGATTGGTGATATTTCTCTTCATGGCGGCCTTTATTTATAGTGTTTGGATGAAACCCTTACTGCCCTATAATTTCTTGGAGAAAAGGTAGCTTAACATGGTCAATTTCCTTGAAAATGTGACTATTCCCGCAGCAGTCTCTCAATCGGTTGATGACTCTTCTCACAATCAGTTCTTAATTTGGTAGTAGAATCATTTCTAAATATATCTCTTTAATTATTGGTAATTTTTCTTATTAAAAGGAGCAAGAAACAAAGAAGAATCTTCCTTGCCAATTAATCACGCAGTCAATTTTGGAGCAAATCTATTCCCACTCGGCTTCTACTTTCCTTCTCTAATTCTTTTTTTTTTTTTTTTGCATATCTACAGAGTGTCCACCGTCGGCTCAGTGACTAATCTCCCTCGCTGAATTGTAGGCACCTCGATGGGTGGGACAGCTAGCCAAAGTACTTTCTTTCTCTAATTCTGAAACTGTTCACACTCAACCAGTTCATATTGACCCCAAACATATTTTGACCACTTTAGAGTTATTTTTATTACCTTAAAATCTCCTCCATGTCCATATAAATTAACCAAAACTCATGGACCATCATAAACATCACTCGTCGGCCCAAATCGTCAAAAACTGGCCGAACAGTATGTGCAGTAGTTCACTTTTCTGTATACAAAGATCTAATGAAACCTAATGTATATGCATTTACACAAAAATATAATTTGAATATTTCAAGTTTACAAATCGGTAATTTAGATATCATAAGCAAATTAAATAAAACCTTTGAAATGATTAAAAAAAAATGCATACGCTTAATTAAGCGGACCAAATGATCCAACATTCTTTGATATAACCAAAGGTGCCACATAATTAAGTATAGTTGTGCCGTTCAGATTTCAGAGTTTAAACTCATGATGACATGATGTAGTAGTATATATATGTATAATTCGAGACCTGGCATGGAAATGCAGTAACTTTTTAATCTTTGATATTTGGTTAGTTGTCACATTTATCCCCCCAAAAAAAAAAAAAACTTAATTACAATTTCTCGAGTGGATTAGTCATTATGTCGATGATGCAAAAATCCATTGTCATTTCAGTTTGTTATTTTTTTCCTACTTCATGAATGAAATTGCCTCGAAACGAAAGGCTCTAAAATCATAGAATTGCTAATTGGGATTGCTCTGAGCTTAATTCAAGCTTGCCGCGAATAAATCTATAAATTGTTGAAACTCAAAAAAAAGCTCCAACTAGGCTTGAAACTTTTTTGTTCATGAAGTGATGAGAGAAAGGCCGAGCTACCAATTAGATAACCTCCAAAAAAAAAAAAAAAACAAAGAAAAAGAAGCTTTTGTTATTTTATATCCAGCAATTAAAGAAAATCGCCATCAAATGAGACCAATATGCTATAATAACACCTTAAAAGTGAATTGGATTCTGTAGAAAATATTTAATTTTGATTATGTTATTTAATTGGAAAACGATATTGTAAACTTTATGTTTTTTTTTTTCTAAAAAAAATGAAACAAAAATCTAGTCCACAAAATGTTTACGGATTTGAATTTGAGATACGGTTAAATTTGTGATAAAATAATAGAGAGAATAAGGTGGAATCAGTAAGTGAATTTTGAATGCCCGTGGTTAAAATTTTATAAGTTTCCTTCTCTAGCTTTCTTTCCTAATAACTTGTTTTCTCATTCGACACAGTTGGAGGTAAAAAAAGATCACATTTTTCATAAATGAGGGAGTCCTCGTCCCGGTTTAGTTCAAACGACTCCAAGCCAAGGTAGCCATGGAAAGGACGCTTATGGCGGCTATGAAGAGGAAATGCAATAGTGACGGAATAAACGTGAAATTTTTTTCCAAGGTTTGGATTGATCATTGCTAGCTTTCAAACTGCACTAATGGCCTATGTTAATCATGTTTCCCAAAATGTCACTATCTTCAACTCCCAGTTCACTCGCTATTAATATATTCTTGTGATGTGTATATAATTAATTTTACTTTTTGTGCAAACTATATATATATATATATATATATATATATAATGAATTGGAAGCAGAGTTTTACTCCCTCCGACTTTTAATATTAGATATTTTAATTGGTCATAAGTTCCACCTAGTTTGTATTTTTAATTGACAAAAAAATTTTAAAAATATAATTTCACATTCGTTGTGTTATCTTAATTTTTAAGAAATATTTTAAAAAAAATTTTGTCAATTAAAAATACGTGATAAGTGAAGCTTAAAACAAATTAAAATGTCTTACATTAAACATCGAAGATAGTATCATTTTAGGCCCATAAGAACCTTACAAGTTAAAACCCCTCGTGTTTGGTAACTCAGTAGGGTACTAGCTAGCTAGTTACTATATATATATATATATATATATATATATATATTATCAACTACCTCTAAATGAATGGGCATTGGGAAGAAAAATAAATAAATATCATTTTCTTCAATTAAGTAAAGTTTTGAAGAATAGATATCTGAATATGAATATGTTAATGCTTTATCATTTGTATCCAAGTGATTTTTCTTGGCTATACCGGTACTTATGTACAAAATAAGGTTTTGAAAGTAACTATCGTATTCAACTATTTTGATCCCGGACTCAAAGAAAGGATGCCAGAGGTAAAATTATAGACTCTTGATAAATAGTTAAACGCACCACATGTACTACTTAATAAATTATTATTAGTTAATATCATCACTACATAAAATAATATTTGTAACAGTTAAGTTAACTTCAATTGAAATATTATTAGCACATTTCAGAAATAACGTAAGCATGGTGAGATGAAAAGTCGGAATGGAGAAAGAGCATTTGACATGTCAGTAGTTACTGCTAAAGAACCAAATTTCTAGATTCTTGAAACGAAGGGGAAGAAAAAAGAAAAAGAAAGAATGAACACCACAATTTTATTCATGAAATATCCTTATTCTAAAAGTGTCACCAATTTTTGACACCTGATTTCCTCTTTCTGTATAGATGAAAATTACAAAAAAAAAAAATTATAAAAAAATTTCCCAACTAACAAAATTGTGTAACTTTATTATGGACAAAGCAATTTGAATATATATTAGTATATAATTTTGGGGGTAAGGCAGTGTGGTCAAGCCTTCTTAATAACCTCATTTACGATATTAGTAGCTGTATAAGCTTCATCGGCGAGACGTTTGGCATCTTGAACAACTTTACCGTCACCGTCATAAGAGTCAGCACAATCACCTATATTGGATGAAGCTTCAAGCAAGTCCCCAGCTTTGATGGAATTTATGGCTAAAGGAAGGTAGGTAAGACAAGTATCATGACGTTGGGGGTCATTCTTGCGTTGAATATAGTTTAGAGCAGCTTCGACTTTTAACCGAGCCTGATCAGTGGCCTTTGCCTTCCATACTGGGGACTTGAAATCCGTGGGCGTGGAAGAAACAGTGCCTTTAAGCAATGTAACACAATATTTGGCGTCGGAAGTGCCTTGGCAAATCTCTTGAAGGGTGGTAGCGGAGGCGTCTGCCACCACCAGAAAGAGTAGTGCCAGTAACAAAGGAGTTGCGATTTTTGCCATCTTTGATATTTTTGCTTGTGTTATTTTTGTTGTCGAAGAAGATAGATGTCAATATGAAATAAACACTAAACCACCCGTGTATTTATAGTAAATGATTATTGAGTCTTATTTCTGGGATTCACAAGCTGAGGTATGTGGTGGGAAATTTGGGACACTCTCTTAATTGTAGCAGATACTTGCGTTAGGCCTAGAGACTCATGCAAGATGTAGCGTTTTCGTCTAGTACTATAGGGCTAGTATTTGTCATTGTGTAGGAATCTGATAAAGTCAAATATTTTGTTGGACGATAGATGGTAAAATAATTAATGATGAGAATATTGATTTTTTTTCCTTTTAATTACGTACTACTCAATTTCATTTAGAATAAAACATATAAATTTCTCGTAGGCTCTTATTAACACGGATGATTGGGGACACAACTAGGCAGGCAGAGGACCCGCGCTGGAAGTGAGAGCCAAAACAAGTGATGCCTTGACCACCCGGAACTTTTGAGTCAGACTATAAGCTGGCTCCCCGTTTTCGACACCAGACGAAACAAAAACGGCTCCGTTCATAAACAAGTCCCTCTTGCTAGTCCATCTCCACTTATTCCATTCTTGCTCGGTATTGTGACCCTGTCTCTTTGTCACCTGCAGAAAAGGATTTCAATTTGGTTACACATACCATTACGTACCAACAAAAAAAAAGGAAAAAAAATGTTGATCAAATGAAACTATTAATTAACACAGTTTAATGGAAATGTAACGCTCCGGCAATTGCATTGATTGATTTACCTCCTTGCGCTTGAGATTACCGGAAGCACACGAAAATAGTTTTCACTTAGTATGGTAGGATCGCAACTTCCACCAATTGCGTACAGTAGCCAATGTTCATAGTTGCTGTTAACTACGTGCACGTATCTATACCGAATCCTACAGCCAGGGGTAGAACTTAATTTTTATATCGTTTTTGAATACATTTAAAATTTGTTCACAATTTAGTGCGAGCAAGAATCTTAATTACCTAGCTATAGTTAGAGTATTACGGTACATATTTACCAAATATATTAGCATAATATAGAATATTATAGTGCGTGATTGAATATGACATTTATAAATTTTTTTTTTTTTACCTTGGCATCCTTTCATTTAGTCCCGGACCAAAATGGTTGAAGGCGACAGTTACTTTCATAACTTTATCTTGTACATACTTATCGTGATGGCCAAGCAGCATCACCTGCATGCAAATAGTAAATTCTTTAAGTACAATTCAAATATCGATAACATACATATACATTCTTCAAAACATACTACTTAAGTGAAAGAAAAGCACAAATTAGTAGGTAGTGATTCTTTTTAGATACGCATTTAGAGCTCTGATTCTTATGATAACCTTTAAATAGTAGTAGTTGTAGTAGGCCATCATATGGTATCCTTTGAGTTACCAACTCAAGTTAGTTTAACAACACAAATTTGTATGCCTGAAATAATGACAAACTCAACTTCCAGTTAATGCATGCTATATAATTTTCTAAAAATAAAAAATTAAAAAAAAATCAACAACAAGAACATCAAGGATGAGACTTTAAACCTTGACATGGTTAGTGAACCGAGAGTTGAAGATGGTGACATTATTGGATGCATGATTCACATCAATAAGTCCATCTGTGCAGTTGGATAGATAGCAATGATCTATCCAAATGTGAGAGGAATTTTTTATGTTGACAGCATCGCCACTGCATTCATGCTCATCTTCACTGCATCCGGCCTTTCCACGGCTAGCAAGTGTTGGAGGTATTTGAACTAAACCCACTCGTCTTTGGCAATCGTGAATGTTGATTCCATGAATGATAACATGTTTAACATTCTCTATTCCAATGCAAGGTCCTCTTGTGATCTCCACTCGGACTCCTCTCCCATCAACGGTCTTGTGGCTGTGTATCATAAGTTCCTTCTTGAGAGTTATAACCATATCCCGTTGGAAAACTATCCAAAGGAGTTCTTCTCGAGTCACACCAAATCGCAGGGTTCCGTTCTAATACCTCCAACACTTAGCCCTCCATCCTTTGAGTTACTAACTCAAGTTAGTTTAACAAAAAACTAATGGCCAAAAAACATTCTATAAAAAAAAATAAACATTCTTCTAATGGGCAGAGGTAATGTGTTATGGCCAAAAAACATATCATCCTTTGCTACAACTCTACCAACCTTAGCCCTCCATCCCCCATTCCTATCAAAGCATCTTCTCTGCATGGGATAAGTTATGGTGATGTCTAGCTAGGGCGGAATGTAAACATGTAGATTGTTTCAGTTTCTTAAAAATAAGTTCACAAAACCATATCCATTTGTTTGATAACATAAGTGGACAGACTTTTAGCAATGTGTCTATTTTTAATCCATGCAATCACACCGTTTCCCCCTCATTGTAACGCTCGCGCTTAGTTACCGTCCTTATAAAATAGTAATTTGTCATTCCGTTTTAATTAAGAAACTTGGCTCTTTTCTTGGATGAAAGGGTTCAGTATTCTCAATGTTACTTTGACGAGTATATATATTCTTTTTTTTTACGTACACAAATATGAGTCAATTTTTTTTTGGTACAATGAAGGAGGTGAATGCCTTAATATTACACAACTACATTCTGTTGGTATGAAATACCAACAATATCATGATCTAATCATGGTTTTAAACTCGTGGGGTGACTCGTCAAGCCATGAAAGTATAACATGAGTATAGGCCTATTAATTTCTAATCGGAAAAAAAAATATCGTGTACTATCAAGCTGTGAACACACATAACGAGAGTCTAAATTCATAATTAATTCAACATTAACTTCTACCTTTATCGGGTTGTAATATATATATATATATATATATAAGAAATGTTTTCCTTCTTTTACGAGGGAGTTAGAAGTAAGTTTAATTTCGCTAGGGGATTGCCATAACATCCACTGAGAGCTACTTATATATGTACTAATGCAATATTTATTAATTATTCTATTAGGTGGTTTAATCTCTTTTAAATTTTGAATGTAACTTACAATACAAAATTTTAAATGAATAAACATTTTAAATTTTTGCAATTAATCTCATGTTTGCAGTAACTAGCTAGTTAGGTAGATCTCACCGACAACATATTTCGTCTGTATTATAGATAAGTGGATGAAGGGTATTCTTACCATAGTCCAAATGATAGTTCTGTCTAATTTTTATTTTTAATTTAACTCGTGATATGAATAAAAATTCAAACAAAACAACCATTTTGTGGCTAGAAGTTAAATGTGAGATTTAGAACACCTCTATAAATAATAAGAAAAAAAGGTGCACAACACCCCATTTGAAACATTTATTGCGTGCGTGTAGAAAAAGATGAAAACAAAAAGAAAAAAAATCATCTTCCATGTTCGATCACCTAAATATTTATTTTTAACAATTAAAATGGGCTAGTGGAAATGTACTTTTCAAATAAATAAACTGCTATAAAAACTAAAAGGGCTCCTCTTTATGTTGTGTAACGGAAAAATTAATCAACCTGCCACCCCACCCCCTCACATGCAGGAAAAAAAAGACTGAAATTGAACTTCACAATTCTTTGTAATAAACAAATTTATGTGCCAAAGATTCTATGGAATGTAACCTCTCAAACAATGGTTTTTGGGTTTTGACCTCAAAACATTTTAGTTCTTTTCTGTTTTTTTTTTTTTTTTTTTTGTGAGTTAGAAATCTTTGACTCAAATCTAGCCTTGAGATGATGGGTTTTGGTACAAATGATTAGTAACATGGATAGCTCTTCATTATCATACAATCTCTCATATTTGTTATGAACATGTTATAATGATTTGATACTAGTAGATGGATGTGGATATGGATGACAGCAATTTTTGGACTAATCTCTACAAGAATGTGGTGAATAGTTTGTGGGTTTTATAGATGGAATACTTTTAGTATTTTGAACAATGTTCTTCTTAATCAACACCTCACCGAAATCTTCCTAGTGAGTGAAAATCAATTATTAAAACCCATTTGTCCATTAATTAACCCAGTTTTATGAAATTGCGTTGATTAATTTACCTCCTTGCGCTTGGGATTATCGAAAGCGCGAAAATAGTTCGCTTCACTTAGTATGTTAGGATTGCAACTTCAACCAATTGCGTAAAGTAGCCAAGGTTCGTAGTTGTTGTTAACTATGTGCACGTATCCATACTGAAGCATGCAGCCAGGGGTAGAACTTAATTTTTATATCGTTTTTTAATACATTTAAAATTTGTTCACAATTTATTGCAGACAAGAATCTTAATTAGCTAGCTATAGTTAGAATATTATAGTACATATTTACAAAATATATTATGGTACATATTTACAAAAAAAAAAAAGACTGAAATTGAACTTCACAATTCTTTGTAATAGAAAAATTTATGTGCCAAAGATTCTATGGAATTAAACCTCTCGAACAATGGTTTTTGGGTTTTGAACTCAAAACATTTTAGTTCTTTTCTGTTTTTTTTTTTTTGGTGAGTTAGAAATCTTTGACTCAAATCTAAACTTGAGATGATGGGTTTCGGTACAAATGATTCGTAACATGGATAGCTCTTCATGATCATACAATCTCTCATATTTGTTATGAACATGTTATAATGATGTGATACTAGTAGATGGATGTGGATATGGATGACATCAATTTTTGGAGTAATCTCTACAAGAATGTGGTGAATAGTTTGTGGGTTTTATGGATGGAATACTTTTAATATTTTGAACAATGCTCTTCTTAATCAACACCTCGCTGAAATCTTCCTAGTGAGTGAGAATCAATTATCAAAACTCATTTGTCCATTACTTAACCCAGTTTTATGGAATTGCGTTGATTAATTTACCTCCTTGCGTTTGGGATTATCGAAAGCGCGAAAATAGTTGGCTTCACTTAGTATGTTAGGATTGCAACTTCAACCAATTGCGTACAGTAGCCAAAGTTCGTAGTTGTAGTTAATTATGTGCACGTATCCATACCGAAGCATGCAGCTAGGGGTAGAACTTAATTTTTATATCATTTTTTAATACATTTAAAATTTGTTCACAATTTATTGCGGGCAAAAATCTTAATTAGCTAGCTATAGTTAGAATATTATGGTACATATTTACCAAATATATTACCGTAATATAGAATATTATAGTGCATGATTGAGGATGACATTTATAAATTTTATTTTATTTTTTTTACCTCGGCATCATTTCGTTTAGTCCCTGACCAAAATGGTTGAAGGCGACAGTTACTTTCATAACTTTATCTTGTACATACTTATCGTGATGGCCAAGTAGCATCACCTGGATGCAAATAGTAAATTCTTCAAGTACAATTCAAATATCGATAACATACATATACATTCTTCAAAACATACTACTTAAGTGAAAAAAAAAGCACAAATTAGTAGGTAGTGATTCTTTTTAGATACGCATTTAGAGCTCTGATTCTTATGATGATTTTAAATAGTAGTAGTTGTAGTAGGCCATCATATGGTACCCTTTGAGTTACCAACTCAAGTTAGTTTAACAACACAAATTTGTATGCCTGAAATAATGACAAACTCAACTTCCAGTTAATGCATGCTATATAATTTTCTAAAAATAAAAAATTAAAAAAAAACCAACAACAAGAACATCAAGGATGAGACTTTAAACCTTGACATGGTTAGTGAACCGAGAGTTGGAGATGGTGACATTATTGGATGCATGATTCACATCAATAAGTCCATCTGTGCAGTTGGATAGATAGCAATGATCTATCCAAATGTGAGAGGAATTTTTTATGTTGACAGCATCGCCACTGCATTCCTGCTCATCTTCACTGCATCCGACCTTTCCACGGCTACCAAGTGTTGGAGGTATTTGAACTAAACCCACTCGTCTTCGGCAATCGTGAATGTTGATTCCATGAATGATAACATGTTTAACATTCTCTATTCCAATGCAAGGTCCTCTTGTGATCTCCACTCGGACTCCTCTCCCATCAACGGTCTTGTGGCTGCGTATCATAAGTTCCTTCTTGAGAGTTATAACCATATCCCGTTGGAAAACTATCCAAAGGGGTTCTTCTCGAGTCACACCAAATCGCAGGGTTCCGTTCTAATACCTCCAACACTTAGCCCTCCATCCTTTGAGTTACCAACTCAAGTTAGTCTAACAAAAAACTAATGGCCAAAAAACATTCTATAAAAAAAAATAAACATTCTTCTAATGGGCAGAGGTAATGTGTTATGGCCAAAAAACATATCATCCTTTGCTACAACTCTACCAACCTTAGCCCTCCATCCCCCATTCCTATCAAAGCATCTTCTCTGCATGGGATAAGTTATGGTGATGTCTAGCTAGGGCGGAATGTAAACATGTAGATTGTTTCAGTTTCTTAAAAATAAGTTCACAAAACCATATCCATTTGTTTGATAACATAAGTGGACAGACTTTTAGCAATGTGTCTATTTTTAATCCATGCAGTCACACCGTTTCCCCCTCATTGTAACGCTTGCGCTTAGTTACCATCCTTATAAAATAGTAATTTGTCATTCCGTTTTAATTAAGAAACTTGGCTCTTTTCTTGGATGAAAGGGTTCAGTATTCTCAATGTTACTTTGATGAGTATATATATTCTTTTTTTTTTACGTACACAAATATGAGTCAATTTTTTTTTTTTGGGTACAATGAAGGAGGTGAATGTCTTAATATTACACAACTACATTCTGTTGGTACGAAATACCAACAATATCATGATCTAATCATGGTTTTAAACTCGTGGGGTGACTCGTCAAGCCATGAAAGTATAACATGAGTATAGGCCTATTAATTTCTAGTCGGAAAAAAAAATATCGTGTACTATCAAGCTGTGAACACACATAACGAGAGTCTAAATTCATAATTAATTCAACATTAACTTCTACCTTTATCGGGTTGTAATATATATATATATATATATATATATATATATATATATATATAAGAAATGTTTTCCTTCTTTTACGAGGGAGTTCTAGTAAGTTTAATTTCGCTAGGGGATTGCCATAACATCCACTGAGAGCTACTTATATATGTACTAATGCAATATTCATTAATTATTCTATTAGGTGGTTTAATCTCCTTTAAATTTTGAATGTAACTTACAATACAAAATTTTAAATGAATAAACATTTTAAATTTTTGCAATTAATCTCATGTTTGCAGTAACTAGCTAGTTAGGTAGATCTCACCGATAACATATTTCGTCGATATTATAGATAAGTGGATGAAGGGTATTCTTACCATTGTCAAAATGATAGTTTTGTCTAATTTTTATTTTTAATTTAACTCGTGATATGAATAAATTCAAACAAAACAACCATTTTGTGGCTAGAAACGAAATGTGAGATTTAGAACACCTCTATAAATAATAAGGAAATGAGGTCCACAACACCACATTTGAAACATTTGTTGGGTGCGTGTAGAAAAAGATGAAAACAAAAAGAAAAAAAGAAATCATGTTCCATGTTCAATCACCTACATATTCATTGTTAACAATTAATCAACCCCCCCACAAAAAAAAAAGACTGAAATTAAACTTCACAATTCTTTGTAGTAAACAAATTTATGTGCCAAAGATTCTATGGAATGTAACCTCTCAAACTATAGTTTTCGGGTTTTGACTTCAAACATTTTAGTTTTTTTTTTTTTGTATTTTCGGTGAGTTAGAAATCATTGACTCAAATCTAGCCTTGAGATAATGGGTATTGGTACAAATGATTAGTAACAGGGATAGCTCTTTCTGATCATATAATCTCTCATATTTGTTATGGACATGTTATAATAATTCGATACTAGTAGATTGATGTGGATGTGGATGACATCAATTTTTGGAGTAATCTCTACAACAATGTGGTGAATAGTTTGTGGGTTTTATGGGTGGAGTACTTTTAAATAGTATTTCGAACAATGCTCTTCTTAATCAACACCTCACCGAAATCTTCCTAGTGAGTGAGAATCAATTATCAAAACTCGGCTGCGGATTGGCAATGGGGCACCTACTCAAATCCATAGATTTAGAAAATATTGCATACTTTTCAGAAGTTGTAAAAGTTTAGTCTCATCATTTTTTTTCATTTAATCCTTTTTATTATTCTTTATTATCTAGTGAGTGAAACTAATATTTGTCATTTTATTCTACTAGGTGTTAGACACGTCCGATGGAAGGGGAGAACATACACATATAGACGTTACAACAAAAGCAAAGCAAAAAATATCAATATTTTTTTTTATAGATTTTGTATTTTTTATAAAATGTAGGATGAATTCATTGAAAAATATAAGACACTAACATCAACTATGCTTTACTAAATGACTACGGTGATTATTTATTTAATGCAAAGAGGATTATTAAGAAATTCAAATAAAAAAATATATAAAAAAATGAAAAAGAATGAACTTCGAATTGAATAATTATGTATCCTGCAGTACTTCGTTGTAGACTGAATTTATAGTCTTGTAATTGACATTACTATATTCATTGCATATTAAAACCTCTATTTCTTGTCGTAATCAACTCTTGTTTTCAGTACTTTTATTTTATTCTTTTCCTTTTAAATATATAATGTACTATCACCTGATCTTATTATTTTTTAACCCATTTGTCCATTAATTAACCTAGTTTTATGGAATTGCGTTGATTATACCTCCTTGCTCTTGGGATTATCGAAAGCGCGAAAATAGTTGGCTTCACTTAGTATGTTAGGATTGCAACTTCAACCAATTGCGTACAGTAGCCAAGGTTCGTAGTTGATGTTAACTACGTGCACGTATCCATACCGAAGCCTGCAGCCAGGGGTAGAACTTAATTTTTATATCATTTTTTAATACATTTAAAATTTGTTCACAATTTAGTGTGGGTAAGAATCTTATAGTTACAATATTACGGTACATATTTACCAAATATATTACTGTAATATAGAATATTATAGTGCGCGATTGAAGATGACATTTATAAATTTTCTTTTTTTTTTTTACCTCAGTATCCTTTCGTTTAGTCCCGGACCAAAATGGTTGAAGGCGAAAGTTACTTTTATAACTTTATCTTGTACATACTTATCGTGATGGCCAAGCAGTATCACCTTGACGCAAATAGTAAATTCTTTAAGTACAATTCAAATATCGATAACATACATATATATTCAAGTGGATCTTCGGAATTATTTGCGAGCTAAAGTATTTCGGGTTGCTTGGAATCCTCCGCTTCCAAATTCTTTTTTTCTTAACTCGGATGGCTCCTCATATTTGGGGGATGCGGGATATGGTTTTGCTATTAGAGGTTCAAGGGGAGCTTTCTTATATGGAGAATGTGGCTACTAGGGTGGCGGGGATAGTTTTCTTGCTGAAATGCTTGGGTACTGTTTGGATTGAGGAAATGTGCGCAGCTGAATCTTCATAGTGTGGAGGTGCAAATGGACAACAAAGTTTTGTCTAAGGCTTTCATTGGGGGAATGGGCTTTCCTTGGAAATATCTCTTGTATATGCAAGAGATTCAATCATTGCTACAAGGGAATGAGTTTACAATAACTCATATCTTTAGATAATCAAATTCAGTTGCTGACGGACTTGCAAAAATGGCTGTTCTCGGAGATTCGCAAGTTTTTCTTTCTATGAATTCATTGCCAAGAGATGTTAAAGAATTGTTGATTTTAGATCAACTTTCCTTTCCTTATTTTAGGCGCAGGGTTGTTTGATGTAATAGTGGTTAGATCATACTCTGCCACTTTTCATTTTGGAATTTAATAAAAATTATCGGGTGCGATGGAACTAGGGAACTATATAATATATATGTCCATCCCTTGGGTAGACCCCTTGAGTTTTTTTGAGTAAGAAGGACCTGAAAGCCAGCCTAGCCTAAATGTTTATAAAAAAGAAAACATACATATACATTCTTCAAAACATACCAATTATGTGAAAGAAAAGCACAAATTAGTAGGTAGTGATTCATTTTAGATACGCATTTAGAGCTCTGATTCTTATGATGACTTTTAAATAGTAGTTGTAGTAGGCCATCATATGGTACCCTTTGAGTTACCAACTCAAGTTAGTTTAACAACACAAATTTGTATGCCTGAAATAATGACAAACTCAGCTTGCAATTAATGCATGCTATATAATTTTCCAAAAACAAAAATTAAAAAATTCCACAACAAGGATGAGACTTTAAACCTTGACATGGTTAGTGAACCGAGAGTTGGAGATGGTGACATTATCGGATGCATGATTCACATCAATAAGTCTATCTGCGCATTTCAATAGATAGCAATGATCTATCCAAATGTGAGACGAATTTTTGATGTTTATAGCATCACCACCGCATTCCTACTCATCTTCACTGCAACCGGCCTTTCCACGGCTAGCAAGTGTTGGAGAGATTTGAACTAAACCCACTCGTCTTCGGCAATCGTGAATGCTGATTCCATGAATGATAACATGTTTGACATTCTCTATTCCAATGCAAGGTCCTCTTGTGATTTCCACTCGGACTCCTCCCCCATAAACGGTCTTGTGGCTGCGTATCATAAGTTCCTTCTTGAGAGTTATAACCATATCCCGTTGGGAAACTATCCAAAGGGGTTCTTCTCAAATCACACCAAATCGTAGGGTTCCATTCTTAGGATCGAGGACATTGTCGGATTCGTCCGTCACAAGGTATATCTCACCGTTGCGCCCTCTCATAGCATTTTGGCGGAAGCCAAAACCACAATCTGCTAAGGATCTTTGATTGGTCTCCCAATCTGGTTTTGATTGCCAACATGAATCTATTGGATTCATCATCATGTCCATTCTTTGATAATTGTTTTTCATAATAAAAGATGTAAAAGTGTGGTTGGCGATATTTATCTCCCCGGGAGGACATTGGAGTTCTGGAACTGATTTGGTCTCCATACCCGTGGAGAGAAAACAAGTTATTAACAAACTAAGTAAAAATAGGAAACTCATTTTACAAATCAACCCCAAAGGTAACAAAGTGCAGGTGTTTGAGAAAATGGAATCCCTTGTTTTTTTTTCCTTCGGGTTTCGGGCTCCACTACTACTACTACAACAACTATATATAAAGAGATATACATACTTAAATTTTGAATTGGGCAGAGGTAATGTGTTATGGCCAAAAAAAACATATCATCATTTGCTATAACTCTAGCAAACTTGGCCCTCCATCCCCCATTCCTATCAAAGCATCTTCTCTGCATGGGATAAGTTATGGTGATATCTAGCTAGGGCGGAATGTAAACATGTAGATTGTTTCAGTTTCTTAAAAATAAGTTCACAAAACTATATACATTTGTTTGATGACATAAGTGGACAGACTTTTAATTATGTGTCTATTTTTAATCCATGCAATCACACCGTTTCCCCCTCATTGTAACGCTCACGCTTAGTTACCGTCCTTATAAAATAGTAATTCGTTTTAATTAAGAAACTTGGCTCTTTTCTTGGATGAAAGGGTCCAATATTCTCACTGTTAGTTTGATGAGTATATATCTTTTTTTTTACGTACACAAATATGAGTCAACTTTTGCTTTTGGTACAATGAAGGAGGCGAATGCCTTAATATTACCCTACTACATTCTGTTGGTACGAAATACCAATAATATCATGATCTAATCATGATTTTAAACTCGTTTAGTGACTCGTCAAGTCATGAAAGTATAACATAAGTATATGCCTATTAATTTCTAGTCGGGAAAAAAAAATATCGTCTACTATCAACCTGTGAACACACATAACACGAGTCTAAATTCATAATTAATTCAAGATTAACTTCTACCTTTCTCGGGTTGTAATATATATATATATGAGAACTATTTTCCTTCTTTTACGAGGTAGTTAGAAGTAAGTTTAATTTCGCTAGGGGATTGCCATAACATCCACTAAGAGCTACTTATATATGTACTAATGCAATATTCATTAATTATTCTATTAGGAGGTTTAATCTCTTTTAAATTTTGAATGTAATTTATAAAACAAAATTTTAAATGAATAAACATTTTAAATTTTTGTAATTAATCTCATGTTTGCAGTAACTAGCTAGTTAGGTAGATTTCACCGACAGCATATTCCGTCTGTATTACAGATAAGTGGATGAAGGGTATTCTTACCATAGTCAAATGATAGTTCTGTCTAATTTTTATTTTTAATTTAGCTTCTGATATGAATAAAAATTCAAACAAAACAACTATTTTGTGGCTAGAAATTAAATGTGAGATTTAGAACACTTCTATAAATAATAAGGAAAAGAGGTGCACAACACCTCATTTGAAACATTTGTTGGGTGCGTGTAGAAAAAGATGAAAACAAAAAGAAAAAAAGAAATCATGTTCCATGTTCGATCACCTACATATTTATTTTTAACAATTAAAATGGGCTAGCAGAAATGTACTTTTGAAATAAATAAACTGCTATAAAAACTAAAGGGACTCCTCTTTATGTTGTGTAACGGAAAAATTCATCAACCCCCCCCCCAAATAAAAAAAGACTGAAATTAAACTTCACAATTCTTTGTAGTAAACAAATTTATGTGCCAAAGATTCTATGGAATGTAACCTCTCAAACAATAGTTTTCGGGTTTTGACTTCAAACATTTTATGTTTTTTTTTTTTTTGTGTTTTTGGTGAGTTAGAAATCTTTGACTCAAATCTAGCCTTGAGATGATGGGTATTGGTACAAATGATCAGTAACATGGATAGATCTTTCTGATCACATAATCTCTCATATTTGTTATGGACATGTTAATAATGATTCGATACTAGTAGATTGATGTGGATATGGATGACATTAATTTTTGGAGTAATCTCTACAAGAATATGGTGAATAGTTTGTGGGTTTTATGGGTGGAGTACTTTTAGTATTTCGAACAATGCTCTTCTTAATCAATACCTCACCGAAATCTTCCTAGCGAGTGAGAATCAATTATCAAAACTCGGCCGTAGATTGGCAATAGGGCACCTACTCAAATCCATAGATTTAGAAAATATTGCATATTTTTCAGAAGTTGTAAAACTTTAGTCTCATCATTTTTTTTCATTTAATCCTTTTTATTATGCTCTATTATCCAGTGAGTCAAACTAATATTGGTCATTTTATGCCGCTAGGTGTTAGACACGTCCGATGGACGGAGAGAACATATACATATAGACATTACAACAAAAGCAAAGCAAAAAATATCAATATTTTTTATATAAATTTTGTGTTATGTATAAGATGTATCATGAATTCATTGGAAAATATAAGACTCTAGCCTCAACTAGGCTTTACTAAATGGCTATGGTTATTTAATGCAAAGAGAATTGTTAAGAAATCCAAATATAATATATATATATATAAAAAAATTAAAAAAAAAATGAACTTCGAATTGAATAATTATGTATCCTACAATTCTTCCTTGTAGACTGAATTTATAGTCTTGGAATTGACATCACTATCTTCATTGCATATTAGGACCTCTATTTCTTGTCATAATCAACTCCTGTTTTCAGTACATTTATTTTATTCTTTTCCTTTTAAATATATAATGCACTATCACCTTACCTTATTATTTTTTTAACCAATTTGTCCATTAATTAACACAGTTTTTATGGAATTGCATTGATTGATTTACCTCCTTGCGCTTCGGATTATCGGAAGCACGAAAATAATTGGCTTCACTTAGTATGGTAGGATCGCAACTTCCACCAATTACGTACAGTAGCCAAGGTTCGTAGTTGTTGTTAACTACGTGCACGTATCCAAACCGAAGCCTGCAACCAGGGGTAGAACTTAATTTTTATATCGTGTTTTAATACATTTAAAATTTGTTCAGTGCGGGCAAGAATCTTAATTAGCTAGCTATAGTTAGAATATTACGGTACATATTTACCAAATATATTACCATAATATAGAATATTATAGTGCGTGATTGAAGATGACATTTATAAATTTTTTTTTTTTTTACCTCGGCATCCTTTCGTTTAGTCTCGGACCAAAATGGTTGAAGGCGACAGTTACTTTCATAACTTTATCTTGTATATACATATCGTGATGGCCAAGCAGCATCACCTGGATGCAAATTGTAAATTATTCAAGTATAATTCAAATATCGATAACATACATATACATTCTTCAAAACATACTACTTAAGTGAAAGAAAAGCACAAATTAGTAAGTAGTGATTCTTTTTAGATACGAATTTAGAGCTCTGATTCTTATGATGATTTTTAAATAGTAGTAGTTGTAGTAGGCCATCATATGGTATCCATTGAGTTAGCAACGCAAGTTAGTTTAACAACACAAATTTGTATGCCTGAAATAATGACAAACTCAGCTTCCAATTGATGCATGCTATATAATTTTCCAAAATAAAAAATAAAAAAATTCAACAACATGAACAACAAGAATGAGACTTTAAACCTTGACATGGTTAGTGAACCGAGAGTTGAAGATGGTGACATTATTGGATGCATGATTCACATCAATAAGCCCATCTGCACAGTTGGATAGATAGCAATGATCTATCCAAATGTGAGGAATTTTTGATGTTTATAGCATCACCACCGCATTCCTGCTCATCTTCACTGCAACCGGCCTTTCCACGGCTAGCAAGTGTTGGAGTGATTTGAACTAAACCCACTCGTCTTCGGCAATCGTGAATGCTGATTCCATGAATGATAGCATGTTTGACATTCTCTATTTCAATGCAAGGTCCTCTTGTGATTTCCACTCGGACTCCTCTCCCATCAACGGTCTTGTGGCTGCGTATCATAAGTTCCTTTTTGAGTGTTATAACCAAATCCCGTTGGAAAACTATCCAAAGGGGTTCTTCTCGAGTCACAAGGTATATCTCACTGTTGCGCCCTCCCATAGCATTTTGGCCGAAACCAAAACCACAATCTGCTAAGGATCTTCGATTGGTCTCCCAATCTGGGTTTGATCGCCAACATGAATCTATTGGATTCATCATCATGTCCCTTCTTTGATCACTTTTTTTCATAATAAAAGATGTAAAAGTGTGGTTGGCGATATTTATCTCCTTGGGAGGATGTTGGAGTTCTGGAACTGATTTGGTCTCCATACCCGTGGAGAGAAAACAAGCTATTAACAAGTAAAAAGAGGAAACTCATCTTACAAATCATCCCCAAAGGCAACAAAGTGCAGGTGTTTGAGAAAATGGAATCCCTTTACTTGTTTCTTTTTTTCCTTCGGGTTTCTGGCTCCACTAATACTACTACAACAACTGTATATAATGAGATATACGTACTCAAATTTTGAATTGGGCAGAGGTAATGTGTTATGTCCAAAAGAACATATCATCCTTTGCTACAACTCTAGCAACCTTAGTATGGCCAAAAAAGCATATCATCCTTTGCTACAACTCTAGCAACCTTAGCCCTCCATCCCCCATTCCTATCAAAGCATCTTCTATGCATGGGATAAGTTATGGTGATGTCTAGCTAGGGCAGAATGTAAACATGTAGATTGTTTCAGTTTCTTAAAAATAAGTTCACAAAACCATATACATTTGTTTGATGACATAAGTGGACGGACTTTTAATTATGTGTTTATTTTTAATCCATGCAATCACACCGTTTTCCCCTCATTGTAACGCTCTCGCTTAGTTACCGTCCTTATAAAATAGTAATTTGTCATTCCGTTTTAAGTAAGAAACTTGGCTCTTTTCTTGGATGAAAGGGTCCGGTATTCTCACTGTTAGTTTGATGGGTATATATCTTTTTTTTTTTACATACACAAATATGAGTCAACTTTTTTTTGGGTATAGTGAAGAAGGCGAATGCCTTAATATTACACTACTACATTTCGTTGGTACAAAATACCAACAATATCATGATCTGACCATGGTTTTAAACTCGTGGGGTGACTCGTCAAGCCATGAAAGTATAACATGAGTACATGCCTAATAATTTCTAGTCGGAAAAAAAAATGCTCTGAACACACATAACGAGAGTCTAAATTAATAATTAATTCAACATTAACTTCTACCTTTCTCGGGTTGTAATATATATAAAAACTGTTTTCCTTCTTTTACGAGGTTGTTAGAAGTAAGTTTAATTTCGCTAGGGGATTGCCATAACATCCACTGAGAGCTACTTATATATGTACTAATGCAATATTCATTAATTATTCTATTAGGTGGTTCAATCTCCTTTAAATTTTGAATGTAATTTACAATACAAAATTTTAAATGAACAAACATTTTAAATTTTTGCAATTAATATCATGTTTGCAGTAACTAGCTAGTTAGGTAGATCTCACCGACAACATATTTTGCATGTATTACAGATAAATGGATGAAGGGTATTCTTACCATAGTCAAAATGATAGTTCTGTCTAATTTTTATTTTTAATTTAACTCGTGATATGAATAAAAGTTCAAACAAAACAACCATTTTGTGACTAGAAATCAAATGTGAGATTTAGAATACCTCTATAAATAATAAGGAAAAGAGGTGCACAACACCCCATTTGAAACATTTGTTGGGTGCTTGTAGAAAAAGATGAAAACAAAAAAGAAAAAAAGAAATCATGTTCCATGTTCGATAACCTCTCAAACAATAATTTTCGGATTTTGATCTCAAAACATTTGTCAACTCATTTTACTTTTTCACTAATTTTACCTCTTAAACACAAAACCCAATGGAAAAGAAAATATCATCCAAACAACTTCCTTATTTACATTTTAAATTCTAACTTGAACCACTTTTTGTTAGTGTAATGACCATTTTAGAAATACAAATAGTTTAGTGACAAATTTGGTAGGATTCCCTTGTTGAGTGATTGTTTTTGGAAAAGTTCTTTTTTGCAGTGACTATAATTAACAGTATTAATTATTTAGTGACGACTTGTACTTGATATTTCAAAATGTAGTTCAAAGTACTTTTTTTTTCAAAATCAACATCCAAACAACATTTTTATTTCCCATTTAGTTTTTAATTTGAAACACTTTTTACTTTTAAATGGCAAAATGAAATCTAAATTGACGTCCAAACAAGCACTAAACTTCTCGTAGGCTCTTATTAACACAGACGATTGGTGACACAACTAGGCAGGCAGAGGACCCCCTTGCCAGTCCATGTCCACTTATTCCATTCTTGCTCGTTCTTGTGACCCTTGCTCTTTGTCACCTGAAAAAAGGATTTAAATTTGGTTACACATACCATTACCAACAACAAAAAAAAAATCATACATATACGAGTCAACTTTATTTTTTCTAGCCGGAAAAAACATCTCTATTATCAAGCTATGGACACACATAACGAGAATCTAAATTTATAATTAATTCAAGATTAACTTCTACCTTTCTCGAGTTGGAATATATGTATATTGGAATTATTTTCCTTCTCTTACAAACTAGTTAGAAGTAAGTTTAACTTCACCAGGGGATTAATTGTCATAACATCCGCTGAGAGCTACTTATGTACTAATGCAATATTCATTAATTATTCTATTAAGTGGTTTAATCTATATATATATATATATATATTAGAATTGTTTTCCTTCTCTTACAAGCTAGTTAGAAGTAAGTTTAACTTCACCAGGGGATTAATTGTCATAACATCCGTTGAGAGCTACTTATGTACTAATGCAATATTATTTAATTATTTTATTAGGTGGTTTAATCTCCTTTAAATTTTGAATGTAATTTATAAGATAAAAAGTTTAAATGACCAAACACTTTAAATTCTTTTTGTTCAATATCATATTCACAATAACTAGTTAGGTAGATTTCATCGACAGTATATTTCGTCTGTAACACAGATAAGTGAATGAAGGGTATTCGTATCGTACTCAAAATGATATTTTTATTTAAATTTTTAAGTTTAATTTAATTCGTGGTGTGAATAAAAATTCAAACAAGATATTCATTTCATGGCGAGAAATAAAAACCACTTAGAGAACCAATGTTAATGTGTCAGGCTAAGATTCAGTGTTTTATCGCCAAAAGAATAATCTAATTCTAACCGTTGATCAATAATCCAATGCATATTCAATCACCCTTAAATAACACGATAGAATCCACTAACAATCCGGCCAGTTCCATCAAAACCACGCGCATTATTTCACCTGACAAAGTCCCCGGCAGTTACCGAAACCATTTCACAATCAAATCGCGAATCATTTATTCAGTTACTGCATTTCCGAATGAATCACACCGTTATTCAAAAAAAAAAAAAAAGAAAAAAAAATTGATCATTCTCTAGATCTTCCGGAAAGATCCATCAATTGCAATCTTATTCGTTTTTTCTTTACTTTTTTTATTTTTATTTTTTTTAATCCATCAGTGGCGACTATTCAACAAAACGATTGATAAGGAATAGTTGCGGTTGAGCAGAACAAATGGATTTTGTTTCCATCCTAGCGGGTAAAGCTTTTTAATTTCATTTGAAATTGGTTTTTTTTTTTTTTTAATTCATTGTTGAATAACTGGTGAAAGTTAGTAAAATGTACATTTGCGATAACCAATATGTAATTTAAATTCGTGTTTGGTATTTTTTTATTTATTTATATAGCAGCGCAAAATCAGAACAATTGAGAATTTTAAACTCAAAACGATGATAGGAGCATAACGAGATTCATAAGGCTATTTTTTTTTTTCACAAGAAAATAAATAAATTTATAAGTAGAATTCAAGACTAACACAGAAAGTGTCCAAAAGTTTTTTTTAAAAAAAAAAATCCTTGTTTGATCGTTTATGCATAAGAAGTTTTTTTTTCTTTTGTCGAACAAAGTTGCTTTAATGTCCCGCTCAAACCTAGTAAATAAACTATTGCAAAAACCAAAAAGGCGCCTCTTTGTGTTGTGTAACTGAAAATTTGTATGAACTTCTACATTAATCACCCAAAAAAAAGAAGGTTCAAATTGAACCTCACTACTCTTTTATAATAAATAAATTTTCCTAAATTTTATGAGCCTATGAATCTGCGCAATGTAACCTCTCAAACAAGGGTTTTGGGGTTTTGACCTCAAAAACGTTTTCTTTTTTTTGGTGAGTTAGGAAAACTTTGACTCGAATCTGGCGCTGAGATGATGTGTGTTGATAGCAAATGTTGGAGTTATTTTCAATATATTGTAAAGACAATTAATATGTTGTGTCTATTGGGTGATTTCAATATATTGTGGGGACACTACTAATAAGTTGTGCCTATTGACTCCATATAAAAGGACATTAACAAAAAGTTATGTCTAAGGTCATAACCAAGAGTTATATCTAATCCTCAAGAGTTACCTAAACTCTATAAGTATGGATCATTTGGATGCTTTTAGTGTACAATGAAATCACCAAATACTTGAAATATTTTCAATGACATTTCTTATCTTTGTATCAAGTTGTTGGTTCACTAAAGTGTATAGTGAAACAACATGATCTCTATTTTATCTCATTATAAATTCGCTTAGACAACTGCACTGTATAGTGGGCGAATTTAGCTTAAAATAGAGCAAATTTACTGGTGACTTGGAAACAAAATTTTTTTTTATCCTAATCATAATTTTTTTCTCTTGTTCTTTGATCTAGTGCCACCATTATTCTTAAAATAGAAGTCCAACAGCAAATCAGATAATAGGGAATAACTTTCAAAAGTATATATACCTGCTCTAAACTGCACAATCAATATAATTGCGAGAATCATCTTTTGGCATTACAATGTTGTGTTTTTTTAGTATTACTAAGTGACCAATAAAATACAATAAAAAAATATAATCCCTCAGTCCTTGAAAACAGTGGCGGAACTAGGATAGACCAGCAGGAGCAATCGCTCCCCTAATCTATTTTTTTTTTTTCCAAAAACCCCATTAAACATTTAGTATAAATTTCTAAATTTTTATATTTTTTTCCCCTACTAAATGTAATTTATACATTTTCGCCCTCAAAAAGTAGTTTATATTTAATTTTTGAGATTTGTTCAAGAAAAAAGTACAATTCTTGAAACGTAATGTGGACTAATACACAATCCATTTTTAAAATGCATCCAGATAATTAATTGTCATGTTTTCCCCTTTTTCACCCCTTTTATCTTCTCCTCCATTTTCTTGTTTTCCATCTTTCCTACTTCATCATCATTCAAAAGCAGCTGCCTGAAAATGGGATGCACAACCATCACTTTTGGGGTTGCTTTGAGCTTCAATCCATCCTCTCTTGCCGCGAATAAACCTTTTCCAAAGCGGAGTAATGTTCCAATTAACCCCAAGAAAAAAACCAGCCAAAATAGGAAGCTGAAGCTCAAAAAAGCTCCAGCCTTGTCAGTTCATGAAGGCGGGGAGGCCACAACTTACACTTGTTTGCCTCCAAAAGATGACTTTTATCTTCCAGTTCAGAAGAACCCAATTGCGGAAGTCAAATTATCAGAGTCTAATCTGCTTGAACACCTTAAAAATGAGAAGGGTTCTGAAGAAAGATTGAATTTTGAGGCTGAAAGTGAGGAGGAGAGTGATGGGAGTGGTTCTTCTGGGTTTGATTACGATAGATTTGAGCTTTATGAGGTGGGTTCTGATTCTGATGAAGAAAGTGAGGATTATGTTGATGAGGATGGTGCGATTGTGGGTTTTGGACGTGGTGAGGATTATTTGAGTTATGAAAATTTTAACGGAGATGATGTGTTTGATGGTTGTGAAGTTAAAGAGAAAGAGAAAGGGTTGCCAGCTGTGATGAGGTGTTTTGATAGGGCTAAAATTTTTATTAAAGCAGGGGATGGAGGGAATGGAGTTGTTGCATTCAGGAGGGAAAAGTTTGTGCCATTAGGGGGTCCTTCTGGTGGGGATGGAGGAAAAGGAGGTAATGTGTATGTTGAAGTTGATGGTTCCATGAACTCATTGTTGCCTTTTAGGAAGAGTGTTCATTTTAGGGCTGGGAAGGGAGGGAATGGGCATGGAAGGAATATGATTGGACCCAGGGGTGAGGATGTAGTGGTCAAGGTTCCACCCGGTACGGTCATTAGGGAGGCTGTTGGCAACGGTGGACTACAAGGAAATGTCCTTCTGGAGTTGTTACATCCAGGGCAGAGGGCGTTGTTGTTGCCTGGAGGCAGGGGAGGGAGAGGGAATGCATCTTTTAAAACAGGAATGAATAAGGCGCCTAAGATTGCGGAGAATGGTGAAGAAGGGCATGAAATGTGAGTCTTTATTGCTTTTTTGTATCCTTTGATAGAATTTCTGCTTAAATTACATAAGTTATATTGGCTACTTTTACAATTTCTAGTTTGACGAACTAGTCTAGTGCTGTAATTAGGTAGTACAGTTAAAGTCTTACTAAATAATGATGGTTTAGGCACTCGGTTGATTGTGTAGCAATCTAAATTCTGTCAGTTGATGATTTCATAGAATAATTTTTTTTTAATGGGATTTGAGTCAGAATTTTATCTTATTTCATTTCCAATTGATGAGATAATTAAGTTGAAGATGTGTATGAATTAATTGCCTATTGGCATTGGATAAAGTTGACCGTGAAAGAATGGGCAAACTGAGTGATGAACACAAATTTGGTGTCTGGTGTTCTTGATTGTATTTCAAGCTTAAGCAGTTAAATTTGGTGTCCAAGTAATAATTTTCTCACTGATGAGAGTAATTGTTTTGCGGACCAGGTGGTTAGAGTTAGAGCTAAAGTTGGTTGCAGATGTTGGAATTGTAGGAGCTCCGAATGCTGGGAAAAGTACATATCTCAGTGTGATTAGTGCTGCTAAGCCAGAAATTGCGAACTACCCATTCACGACATTGCTTCCCAATCTGGGTGTTGTTTCATTTGATTATGATGCCACAATGGTAGTGGCTGATTTGCCCGGGCTTCTAGAGGGAGCACATCGAGGTTTTGGATTAGGTCATGAGTTCCTTCGGCACACAGAAAGATGTTCAGTTCTGGTAATGTTTTTTATTGCACCTGCTTAAATTTGGTATTCATCAAAATTTGAACATCCACAAGTCGTTTTGAGTGTATTACAGAAAGTATGGAGCTTATCTTTTTGAGCCTGAATAATATTTGTTTAGGAAACCTACGTAATTGTTGAGATAGAAGCTTCATGTTCTTTATTATTTAGTCCAACTGCAACTTCCTGGCCAATCATGTTTCTAATAAATATTCTTTGACAATAAGTTTTCTGCTTCCCATATCCTCAAAGATATTTAGGCATCTGAGAAGTGTCTTCCTTATGTTGGTATTGTGATTATCTCTACTGCCCTTATGTGTTTCCCAATAGTTAACTCTTTGTATTAGGATATGGCGTACGCCTTCCCCTTTTCTTTCTTATGTTAGATGCACATGACAAAGATCATACTGATGGATAGTTCCACTTGGTTAAATAGGTGCATGTTGTTGATGGGTCGTCTCCACAGCCAGAGTACGAGTTTGATGCAGTTCGCCTGGAGTTGGAAATGTTTAGCCCTGAACTTGCTGAAAAGCCTTTCTTAGTTGCATTCAACAAAATGGATCTTCCTGAGGCCCAAGCAAATTGGATATCATTCAGAGACAAGCTACTTTCTCAGGGAATTGAACCTTTTTGTATGAGTGCAGTAAAAAGGGAGGGAACACATGAAGTGATATGTGCTGCTCATAGGCTTGTTCAGGAAGTGAGGGACGCTAGAAGAGAAGGTTGGTTGACTTTGCGAACTTAGCATCATATTTACCATTCATTTTCTTTCAGGTCTGACTTTTTCCACTTAACATTAGCTGTTTTGGAGTTGAAACTAGAGCTATTGTAATAATTGAACTCTAGTTTATTATTCTCTTCGTGGTAGTTGCTCTTATACTGAAAAAGCCATGAATTGTATGTTGGTAACCTGTTAAAACTCATTTATCATAGGGAAATTAAGAGATGGTCTTGGTTTAGTGATGCATGTATATCATGGTTTTCTCTTATGAACTCTAACCTAATTTATGTGAAAACCATTTGTTATGGTTCAGGTGCTAGTGCAATTTTTCCAGTGAATTTAAACCATGTCGCTGACATGGTGCAGAAGCAGCGGACAGCTCCAATAAATGAATTTGAGATCTCCCGGGACCGAACTGGGGAGGCATGGCATGTGACTGGAGCAGGTTTGGAGCGCTTCATCCAAATGACAAACTGGAGGTATGTAACTCTTCTGTGATTCCTTCATGTATCAAGTTAGACATTTATTTCTATAGATATGGTTTCCATTATACATGCTTCTTAGTTGATGATTGTCAATTTACCGGATATACAGATACATTGATTCAGATAGAAGGTTTCAACATGTGCTGGAGGCATGTGGTGTAAATAAGTCCCTTATCAAACTCGGTGTGAAGGAAGGAGACACTGTTATAGTTGGGGATGTAAGTTAAAACCTTTCCCTTATGTTTTGCCCTTTCAATTCCCCTCTTATGTTTTCCCGACATGTTCCCTGATTGCCATGAGGCATAAAAGCCTAATAAGGGATCTCACTTAGATGCTTGTGCATTTTAGAGTTAACATGGAACGTAAAGTTCAAGTCTCTGGTTTTGATATCATTTCTCATTTTGCTGAGAAGATATCTTTTTGGGTTCCAGCCATCCACATCACCAAAGCCAAATGAAAATTGTGACAAAGACGATGTCTATAGCTTTCGCGATGTGGGTTTTTACTTTTTAGTAAACTTAAACTCAACTAGTCACCGTGAAATGCTGGATAGTTATGATAGGATTTCTTTCTTAATGATATAATAAGTTGTTACAAATGGTTTTGTATGGTCCTGCATTGTTAAAAATCTTAAGAGCTTCGATCTCTCTACTCTATTTCATTCCCATTGTTGCTAATGCCTGGTCACTGCCAGATGGAGTTGGTATGGCATGATGCTCCTGAGAATTCAGGCCCTACAAGTGTGAGGAAATGGACAGGAGATACTGTCCGATGATACTGACATTTCCAAGCCAGAACCAAGCTTCATCAGTGTCGGGAAGTGCTTTTTGTCTCTTGAGATCAGAGGTAAACAAAACAGCATGTTGCCCTGCAGGCCAATCAAATGAATAACTTGGAGGTTCAACTGTTTCTGTTTTTTTTTTGAATATTAAGGAAGCCAACGGGCTTAGTTACACATGGCTCCTTTGAGGTCGCAGTGCTGATGACCTGACCTATCTTATTCGCAAGGCTAACAACCGTCTTCCCTGGGAGCAGCGATAGAAAAATGTAATCTTACCGGACAGGAGAAAGCAAAATTTTGCCAAAGATTCATAGGAACTTTGCTGGATTTCAGATGCTATTATTCTTTGCTTTGGGCCGGTGGATTTAAGAATTACTCTGATCATGGGTTGGACCGAGAGGTGTAGAAATGGAAAAGCGTGTACAAATATGGGGCTAGTATTGGGCCTTTGATACAGACGACTCTGTCATTCTCCATAATAAGTCTTGTATGCAAACAGCTAGGGGAGATGTTGTAAGATTAATGTAACAATTTGAGAGTTTTTTCTTACAGAAATCGAGAAATTGACTGCTTTGTGATTTTTACAAGAGGGATTAAATAATTTTTCCAATAATGGTCGTGGTTAGCTATTGTTGATATTTACTCTTAAGAAAATATTTACTCTTAAGAATTAGTTAATCGTTATCATTACAAAATGACAATTAAAAAAAGAATCCAAGGCTTGTTTTTTTTACGAACAAGTAAAAAATTATTGTTTTCAACGAGATTTGAACTCCGAATTCGTGGATAATATTCGGCATTTTTAAGTTTTGATAGACTGAAAACAATGAAACGTTCCGAACGGACAAGCCCTACTGAACAAAGTTTTCAATCAAAATAGTGAACTAATCCAATTGCTTCAAACTTTTTGTTTCTTTTTTTTTTTTTTAAATTGACAGAATATGTATAGTATCATATATATATGCACAGTATTCAGCATGTCCTTTTGTAAGCCAGGGTCGACACGTAGGTCCGGGTGGGCCCGGTTGATTACTTGGCAACAGTGTCCACGTGTCAGGTCGACCCTTTCTACGTTACATCAAAAACATTCACATTCATTCAAAAATCCAGAAAGAAGTTGGTAATACAATCCGGATTTGTGTTTTCCCCTCTTAATTCCTCCGACTTCAAAACTATTTTGGACTTTCCGTACGTTGCCTCCACTGTTTGTCCAAAACTATATCTCAGAAACATTGCTATTCATTTCCAAAGGAAACAAGTACATTCAAATGTATAATTTGCCAAAGGTTCATCCCCATTAATTAAGAAGAGTATTTTGATTTTTAACCAAATAATAAGGGTTTTCAAGTCCATCTTATGAAAATTAGTACTATCTCCGTCCCAAAAAAATAGCCCACATTGAGTTTTCAGATTTGTACTGTTTTTTAACACAAATTCCAAAACTTAAAAAGTGGACTATTTTTTTTAGGACGGAGGGAGGTAGTACAAGTATCGAATTACATTTAGGACCGGGTCAAGTGGAGGGTTCATCATTGCGTTCCTGTTATCTAAAGATGCATGAGTTTGGTCAAGTAAGATTTTGATAGATATTGAAAGAAACTTGGCGATGGTTAGCTAGCTATTTGTGTTTCCTTAATTATTTAGGGTTTGTTTGTGTTTTAGCCTTAAAGGACGACCCAGAAAAATTTTCTCTGGCTATAAATAGTGCTATACAAATGGCACTTGGATTTTTTTGAACCTTATAACTAGCAGTGATCGATATATAAACCGAGTGTAGTTTGTATTGACAGCAGTAGTAAAAATAGGTTTGGGTCATGTTTTACTTGTGTTAAATTATGTTTTATAGTAATTTAATTAGTGGATAATTACCTAATAGAAGTTAATCACGTTGTAATTTAGACTAGTGTGTAGATTAAAGCAGTTCTCTATTTATAAATCGTAAGTGTGTACTCTTCCCTTTTTTTCTTTTTTTTTTTTTGTTACAAAGAAGAGTTTGGTGCCTAGATTAACAGACATTCCTAGCACTACAACAAAAAGCACATATTGGAACGCTCTTTTCGGGACGCTTACATGTTAAGCATCCCAATAAGTATATATTGAGACACTGTCATAAAAGTGTCATATTAAATCACCTTAATGGGACACATTTATGCATTCTAACACTAAGCGTCCTAATAAATAGTTAGACGCTTAAAACCGTCCCATTAGTTACTATGTCGGGACGATTTAATATGTTTTAAAACAATACGTCGCAACAAACGCTCGGACGTTTAAAATCGTCCCATTAGTTATAGTGTTGGGATTTAAAAACATCCTAATCGGTTTTGACATTTTAGTTTTAAAAAAAATTCATATATAGTTCTACTTTTATATTTTTATAATTATACTATGACACCCTATAAAACTTGTTTATCTATCACTAGACTTCTTGAAATTTTAACAATACTAATATGGCACCCTAATAGTTAATATTTTTACCCAACAACATTATAATCACTAATTACATTATGTTTCTATACTAAGTAAGTGCACGTTCGATTTAGAATCTTGAAATTGATGTATTGAAAGCACAAATAATGATCATTGTTTAAAGGTCCATAACAAGCGATTAATAATTATCCTATATATTTTCTTTTCTAATAATACACATTACTTTTCCTCTGTTTAATAATATACATTGCAATTTGTGAATCGTATTGTCTTTAGTATAATTAGGTAATTAAAACACGGACTATTTTTTTAAGAAAGGAATACATGATTAAATTTGTAATCTAGTCACTTAAAGAATACATGATTAAATTTCTAATCTAGTCACTTGAGTCTAGTACATTCTCAACGTAGTTATAACATATAGTTGTTAATCTTTTATACTTTCATACACAACATTAGCCACTTATCATTTATTATTAATTACTAATCACTATAATCTATGAGATTATATTATATAGACAGATGAAGAAAGTGATTTTTGACATAGTGACTAGCTACTCTATAACTTATTCCTTTTTTTTTAAAAAAAAAAGAATATACTCTATACCTTATTCATTGTCTAAATTTATAAAGATATGCAGTATCTTTAAATGAATGAGCACTAATACCATAACGTATCAGTTTTCATGCCAAAATTAGAATGACCTTTCCACATATGTATATGTGTACTTATTTGTTCATTCCTTCATGACCTTATAATTATAATAACATGGTTCTAATATATAGTTAACTATTCTTAAAATTCTTTATTAGTTAGTTCCATCACTACTAAATAACCGTATTATTTCATAAACAACTTTGTCTGTAAATAACAAGTCTAGGATTAATTTGTCATGGTTCACCAAAGAGTTGTTCCACTATCCCTCTAATTACAGGAAAAAGGATACGGGTGAATTTTATTAATTGAAAATAATGGTAACTACGAACTAATAATATTTTTATAATTTAAAAACTTAAAAGAATAAGAGCTAAGTTTTCATAAAGAAGAAAAAAAATGAAGAAGTGAGACAACATTTGGGCGAGGAGGGAAACTTCTCAAGGAGGAGGGAAATTTTAGATTGGGCAAACACTTAAAAATTTCATTTCCCTTTTTCACCAAAAGGCCCGGTCAAATTTCAGCCCACCTAAACCTCATAAAACAAATGTGGTTCACCTCTTCAATCCCATTTCCACGCCTCATTTCTATTAACCACCATTATATCCCTCTCTCCTATTTTTGCTCTCCCAATTCCCGAACCAACCATGTCGATTGACGGACCACATCCAGCCTTGATTTTAGCTCAAATTTAAGTATGCAGAAGGAGATTAGAAGGAAAAGAGAGGAAAAAATTAGGTAGTCTTTTTTATGGGGTTTAAAATTAGGGGGATCTAGGGTTTTATGATTAGATGAAAACTTTGCCGCTTGTTCCACCTATTAGCCATTTGTTCAGCTATTTTTAATTGCAAAAGAGTTATTTATGGATAAGATTCAAGTTGTTTGATGTAGACAAGTTCAAGGTAATTTCTTTTTCTAAGCTTCTGTTTAATTTTTCTTTCCAATTTTTCTTTTTCTGATTTTTGCCTTATCTAGAATCAAAGTAAAGTTAGGTTCATTCATTCTTGTTTTTAGTTTAGCAGTATTTCTTTCATTTAACTGATATATCGGCCGATCTGCATTTTTGAAGGAGCAAAGGAGTAAACTTTGGGGTTTAATGGGTCCTTGGAGGTTCTTGTTGCTGCTCCGACGCTGGAAGTGGAGACCGTACCTATATTCACAAAAAGGCCAAACTTTTAAGTTGCAGATCACGCTAGCTTGTTTTCGATCGGTAATACATTCAGTCATCTCCTTAAGTTTTATTGGGTTTCCGAAAAATTGATATTTGATTGGATCTGTTTGAGTGTAGAAAAGGATTAAGTCATGTTTTGGAATCCTTTATGGCCTTTAAGGCATAGCTATTTTGGTATTTAACTGATCTTTTGCTTATATTGTACACGTTATGATTCCAATTTCTCTGTTTGAAGCAGCTGAGAAAGTTAAAAAGCTAATATAGGAAGTTGCACCCACCTTTTGTGAATAATTTATTTTTGTTATTTTGCTAGTCTTACGTACTGAACTGGTTTTCCCTTGCTATTTATTCAACTATTTTCAACTGAAAACTTTCAAGACATGTATACCATTTGCTGAATCACACATTGCTTGGTTGTTAAATGCTATGAACTTGCTTTCATTCTGATCATTCTTAGATGATTTCTTCGCATATATTTATATTTCTATTATTTGAAGATACCATACAGGGCTGGAATTGGTTTTTGTTTGTAAGGGCTTTAACATGAATGATAATTGATTTTTTGTTTTGGATATGATCTACAGTAGGCTAATGCTAATTTCTTAACAGCCAAAATTTTGAACCTATAATGTTCCTGACCTAAGCCTTTGTTCATGACAGGCAGTCATCATTGTTGCTTGTTGTAATGTGATATCTTGATCTTCCAAATCTTGGACTAGAACCATAAATAGTAGAGATTCGGAAGAGGAGGTTTATTGGAAGGTATCAATTGCAAACTTTTGCTTATACATAATAGTCTTGAGTTAATATAATTTCTCATATTTAATCGATTATTATACATGGCTAATGATATTGGCTGTAATATATTCTACAGATTAAGTTTAGGAATGGTATCTGCAGATCAAGTTTAGGTTCTTTCCTATAATACTTGGTATTGAATTGTTTAATGAACTAAGGTGCTCATCAAAATTTATATTTGATTGTAATTTGTGCGAGTTTAGTCCTTTGTTATGAGTGGATTGAGTGAGACTATTGTTATATTTACAATGGCCTTTGTAAATTATAGTTGGGTCAGCATAGTTTATTTCTATGTGTTTAGTACGATCTCAGTGTTTGTTTATGATAAGCAGTCATCGTTGTGTTGCGCTTCTTAAGTTCGTCTCTTTTTTTCTTGTATTCATGTACATTTGGATCTTTAATAACCACTGGTTTGCTTCAAGTGTAGGTAATTGTTAAGACAATCAAGTTAAAACTTTTATTCACTAGTAGTGTTGGCAATTGGGAGGTATTCTTTTGCTCTTTAACATATCACTTTTATTCGCTTGAAGTGTTGGCGATCGAGAGGTACGCTTATACATTTGTTGTTGTATATCTCTTTGGCTTGTT